TCGGAATCTAACAGAGATGGCAAAATTTTGCTCACGACCTTTTTCATAACCCTCAATTGGCTCCACAAAAAAGGTCATGACGGAAATTTTTCCATCTCTTTTAGATTAAAAACGACAAAGTTCTCAAACAAGTCTTACTTGTGCCAAGAAAATAGTTTTTTGAAAATTATCAAAAAAGGATTTTTTTGTGCCGAACATGCAGAAGGTGCGCCGGAATGGCAAATTTTTTGTCACAGGGAGATCAATGAAGCAATTCTGATCACTAGAATCACGTGATTACTGATACTCAAATAAACATATGATACTGTAAAACATTTCTGCCAGCGCACTAGCCCACTTGTAAATATTTCACCCGCAATTCTGTAGCGAAGCGCTAAACCGGGTTAATTCGATTTTGACTTTTGGCCAATTTTTGATGAATATCTCGGAATCTAACAGAGATGGCAAAATTTTGCTCACGACCTTTTTCATAACCCTCAATTGGCTCCACAAAAAAGGTCATGACGGAAATTTTTCCATCTCTTTTAGATTAAAAACGACAAAGTTCTCAAACAAGTCTTACTTATGTCAAGAAAATCGTTTTTTAAAAATTATCGAAAAAGAATTTTTTGTGCCAAACAGCAGAAGGTGCGCCGGAATGGCAAATTTTTGTCGCAAAAATAGATTTAGTAGTTGAAGAAAATTGCATTCTCTGTACACGCAAGAAATGTCATTTCTAGCACTACTCCTTCGTTATTCGATACTCCCATACGTATTGCGGAAGAAGGGATAGTGGTTTTTCGTTTCGGCTGTCTAATAATCACAGACAAGAAATGAACCCTTAAATGAAACAATAATAATGATATGACAGCAATCTTGTAACTTGGGGATAAAATATTTGTTGATAAATTTTCCTCTGTATGAGATATTTTCATCCTGAAAAGGCACCGTCTGGTGTGAATTATCCGCCTCTTGAGCCAAATATTTCGTTGCTGTCGAAAGCAGAACAATTATTCATGTTTGAGACTTTCAAATTCCAACCAAACAAATTATTTTTTNGTGTCGAAAGCAGAACAATTATTCATGCTTGAGACTTTCAAATTTCAACCAAACAAATTATTTTTTGGCAATTTTCAACTAGCGATTTTGTTGGCCCAAACAAGACTTGTTTGACAACGTGTTTGTTTTTCTCTCAGTGCCCTTTCTGGAGACCGATTTATTGTTGTTAAAAACCAAATTAAAACGAGAATATTCCTGAGTGAAATATTCCTCCATGAAAAAAATAATTCGGCCCTGAATTTTTCGAGCGGAGAATAGTCCTCTCCCATTAGGATCGAAACAATCTGTCCCGGAGGTTTTCGACATTTTTCATCGTCCCGTACATCCCCAGCCGCCCAAGGAAATTGCAATCTCATTCCAGCTGTTGGGTTATGAAACACACGAGGGGTAAAATCATCGTCTAATAAACTGTTAACACCCAGGGGCCAAATAGGTACGACGGATTTAGTAATTGTTTCATCAACGGCATGCCCATGTGTCTAGTTTACTGTCATTATCGAACGGATAAGCCAGCGTGTGCAGCTCCCGCCTACATCGCCCAACACGTTTATTGCTTACTGATGAATCTCTGGTTCATTTCCTGGCGAATTTATCGAGAGCATCACGGAAGAATTGGTTTTGTTGATTCGCGTGGGGATTTTTCGGGGAGACGGTTGAACATTTTTGTCTGAATTTTCGGGATTTAATCCCGAATTTAATCCCGGGATTTAATCCCGAAAATTTTCATCGAGTGACATTTTTGCTGGAATTTCAGAGTCTCGTCACTTAAAAAATCAAGTATTCCATTAATTTTCTGATGCAATTATTGGAAAATTATTGCAAGCTCCAACTTTCAGTTCAATTGCAGCGTCACGAAGAAAAAAAATTCTAGTTTCCAGTAATAATCCTCGAGTCTACGTCTCTTAGTAGTCGCTATTCGCACTTCAGGAGCTTTGGCGAAGGTTCAATCTGCAGGGCGATCAAGATGAATTTCATTGTTATTCTCCGGATGTACATTTATCGGGTTTTTGTGGATGAATGCGAGACGTTTATCCGGTGACAGTCTTGAAATTTTCTAGAGTGGCTTTGTCTGAGAGGTTTTTCCAGTAGCATCTATTTTTCCGGGTTTATTAAATCCTCTTTTCTGCTGGGCAGAATTTTTTTCTACTGTTTTTACGGAGATTTGAGGATTTTTTCAGTTTCCGTGGGAATTCCGCTTGAAATGAGAGGATTAGCTTTAATTTCTTATGAATATTCGTTTGTAATGAGCTCTTTTAATCCACAATCCGATGGTTTTATGCACGAATATAACTCCGACGTGGATTTTATTATCGCATAAAACGGAATGGTTCGAAAATTTTAATGTTTCAATATGCAGTTTATAGTAATGCGCAACGAGAGTGAAATAGTGCCTTTAAATTTCAATCTCCAGTTTCGTGTTGTTTTAATCCCCACGAAAATTCCATTCAGACCGCACTGCGGGTTTGGAAATTTTTAGTTTTCGAATTTTTCAAATAAATTCAGTAGCGAAGTGGTAAAACGGTTGAAGTCAACTTATCTCCCAGTTGAGTTTTTGAGGAATATTTCGGAATCTAAGGGAGATAGCGAAATTTCCGTAATTACATTTGTTGTAGCTCTCAATTGAAACTTCAGCGAACGTCCTCACCCCAGCCTCCCCCGATGCGTGACGGATTCCCCTTCCAGCGGGCGAAAACATCAACTGCATGAAGAGGAAAAAAGCTGAGATACAACCCGAGCCTTAGGAAGCTGGAAATGGGGCGAGAGCGAGGAAGCGGGAGAGGCTGAATGCAAAAGGGAAAAGGGAGTGAAGGTAGGAAGGGTCGAGCGAAAAAAAAGAGAGTGAGGATAGCCCCCGAGCTGTATCGATTTCCTCTCCTCCAACTATGACGTCATCGACTGTGTAGCCACCCACTTTGCCACGGATACGCGAAGGAGAAGTAGTGAAGGTGGATCATACGCTCTCTCCCTCTCCTCAATCGTGTTCTTCCACATTTACACTCATCGCCCTCTCCCTCTCCCTCGTTCGCCGCGCTTTTACCCTCTTCCTCTCTCTTTCATTCATGCAATCACACCGATATTAGGTTTATTACAAAGGCGATGACCTTGACTGAGGGCTATTGCGGGAAGAATGAAGACAACTCACGAAGAAAAATATGAGCGGTTCACGCCAAAAAAAGGTGGCCGGAGCTTTTTTCGCCGTTGAGAAACTCCCGGAATTTTTTCCCAGACGAACTGTTCCCTTCGAACTTTCATTAATTTTTTCCACGTGGAATTTTCCTCCGGGGTTTTCCACGTTGAAAAATTTCCGGAATTTTTTTCCCCGTCAATTCTTTCTCGGCGAAGAAACCTTACGAATTTTTATCATGTGGGATTTTGTTTGCAGTTTTTCTTCAGAAAATGCTAATTGAATCTCTTTTTTTTTTTAGAAGGAGAAAAATGGAAAAATTAATGAGAAAAATCTTTTTTTTTTCATTCGCGATTGTCTAGTCAATTCATTGCTTACTGACCAATGTTGATAGCTAAATTTTAAATTCATATTCAATTTTTTTTATGTTGCTAATTATATTGAAAATTAATCATTTTAGCTTGTTGGAATGGTAGTTGAAGATGTTCTATTTGAAGAATTGAATCGTATTTTGACGAAAAGGCGTGTGTAAATTATTCATGATGATCAGAAGTTCAAGAAAATAATGAATATTACATTAAATTAAGATGAATTGATATTGTGTTGGAGTATGTGTCCGATTTCATATTTTGCAGGGAAATTTCACATGGATTTTTCTCCGGAGTATTTTTCGCGCGGAAAAAAATCCGAGAACTAAAAAAAGTCGATAATGGGGATTTTTGTCTCAATTTTTTTTTCCAAAAATATGGCGATTAGACAAATTTCGAAAAAAGAAAAATGGAAAAATATTGATAATGGAGGGAGTTATAAACGAGATAGACATTTTGACAATGAGATATTTCTTTTAGTCGACCTTTTTTTAGGAGAACATGAGTTTCGTCTCGCATTTGTCGTTCGGATGTTCATTTTTTCATCATAAATTGCGATAAGCTGTACACGGAGAGAAATATTCAATAAAAATTACGTATCTTTTCCGTAATTCCGGAGCGAAATGTGGTTGTATGAAATTTTACGGAACTGTCACGGAATTTTTCCGTAGCGTTCCGTAATTTTTATCTGAATCTCTTGTAAAAAATTATGATACCGTCACTTAAATTTTCAGAGTCGATTCGTTAATCGGTGAGTGAAGTGAGGGTTCCGTAATTTTTACTGAACATTTCTCTCCGTGTAAGGGATGGAAATTGAACGGCTTGTCGTCTCATCGCGTCGCTCAATGACTCGGGTAATGGCTCAAAGTTCAACCGAGGAGAGAATGTCGATCGATAGAAAAATAGAATGAAGTTTTCTTTAATGAAAACATTGGGTAAACAGGATGCGATTGTTTCCAGCAGCTGGGGGTTGAGGTTTTACCAATCTCGGTCGAGCATATTGTGCGATTCAGTATTTCCAAATTGATGATGAGGCCGAGGGTGTTGTATTTTAAGCTTGTGGGTATGTATCCTGGATGAGACTTCACACGCCAGCGTGAATCGCCACTTTCGTCCTACCCCATTGCTGCGCCACATATGATACAGTGTGTGTTGTGCCACCTAGGTCGCGATGATAATAAATTGTAGAGAGAAAGGCCCAGTGAATGGGGAAATTTTTATGCGGGTAGAGGAAAAAATAATTTTTGCTTGATGATAAAATCATGTCATGAACAAAAAGATTGAGATTGCTCCCATTGAATGAAACATGTGGCAGATCGGCTTGTTTATAGCTGAAGATCTGGCTCCAATTCTATTGCATCACCTCTTTAAATTTTTTTTTTAATTTTTTTTAAAGTGGTCAACTCTGAAGTTGAATTACTCACACTGAATCATCGGTTTAATATATTACATTTTTATTTTTTGCCATTTCAATATATATCGTCTGTTTCAATCATAGTTTTGTCAGTCGTTTAAATCAAAGCAAAGAGGATGGAATTTTCATTAGCAATTTAATCCAATTCTCAATTTTTTCGCACGTAAAATCAAATTCAGAAATCCCAATTTGTAATTATCCCCGTAACTTGCTATGAATCACACGCCAAACTGATCCCTGAAAGAGTGATTTATTTGTAGCGTCATGCGCCAGCTGCATCAGACACTTTTGACCTGGTATCAAACATCCGCTGGCTCTCCATCGCAGATCCTCTCTGCTCACCTCCAAATGAACTTCCGTCACCCAATTCTGTCCATGAAAGCACATGCTCATAATTGTCTCGGCGCTCGAAAATTTGAATAGAAAGTCATTTGCTCACCAGTATAGAATGAATTCCCCAATTCATCGTCAGAAGGCACAACGTCGTACTGAGGTCTTTGGAGGTCCTCGAAACCAGGTGGTGGTAGGAGACTCTTTGCTCGCAGTGGAATAAAAGAAATACTCCGTTTACTCTCAAGTGTAGATCTCATCCTCCTCTTCGTCATTTCCTCTTTGTTCCTACAACAATTTCTCACTTATTCATTATTATTCCCTTGTTGTCAGCTCGTTGTCGACTTGATAAATGATAAAAGAAAAGTTGAGAGAAGCAGAAAGAAAATCCAACGCTGAGAGAGAGAAAAAAACGTGATATCATGAGAATAATTTCTTGAGCTGAGAAAATGACGCGAGGGGGCTATTCACATTCGTAATGATGTCACTCAAGGGGGTAATTAAATTGCAGTTGCAGTGAAATCCATGGAATTATTATAATCACTAAAATCAGGGAAGGGGATTTCTTGTAATCCGGAGGTGATTATTTAAAATAAATGGAATCACCAGCGAAACGGTAAAACGATTCACGTTAACTTAGCTCTCAATTGAGTTTTTCAGGAATATCTCAGCATCTAAGGGAGCTAGCGAAATTTCCGTAATAATCTTTTTTGTAGCTCTCAATTTTCTCTACAAAAAAGGTTATTATGAAAATTTTGTTATCTGCCTCAGATTCCGAGATATGCTTTGAAAACTGACCGATAGTCAAAATCGACTTACACCTCGATCACTCGCGCTCGGCCGCTAGCCTTCAGCCGTCGCACGGTTAACGCAGCGCCGCTGGGTTAAACCGCGCGCGCTGTTGCCATCTTGGCGCTTACCGCTGTGCGCGCATTTCAAGTGCGGCAGTGAATATAGCAACACTGTCGCTCGAGGCGTCGACACGGACTCACTCGCACCGGGCGGCGCGGCGCCGCTTTTCTGTCCGTTCGACGTTTCTTTTCTTTTTTTCATCTAAACAAATTCTCCGAGAAACAAACGGACAACGCCAATGCTTCAGAAAAGGGTTGAACTAGGAGCTCTAATTTTTTCAGAATTTTTAAGCGTTGAGAAACACGCTAAAATGTAAAAGTGATTGGGGGTTAAACCGTTTTATCGCTTCGCTACTGAAATGATTACAAAAATTTGGTAATCGATAGCTGTAATCAATGAAATCACTTGTAATCGTCGTAGTCGGGACCGTAAGCACCTGTAATCGAATAAATTTTGTAATGGTTTCACTCAATTGGGAAAAACGCCCGCGAAAAAATATCGTGATCCGATACAAATTCTTCAGATTTTTTCTTCGAAAATGCGAGGGATATTGCGGGTGAGAAAATCGATTCATAAATGACAACGGAACACATAGCCGTGAAGGAAAAGTATCAGGATGGATGGAGAAATGGTTGAAGGGGAGAAGGTTCAACAATTCGCATTCTTTTCATGTGGATTTTTACGCCTTCTCATCTTTCAGAGATTTGTCCTCGTCGTTTCATATTGAGTGGGTGAATTTATCGGGGAAAAATGGCAAAACCTTTGACTGCTCTTGGCTTATGGAATATTGCCATGAATTCTCGCTTCGATGAATGACGTCGGGGGGTCGTGCATAGGAAATAATGGAAATGAAATTAGTGATGACTGTTAAAATCATCTTCTCTCTTCATTACAGATGAAGAAAATAATATTCAATAAATGTTAAAATACTTGAAAATCGAAAACTTTCGTGTTGAGAGGTGGAATGAGGCCTCCGTTTCATTTCTTCCTCCTCCCCCTCAGGAGCAGTACAGTCGAAACGCCTTAAGCACTTAACTTATTCGCTTCCAAAGGGGAGTTGTAAAGGAATTGTGTGAAATGTTATATAACAGGGGTTTCCTGGTCGTGTTAAGGAGAGTGTATACCCTAGTAGCAATGAACGTTTTAATGGGACAGTTTTCCAGGTCTTCCGAGAGGCCATGAATCTATGCATTGTCGAGACTATCTCCCGGGTGTAAGTAAACAGGACTGACAATCAATTCGGGGAGTTTTTGGCGTTCTGCCAGGTGTCTACGGACCGAGCTTTATGGTGACACGATATTCATGGTGATTGGTAGGAATGATATAATAGGGATATTTCATAAATTTTTTTAAGGAGAAATTATTGAAGTAGGTCATCTCAACATTTTGAATTTATCGCTTTTCAATGATTTTTTAATTTGAAAAAGGAAAATTGAGTAACGATTACGAGTGTGAATAGCCCCTCTGAATCATTGAAGATTCAAAACGAGCCCCTCATCGGGGATAAGTAAATTCGCCAAGTGATCATTTCATCGTGTGGTCAGACGCGCAAACAACTCTTCCCCAATCATCAATAATGATCCAATTCCAGCTGCGTAATAAATGACGGATTTAACGGTAACAACGACTCCAATTAGATACGGGATTAATTGATATCGATTGTCAATTAAGGTTCGATATGATTCCCGAGGGAGGGGGACGCATTATCATTGAAAGATCGACGGTGTAATGAGCAAACAAGCCAGGACAATCCATTCCCAGAATTTTGGCCACTCGCCAACTCTCCTCTGACCATTTCCCCAGGGTTTTTTTTATTCGCCCACCGAATTTTACTCCACTCTTTAATATTCCTTTTTCAGCGAGATTCGAAAGTAATTCATATCGTTCGGGGCTTCTTGTTGGTCGCATCAGCTCGCTGGCAAGAGTTCATATGAAACTCATAAACTTTTTTTTACTCCTTTTACTGAACTTCAACGGTGGGAAAAAGCCAAGTGGCGACTGTGATGGAGAAGGAGTTGAATTCAGGCCATTATTTTGACCGCCTCTAAATCATACTGGAAAGGCTCTCGTTAATCATTTCAACTTTTTTGCGAATATTAGAGGGAAAATTTTTAGCGATACTAATGGAGAAATTGTGGTGAAAAAAAAAACTTTCTGACAAATCCGCGATGGAAATTGGGGTATTCACTGTTAGAAAAGTTTAACTGAATTTTCCAGGAAATGACACTGAATTCAATTTAACGGAAAAAAGTCTATGAAACCTCAAGTTTCCCTGAAAATTCAAGGGAATTCCTGAATTTCAGTGGAAAAACCATGAAAATTCTGAAATTTCCATGAATTTTCAATGTAAACATGAAAATTCAATAAGAAATTGCCCTGAAATATCAAAAAATTGAAAATTCAAGGACATTTTTGCTTGAATTTTCCTAATTTCCATTCATTTTTATGGAACAATTTAACGGAAATTTAAAATCCATGAATTTTCCACGAAAACCATGAATTTTCAATGGCAAAATTCCCTGAAATTTCAATGAAACCGTCACTTCTTTCATATTTCAAGGCTAAAGCCTGGAAACTTCAGTAAAAAATTTTCAACAGTGTAATAGAGAACTTGCATGAAGCTTAATTTTTTCGATTTCACGTCTGTGGTTCGTATTTTTGGTTGTCAATTTCATTCAATGGAGCGTTTTACTCGATTGAAATAGAGTTTACTTGATCCAAAAAAAAAATATTTTTCTGGTATTGAACCTTTAGGGAGACCCATTTTGCCCCAGCCTCACCTTTGAATGCTCTCGTTGATCAGATACTCCGATTCTTTCGAGAAATTACACATTCTCACGTCCAATCCGATTATCTGAGGACAACTCTTGACTGCGACGTCTAGGGCCTCGCCAGCTGCATTTCCGAAAAATATTAAAAAAATTTAATACTGTAGATCCGCACATGATCCACACATGACGCCCATATGATCCCCATGACCCTTAATCTGACCCTCGTGACCCTCATTATAGCCCTCATGACTCATATTTTGACCCTTCATTTCTGACCCTTAATTTTGGAGTCTTGATTTCGAGCACCAAATTTTCATCACCAGAATGCAATGGACCCTTAATCTGACCCATATGACCCTTAATCTGACCCTTGCGACTCTTAATCCAACTCCCGTGATCCTTATTCTGACCTTTATGACCCGTTTCTAACCCTCATGACTTCTATTTTGACTCTCGTGACCTTATGACCCTTATTCTGACCCTGAATTTTGGAGTCTTAATTTCGAGTTCCAAATTTTGATCACCAGAACTCGATTTGCATTCTTATAATATAGAGAAATTTAGCCAGAGTTTAACCCAGGCTCTGTCAGAATAATTTATTAATTTATTAATTTATTAATTAATTTATTAGCAACAATAACTATACGCATTCATAAAAAACAATGCAATTATTCACCAAAAAACTTCATAAAAAGTTTCATGAAATGTGAAGAAATCATGAAATTTCCAGTTTCAATTTTCGGGGCGATCACAATAACCTCCCGATATAAATCGGCAAGTTAATGAAAATGAGAATAATAATTGATGGACAATTTTTTGATAATTGTCAAGTATTTTAGAAAGAAGTAAGTTTGATAGAAAATGTCGATAGAAATTTTTTATGCTGACGGAATTTCCAGCAAAAAATGGCACTCGACATCTCTCTCAAAACTAAAATACTCGTCATAACGTGAAAAATTGAAATTTTCTGTTCAGATATGTGAAACGAAAGAATACTCTTCATACCTATGGGTCCCATATTATTATTCGATACATCAATCTCCAAGGACGATATTTTCGCATACCCAGAGGCAATCACTTCCGCCAATGCCATTCCAGTCGCAGTTTTCAAACAGCAGCCACTCACATTCAACTTTTCCAAATTTTTCACTCGCAGAATCACTTTAATCGAACGGAAATTTCATTAATATAAAAATGAGAAAAATTAGAATTTAAATTAAGAAAAGAAATTACAGAAACAGTCAATAGAATTATTCCACTCAAATGTTTTTTTTTCATTTCTAGGTTTTTTGTTTGATTTTTTTATGAGAAGAAAAAAATGAAAAAAAATTGAAGAAATCCCTCCGAAAAATTTCTGCAAAAAATATTAAAATGGAAAAAGTTCTCTGGAAGGATAAGATTTCTGTTTTTTCATTGATAAAAACGCGGAGAACAGATGGGGAATTTTTCAATAGAATCGGCGAAAAATCAATAGAATTTCAATGGAGATTTCAAGCAAATGCGCTAGTTTGTTCAATGAAATTTTCCGCTACTGAAAGCTTACGTGCGGCTATGTGGGTGCCCCCGTCATCCCTAAGTGGATTCAATCTCAAATCCAAATGTCTCAACGGAGTGGACGAATCTTGGAGGAGTCCATGGACAATTCCACCGACCCCATCCGCCTGGATATCATTGTTAGTCAGATATAGCTCGCTCAGACGGCGATGCATCTTCAAAAATTCACCGATTGCATGAGCTCCGGTGTCTCCGAGCTTGCAATGTGAAAAATCCAGCACTTGAATCTGGAAATATTCAGCTAGATGTTGGCTACTCCCTTTGATTGAATTTGAAGGAACGGAGCTTGTGCACTGAGAAAAAAAATTACTTTGCCAAATATTCATTTATTTGAGAGAAGCATTAATTTTTTCAAAATCGTATTTCTTCAATCCGATCATTCCCAGGCGAGCCCGATTAGATTTCAATTCAGTAGCGAACTGGTAAAACGATTTAATCCGACTTATCTCCCAGTTGAGTTTTTGAAGAATATTTCCGAATCTAAGGGAAATGGCGAAATTTTCGTAATGACATTTGTTGTAGCTCTCAATCGGCCCTACAAAAAAGCTTATAACAAAAATCTTGCTATCTCCCTTAGACTTCGAGATATTAATTGAAGACTGGGCAATAGTCAAAATTGACTTGTACCGTTTTACCACTTCGCTACTGAATTATAACAATCATGTTGCTCTAGAGGACGACTATGTTGCACATGAGCTTGAATGAACTCCTCTGATGAATATTCAATTTTCCAAAAAATTTTATTTTCCAGAGGGAAGAATTTCTATTAATTTTTTAATGTTGATAATTATTGGAGGAGTTCACTCACGGTCATAACCAACATGATCATCTCCTACAGCAATATAATTGACATAATTGAAGCCTAATGAGGATTGCCTGGGAATGACTCGACTGGAGAAATATGAAAAAAATTAATATTTCTCTCCCGCAATTGGATATTTGGCAAAAATAATTTTTTCTCTCATTGGATTGCTTCCGGGTGGAAGCTTTGTAACCCTTCGAATTTACGTGTTGAATTTTTTGTGTTATATCTACCCGGATGAAATAAACAATGAATTATACATGGTAGAAGATGACCTGCAAATTAACCATTCGAAATATTACTAATTTTTTAGTAAAAATAACTGTATTGTAGGCAATACAAGAGCAATATTCCACTTGTTTTTATTTCGCCTTCGAGAGGAGGGGAATGAATGTTTACTCACGTTGTTGTTCACGACGATCCCCTGGAGCAATGCCGCTGCACGCGGCTGATCCAGATTACTCCGCGTGATACTGATCTTCTGGAGTTTCCGCGCTTCCTTTATCCCTTTTCCCAGATTTAAACAATCCTCGACTGAAAATCTTGATGAAGAATCGTCTTCTTATGAACAGTGATAGGCATATTCATCAATCATAATTTTATAGAAAATTATGTCTCTCCGTGCACGGGGAGAAATTTTCTAGAAAAATTCTAGTACGAGTACTGGAAGAATTTTAGTGCTGTTAAGGTAAAATTTATTGGTATTTCTGGTAAAATTTCTAGGGATTTCCGTGAAATTTTCACAGAAATACGAGGAAAAATTCACGTTTTCCCCAATAAAATGTCTAATGTCGGCACTGGAATTTTTCCCTGACAGTCCCTTTGCGCCTCTTTTGACGCGCTAGCACTAGAATTTTCTAAAATTCCGTGTGCACAAAAAAATCCTTTTTTGTTACTTTTCAACAAACGATTTATTTGACAGGAGTTGGACTTGCTTGAGAACTCCGCTGTTTTTCCTTCAGTGCACGATTACGACTATAAATAGTCCCTCGGTTTCTCACCCCTATCAACATTGCTCATCCCCATTCATATCAATAATACAGAGAGATATTCATCCCATTTTTCCGAACACTTAACCACGATCGCTCTCGTAATACAAACGAATCTCGTGAAAGTAATACAACTCACTCGAAGTCGCGCCACTCGAACCCCTCGTTCATGTATATCATACCAAAGTTGAGTCGCAATTCACGGAGCTCCTTCAATTTCGGGACAATGATATCCATGGGAATGTGGTGAACCGGAAAATCAGCCGCTGTGCACTGATCCTCATCATCATCCCCAGACCACTTGAACGGATATCTTCACAATGAGAATGAAAAAATTATGGTAGCCCTTGAGAAACTACTCTGAGAAAAAAAAATTATTTTTGCCAAATATTCATTTGCTTTGGAGAAGCACTCATTTTTTCAAAATCGGATTTCTCCAATCGGGTCGTTCCCAGGCGAGTCTGATTAGGTTTTAATTATAACAATCATGTTGCTCTAGAGGATGACTACGTTGAACATGACCTTGGATGAACTCCTCAAAGAATTATTCATTTTTCCTGAATTTCTTATTTTTGGAGGGACGGACAATTAGAACTGGAGATAGGACCCAAAAACTGACTAAAATTTCAGTTTTTTGGAAATATCTCCGGTTCTAATTCTCCTATCTCATTTTTCTCTCCTGGAGATTGAAGTTGAGCTCATTCCCAAAGTGGAGAACACGTCAGGAAATCGAAATCGACTTTTGACGATAGAAAATTACGACGAAAAATTAAAACTCAAAACCAAGGGTCACAAGGGTCAGATTTAGGGTCTCGATAAGTCTCAGAATACGCGTGATATAAGGGTCACGAGGGTCATTTGGGAATCACAAGGGGGCCATGCAGAGATCATATTGGAGCCACATGGATATTTGGCGAAAAAAAATTTTTTTCCAGTGTACGGGGAAATGAAATTATTACGCGATTTACTTGGATGGCTGCAATGACCGAATCGTTAGAGTAGTGACGTACGGCTGCACCAGGTTGATAAGGGTCTTGCACTCGTCTTTTTCAGATTCAACATTCTCAAGTGACTCCAAATACTCGGTGAGATGACGCTCACAATAGAGACGTCGCCAGGAGTTACCGTGTTCATTTGGATTATTGTATTCCCACCTGTACATTAAGCCAGGTTTTTCGTGCACATGTGAAATTAACTATTTTTCCTATTTTCAGTGAGATAATTTACAGTTTGTTAATTAATTGAGCGAAATAGTTTGGAGTGTATTGACTGCTTGTTCATTAGAATTGTTTTCCTGCCTGAATTTACTTACTGAGGACATTTTCTACCATTTTTTTGCCAGAAAATTATTCTAATGCATTGGTTAGACTTGAAGAAGGCCAATGCGTGAAAATTTACACGATTTGATCGTTTTGTTTATTCAATAAGCATTAATAAACCTTATCACAGGGGGCGGGATAATGATGTGACCCCTCTCGACAGCTCGTACAATTCGGAATCGCATCGAATTTTCTGGTAATTGTTTGTAGATTTTAACTCTCTTTCAATTGAAAAAAAAAATCTCATGGAAAAAAATTATTGTTCATTCAAGTATATTTTATACTCGAATGGGGGATGGGTGTTTCAATTCGAGGATGATTATTTCATATTATTTCGGAGGCCCAGATTACCAACATTGTCCCAACGCTTACAGCCAATATTTTCCGAATGTTAAAATTTCTCTGCCTGAATATTGCGTTCAAAATAATTTTTTTCAACAGCAGATAAGACAATCAATCTCATGATCGAATTCTGCCAAGATGGCGTTGGGAAGAATATTTTAAATCACAATTGGATTCATTCAAAATTCAGTAGCGAAGCGACCTATCTCCCAGTTGAGTTTTTGAGGAATATTTCTAAATCTAAGGGAGATAGCGAAATTTTCGTAATAACATTTGTTGTAGCTCTCAATCGGCTCTAGAAAAACGATTTTACCTAAAATTTTGCTATCTCCCTTAGATTCCGAGATATTCGTTGAAAACTGGGAAAAGTAAAAATTGACTTAAACCGTTTAACCACTTCACTACTGAATTATTCTTTCAGTTATTATCGAAAAAGCATCGGTCTACAAATAGCATATTCAAATTCCTATGGCCAAAATTACTTCTTCTGCCACAAAAAATGAAAAATTTCGAATTTGACGAATACAATGTTTCCCTTCGGTGGCGAAAAATAGCCAGAGTGGAATATTTGGAGCTCTCACCTGGCTTTAGCAGCCCGTGACCAGTAGAACTCATAAGGTATCTCCTGAATAACAATCTCAAACGGCAGATCAGCTGGCAATAATTCCAAAAGTGCATCCCTATCCGCCGGATTTGAAAGTTCATCAAGTATAGGCATGCGAGGCCATCGTTTCACCAACGACCCAAGTGCTAGAGTTTTCAAGTCAGGCACGAGTGACTCATCCCATGTTTCATTCTCCGCACGAATGCTTCGATCCTGCTCGCACTCCAGTAATAATGTCTGGCCCGAACATCTGGTCCGATACAGAAAACTAAATTTACTCGCTCGTAGTAGATTTTCGAAGAATAAACGCGACATCTCGTCTCTATTCTCAAGCTCGATCTATCAATTTATTGTTAACGAGAGTGAATTTATTCATCTAGTTTGTAGGGATTATTACTAGTTTCCAGGGATCGCCATCAATATTAATTAAATTTCTGTAATATTACGTGAATTTGACCCTTACGTAAATGAAGGTTTAAAATATGTTGATCTAATTTTTCCAATAGGATAATACTAATAATCTGATTTTTTTCGAATAATGATGAATTAAAATTTGTTAATGTGGAACTGTAAATTCACCACACGGAGAAAAATGTTCAGTAGAAATCGCGGAACTCACAATTCGCTCACCGATTACGGAATCGGCTTAGAAAATTTAATAAGTGACCGTTTCGTAATTTTTCACAGGAGATTCAGATAAAAATTACGAAATCCTCTGAAAACATTCCGTGACAGTTCCGTAAAATTTCCTACAACCACATTTCGCTCCGGAATTACGGAAAAATACGTAATTTTTATTGAATATTTCCGTGCACTAAGTGAATAATTCAAATTTCTTAAAAGAGGATTTTCGATTACACAAATAATCGTCAATCTTCCTCTTCAATTATTGATTGATAAAATAGTTAAAAATTTGAATATTTGAATTGATGGTACTTGAGTACTTAAAAAATTTAAGAGTGAGTTAGCTAATTGATGGCCACAATATTTAACGGTAACTAAATATTATGAATTTGGCCATCCCTGCTAGTTTCATACCTGTAGGCTTCGATGACGCTCTTCGATATTGTATGGGGAACTCTCATGATTTTTATTCAATTTTCATCGCCACTAGAAACGGAATTTATTCAATTGATGAAATGGTTGGTATTAGTAAGGGCATCTATTCGATAATTACTTGAATTGTTGATATTTTTATTGAATTAGAGTTGACTCTTTATATACGATACACTTTTACCTCTAATCTATTAATGTTGATGATTACACATTAACAAAAAATTACATTTTCCCCTGGAGAGATATTTTGTCGTGTTGACTCAATTTACTTGTGGACAGAAAAGAAAGTTTCCACCAAAGCACGATAATTTTCGTAGTAGCAATTGCTCTCGCGAGACATTTACATGTCTTTCGGGCAAATGCATTCGTTCTACAGAGAATTATATGAGGCTCCGGTTATATCAAGTCAATGTTATTGAGTAGTGAATATCTTTGTGCAATAAATAGTTATGATTTCCACGAAACAAATGATAATTTCAAGAAGAAACTACAATTTTCTTGCCGAGAACTGTTATTGTGCAAAACTAAATAATTTCAAGAGATCAATTTTTTTTTTTTTAAATATTCTTTCCTGGTCAATGTATCTTATAGAGAGAGTCAACTGTACCTACATTATTCTTAATTACGATATAGCAGTCAGTTCACTATAGTCTAGATTATTGTAGCTAGTCTATTAAAATTCTGTAACGAAGCGATAAAATAGTTGAAGTCGATTTAGCCCTTGGCTGAGTTTTTGAGGAATACCTCCGAATCTAAGTGAGATATCGAATTTTTCGTAATAACCTTTTTTATAGCCCTGAATTAGCCCTACAAAAAAGTTCATGACGAAAATTTCGCTATCTCCCTTAGATTTCGAGGAACTCATTAAAGACTGACCAATAGTAAAAATCCACTTGAACTGTTTTACCGCTTCGCTGCAGAATTATTGAATTCATCTGATAAAATCAATTCCAAGTTATTTTTTCCTGAAATTTATCAGCAAATTAACGTGGCTGATTGTATCTCGTAAATTCGTTGAATTTCAATATCTAATATTGACCAATTAACGGAGAAAAATCTGTCTAGTTAGCGAGTATCTCAACCTCCATCAGGACTCTAGACATTTAGGTGAAGATAATTAGAAGATAGTCATAGTGCATCTGAAATTGAATAATTCCAATTATCAACTCTAATCATTCAGTTAATCGGATTGATAAGATGATACGACCTGAATCTAATAAATTCATAATTTGTTTTTTGTTCGAAGGAGTGTCCTGAGGGTGTCGTTCAGGAGGACTCATTCAAGGACATTTATGCCAAGTTCTTTCCACATGGAAGTGAGTAAAATACGATTAGTAAATTCTCCTACTATCTCTTGCGTATTTTTTATGACGATTCAATGGAATTATTTCAGATTCTAGCCTCTACGCGCACTACGTGTTCAAGGCCTTTGACGTTAACTGCAATGGGGCCATCAGTTTCAGGGTAATGTTGGATAAATAATTATTATATACGGTTAATGAAATGGGGCTCAAATGAAAGCTCTGACGAGTCCTTTATTTAACCTCCCGTGGTCAGGACTTTATTTTCCGTCACGGCGTAGGCTCAAAGGCAGATTTCCCTCCGAAAAATTCAGCAGCGAAGCGGGAGGGAAATGTGTACTTTGCGCCCGCCGTGACGGAAAAGCCTTTCACTGGAGAAAAAATAACCAAAGTACTTGGATATCCTTACTCTCGATCACTCGCGCTCGGCCGCCAGCCTTCATCCGCCGCACGGTTAGCGCAGCGCGGCTGAATTAAATCGCGCGCGCTGTTGCCGCGTTGGCCCTTACCGCTACGTGTGCATTTGAACTGTAGCAGTGAATCCAGCAACGCTGTCTCACTGACTCACTCGTACCGAGCGGCGCGGCGCGGCGCGGCGCGGCGCCGGTTTTCTGTCCGTTTAACGTTCGCTTTTTTAGCTACATAAATTTCTCAATAAAAAAACGGACAATGCCAACGCTTAATTAAAGGATTGAACTAGGAACTCTAATTTTTTAGAATTTTTAAACGCCACGAAAACGGGCGGCGCTCATTGAGCGAGCGATCGAGGGTTGAAGACACGTCTCTAAACGTATCGACTCGCGAAGAAATTCAATGTACGAAGACATTCAGTGAAGGACGTTGTAACTATTTTCAGGATCTACTCGTGACTCTCTCCACGCTGTTACGTGGGAGTATATACGAGAAACTCAGATGGACATTCAAGCTCTACGACATAAATGGGGATGGTTGTATTACAAGGGGTGAATTGGGTGAAGTCGTAACAGCAGTTCACGAGCTGATGGGACGAAAGCATCCAGCCGAGGAGGAGAGGAAGGCCAGGGAACAACTGGACAGGGTCTTTGAGAAACTCGATCTCAATCATGATGGGGTTATCACGATAGAAGAATTCATCGAAAGTTGCCTTAAAGTGAGTTGTTGATGATATTATTGTCATTCTACACTTTTTATCGAGGGACTATTCACATTGGTGGTCGTGTAATCAAATTGCAGTCCCAGTGGAATCAATGAGGTCATTGTGATCACCGGAAAGGACGTGATTATATTTCTTGAAATTGGTTTTTGTAATCAGGAGGTAATCATTTGAAGTAAATGTAATCATTTCAGTAGCGAAGCGGTAAAACGGTTCAAGTCGATTTCAACTATTGGCCAGTTGTCGATAAATATCTCGAAATCTAAGGGAGATAGCAAAATTTTTGTCATGTGCTTTTTTGTAGCGCTTAGTTCACTCTACAAAAAAGGTCGTTACGAAAATTTCGTTATCTCCTCAGATTCGGAGGTATTCCTTAATCTCGCTAAATCGACTTGAACCGTTTTACCGCTTCGCTACTTTGAAATTGGTAAAAAAAAATCTGCAAAAAAAAGTTTAATCCTTGTTAAATTGTCAAGTATTGAAAATGCGCACGTTAAATCCGTGTGTTGAAATTTGTGTGTTATTTTGACCAGTAATCACGTGCAATCAGTTACATTTTACAATGATAGCCTCCCACAATTTGACTGTGAATAGCCCCTCAAATCCTTCTATTCGTATCAAATAAATCATTCAATGAATACAGGATGAGGTCATCACCCGCTCACTGGCAATGTTCGACTGTGAACTTTGATCTCCGGCGAACATTAGCCCTACAAGGTCACCGGTCGGTGTGACACCAACGTCCCCAGCCTCGGGTGCAACCCAATCACTGACGAGTTCATCCCCAACACCACCGCGTTACACCTTACTACCGTCACTACCAGCTCCAACGATAATGGAAAATCCGCTTATACCAATTCCATTGCCATCGCAGATTGATCATCTATCGGAGCCAATGCATCCACCGCCGGACTACATGACTGTGCAGCAGGTACCCTTTTGTTACCGCGGGCCACACTGCTGGGACCAGACGGATGAGCCACTCTTCTGCTGAGGGAAGTCAGTCGTCAGTCTGTCATTCAGTCAAATTTATAAGAGAATATGTTATAATCAAACGGAATTTAGGATGTCCTGGGTATTTTGATTATTTCGGGAGAATTTTTTCTTTTGTTTTTTCATTAGTTAAAACTAGCTACTCGAATCAGATACCGATGAAATTCAATGAAGAAATACGTATGAAAAAATTCAAGAGAAAAACTTTGTCTCGCCAGATAATTCGAGTGGAATTCTCGCTATTTTTATAGAAAAACATCAATAGATGACAATTTTTCTATTCATTAATAATATTGATATTAATGTTCTATCGATATTTCTTCTATAGAAATCTCTACATAAATTAAGTACTTTCATTCGCAATTTCTCTTTAATTACACTGTTAGAAATTTTTTGAAATTTCATGGAAGGTGTTATAGTAAATCTCATGGGAGTGACATAGAATCGGATTTAGGGAGAAAATGGTTATGAAATTTCAAGTTTTAAGTAGAATTCACGGAAATTCATGAATTTTCAGTGGAATATGAATATTCAGAAACAAAATGACATGATTTCTCAATTTTTCCCTGAATTTTCCTGATTTTTCTAGATTTTCCGAGAATAATTAAACTGAAAAATCAAGTATTGTATTGATTCCCGGATCATTTGAACAGAAAATCAATGGAATATTTGATTTTTCAATAACAAGATTTCCTGAAATTTCAGTGGAACACGATAAAAATTTCCGGAATTTGAAACGGAAAATTCAGACGAAAATTTTTAACAGTGTAACACATATTTTGTTTGAGCTTCTGTTGAATTTTTCCCGATGAAAAAATGAACAGAATTTATCGCCGAACATTTCAGAAATTAGCGGAATCCCCAGGACATCTTTAATTAAATATTTACGAAAAATCCAAACATCAAATACGAAATCGAAACTCAAGGACGTAATGAACAAAATAAAGTGGATTGAAAGAGTTGATAACGTGGAGTAGATAACGAATTCGAGACTACCACTGCGGGAGGGTCAGTATTTGCACAATGACTCTCTTGAGATTGTACCTGTAGAATTAAAAAATACGATTGAATAATTGTAGCGTAGGACCTGCACTGTGGGTCACCCGATAATTTTGGGTTCATTACCAGTCGGCATTAATTTTTGGCGACTAACAGTAATGGTTATTGAATAAAAAATGAAGGGAAGTATTTAAGGCAATTTGAACAAAGTTGTCTTGCTGTTAGTATTTTACTTTTCTCGGTCTGTAAATATTTTTTATTCTCGATTATTCATTAATTATGCATTTAATCGTTTCGGTTTGAGCGTTGGAATAATTCATTTCATTTCCACTTCGACATTGCAGTCGACTCTTTGTATAAGATACTTCCTTCGTTGCTCCCTTATTCAGTGAAATTCTTACCTCTAATCATTTAATATCGATAATTAATGAGTCAATTCGTGTTTAAATACTATTATTTCATGTAGTCCTCTTTCCCTCTTTTCTTCGAACATAACTGCACATGATAAAAACACTGGAATCCACTCGTCTCTGAGGTTTGACCTCTGAAAACGCTTAACACTCAAGATCATTTGACCCTCAAGGTCATATTACCCTTACGATCACTTCAGTCGTTCCTTCCGTGACGCTCAAGTCCTTTTGACCTTTATGATCACTCTCCATTCTTCATTCTTTAAAAAATACCACGGGTATCGGGTGGGCGGTGATAATCTTCGAGCGCTCGAAGTTCGATGTTTCTCATAGAGTGATATCTTATACAGAGGGTCAATTAGCTCTCGGAAATGAGACCCTCGAGTGGAAAATTTCAAGTCTCTTAAGAGACTCGAGTCTCATCTCGAGTTTTTCACTCGAGACTCTCATTTCCGAGATCCAATTGACCCTCTGTATAAGAATCTCTTGAGAGAGTTGAAATTTTTCACTCAAGTGTCCTTTGACCTGTGTCCTAAGACCTCTGTTTTCACTATAAAATTCCATGGCCATGGGTATCTTATATGGAGAGTCAACAGTAATTGTTGTATATTCACATTATTCATCAGCTGATAGTTTTTTTGTCGAAGTCCTTCGGATTATGGTGATGTGCCAAAATAGTTCTCATTAGCGAGTAGCTTTATTCATTGACTACTATGAATAATACGTGAGTGTTAAATTATATTGTACGCGGCTGTGAATTCGAGCATCTCAATGGAGGTTTGCCAAGGGTAATAAACAAATTATAACACGAAAATGATGAAGTTAATTCGGAGGGACGGGCGAGCGTTCAGCCACGATTTTATAATTATGAAATATTTAATGAATATAACAAAAGTTAATTGTATTCAGCGACATCAAGTACTTGCGTTGCGAGTGGACAAATGGAAATAAACTGTTGATCTTTTTTATGCATCTGCTGAGGACACGTGAGAGGCCGCCAGGTCAATTCAACGGAATCAAGTGCTGTTGATTCTGAGGAAAAATACATCGTTTTGCTGTTCTAATTGTTGTGTGAATGAGAAAGCAATTATTCACTTAATATGTTATTAACTCTCGTTCCATTCATCGTTAGAGAACAAATTCGCTAGGAAATTCTATTTAATTTCTATTGAAAAGGATTTCAATAGAAAGAATTTCATTGGATTTCTATTTGTTGGAAATCAGAAGGTTAAGATTACTATATGACCGGAAAAATTTCTTAGAAAAAGCTAGAGAATTCTATAGAGATTTCTATTGAAGAGGTCTGCAAGTTTACGGCGAATTTTTTACAGAAAATCAGCAGAATTCATGCATGAAAAAAATTTAATACAAAAACTTAGCGAATTCGCTAGACAATCCTTTTGAACCTTCTATTAGTTTTTGGGCGATTCTATTGAAATATTCAATTGGAAATATTCTATAGAAAAAGTAAATACAATTCAATGTTTCTATACAAGTTATTCTATTGAGATATTTTCTATAGAATTTCCTCGGCTCTAATTTTCTAAGTGTTTTTTGTTCGATTTTTTCTATGAAGAGAAAAAAAAATTGAGTGAAAACAACTTGGAAAATTTGTGCCGGGGAAATTCTATAGAAAATATTTCAGTACAATAAATTGTATAGAAAAATCGACTTCTATTGACTTTTTTACTAGAATATTTTCTATTGGACATTTTAATAGAATGGGGCAAAAACTAATGGAAAATTCAATAGAAATCCAATAGAATTATCTAGCGACTTCCCAAGGTTTTTCTATTAAATTTTCTTCATTTTTCTTCTCTTTTCATTAATAAAATCAAACAAAAAATCTTAGAAAATTTTCACTCAGTAATTTCTATAGAAAACATCTCAAGTTGTATAGAAAAATTGAATTCTGTTGATATTTTCCATAGAATATTTTCCATTATCCATTTTTTCTAAAAAAAAAAAAACATAAAAACTGCGGAATTTGTCAACAGAATCAGCAAAAACTAATAGAAATTTGCAAAAAAATGAATAGAATTTTCTAGCGAATTCCCCAAGTGTTTGGGTGAAAATTTTTTGTACAAGTATCATTTCACATTTGAATAAAAAAATATCACTCAATTCTTAGAACAGTTACGACCACGCAACCTTAATCAGACAAGTGTAGAGATGCATAAATGTATTTCAATAATTTGTTTTTCGATGCGAAATATTAAAAAAAAATAGAGAATAGGTAAATTGTTACAGTAAAATTGAAACTAACGTCGATATTCGACGAAGTGAGTGCCCTTAGAAATACCGTTATCTCTCATTTTCATTGAGTGAAAATGGTCGTCTGTCAGCAACTGATGATTATAAATTACGAATAATTGTTCACGAACGATTATAATTTTTTATTGCTATTTACTTTGAATTATTCAACTTACTTATCAATACTTGAGTAGCGAAAAACTGTACTCATAAGTAATTGCATTTAAATTAATAGACTTCGTTGAGTGTAAATGGCAGATCACCTGAGCATGTCACTAGGAAATTCCGAAAATACATATTTTAAAGTTAAAAAATAGAATTACAAGGGACTTTGAATGAGTTCCACAAAATTTTGTTAGAGAGAAAAAAAATTCAATCGATGTTTTTAAGGTTGAATAATGAAAAATTAGGAATTTATAAACAGCTGAAAATAGCTGGAAAATTAATTAGACTGCGTAAAATAGCTACGAGGAAGTTTTTCATATCACTGAAAATTCTTTTCGTATTTCCCCTCAATTTTATTTGACATTTAGATGAAGAGCATTAGGACTATGGAGTAGGTTAAAATTATAGGGTAGTTGTCTAGATACTGTTTTTTTGGTATCTCTGGCTGTACTCGAGTTTAATCATCCTGTTAATCAGCCTTACCGAATTTTTAGATTATTTCTGGACAACAATTTCGTCGAACAGATGAAGAAATTGACTTGTTAGTGAAACAGAACGAATATTCTGTTGCGAAGTTGTGGGATGAGTTGAGGAAATTGCACTTGAAATTCAGATTTTTCTGAATGTTTTGAAAGGAGATGGGGACATTTTCATTTGGTCAAAATTTAAATGGATTTCTATGGAATTCTCTGCAGGTCTTCAAGTAAAAATGTACAATTGAAAATCTTTGCGAAAAAATTAGTGGATTTTTATCTTTCCACGTAGAAAAAAAATTGATAGAAAAACCTAGCGAATTCTTTTGGATTTCTTTTGAACTTTCGATTAGTTTTTGGCCGATTCTATTGAAACGTCCAATAGAAAGAGTCAATAGAATTCGATTTTTCTGTATAACTTATTTTCTTCAGATATTTTCTATAGAATTCTATTTTTTCTTTCTTCTCATCAAGAAAATTTGAACCGAGGAAATTCAATAGAAATTTCTAACGAATTCGCTAGGTTTTTCTATTAATTTTCTTCATCCTTTCTGTATAATTATTCTTTTATTATTTCAAAAAATTGCATAAATAAGAAGCTGCGAAAATTTTGAGCCGACAAATTTTTATAGAAAATATCTCAGTAGAATAAGTGGCATAGAAAAATCGAATTCTACTGATTTTTTCTATAGAATCTTTTTTATTGAACATTCATATTGAAAAAAATTGCAGACAAGCTGTCAAAACGGTAAAACGGTACAAGTCAATTTTGACTATTAACCAGTATTCAATGAATATCTCGGAATCTAAAGGAGATAGCAAAAGTTTTGTTATAACCTTTTTTGTAGAGCCGATTGAGAGCTACAACAAATATAATTACGAAAATTTCGCTATCTCCCTTACATTCCGAAATATTCCTCAAAAACTCAACTGGGAGTCGACTTAAACCGTTTTACCACTTCGCTACTGAAATCCAATAGAATTCTCTGTCGACCTTTCAAAATTTTCCTGTGAAATTGTTTCGTACGTGTCAACAAAAATCCTCAACATCGTCGTACACCTTCGCTGGAGAACTAGCCCGACTACGTCCCTAAAAAACTGCAGAGTTGTCAATGGATAATTAAATAAATAATTACGTCATCCCCGGTGATGCTGAACAAAACGAGAATTAAGAGCGTTACTGCGTGATTTGAGAATCTCAAAAGATGTAAAAGAATCGTTCAACGCCATACTGCCTCACGATAATGAAAAGAAAACGATGAAAAAACTTTTTTCTAGATTTCACAACAGCGTAAAAAGGCCACAAGTCATCAACAAATTCATTAACACTAGATTAGATAGTTCAGACAGGAGTCGAGTAACTGGTGAAAATAAATGATATTACCCTCATCTCAACACTTGTTTCTGACGTTTCTGTAGCACGTGAGACCTTCCATCCGCATCACTAATTTCAGGATTAATTGATTCATTAATTTTGTAACATTTGTTGTTAATGTAAGTAGGGATTCAACTGTTGACTGAATGTGAGAAAATTGCGAGCGAATGTGGTAACGAGTGCAACTGAATTTTGATGATATGACTCCAATAGTTTGATTCGTGGTGAGACATCGACGAATGAACAACACCAAATCACGTGTTGGGAGGGGAGCGGATAATCGATCTGATGCCAAGATTACCAAACATCCGAGGATTAGTGGAGCTTCCTTTTAATCAATAGAGCTACATAAAGTCAACAAAACGCGTACGAAGAAATTTAATCGAAAATTCTAGCCCTTCATGTGAGAAATTCTATTGAATTTCTGCTGGAATTCTATAAAAATTCCATTTGTTTTTTGCGCGGACTCTTTTAAAAATTATGCAACTCATTCAATTGAGACTATTTCTATAAGAATTGTTGATCAAGAATTTTTAAAGTATTTCATTCTTGGATTTCGTTATGAGAAACCAGGCAGTACCGAAGCTGCAAAACTGTTCAAGTAGATTTTCATATATTTATAATTTATTATTCAGTTTGGAATGAATATCTCGGGATCTAAGGGAGATAGCAAAATTTTTGTGAAAACCTTTTTTGTAGGCCTCAATGTGCTCTACAGAAAAGGTTATTACGAAAATTTCGCTATCTCTCTTAGATTCGGAGAGATCCCTAAAACACTCTGCGGCCTCAATCCACTTTGGATTGATCAACGGAAAAAACTTGGAAAATTTATGCCCGAGAATTTCTATTCAAAAATAAACAGCTATCGACTGTTTTCTATGAAATATCTCTTAATGAAATAATAGGATAAAATTGCATAATCTCCAATAGAATTGCCGCAAAAACAATTTTTTTATTGAATTCCAATAGAATTCTTTTAGACTTTCAGCAGAAATTCAATAGAATTTCTTGAAGAAACCGCAAGTTTTTCTGCTAAATTATTTCATACGTTAAAGAATGAGGGTGGGGCACAATGGGGCTTCTCAAAATAGTGAAAGAATGGTGAAACGAGAGGATTGATTTCCCTTTGTTGAATAAAATTTTAATTTCACTACAATTCGCTAAAAAAATCTATTGAATTTCTATAAAATTTTCTATCAATTTTTTCCGAAAGTCCGCAGTTGATCCGTACGTTTTTTTATAGAAAATTTCAAAGGAAAATGTTCTATAGAAAACATTAACAGAATAAGATTTTCTTCGCAACTTATTGAGATATTTTCTATAAAGATTCAACTGCCCCAATTTTTCAGTTTTCTATTTGATTTTCTTAATAAACGAGAAGAAAAATAGAGTATGAAAAACCAAGAAAAATCATATCGAGGGATTTCTATAGAAAATCTGTCAATGGAAAAAGTTGTATAGAAAAATTAAAATCTACAGATTTTTTCTATTAAAAAAACGCGCAGTAAAGCTGCAGAATTCCAGATAGTTGAGAGGCGTGCCCGCCATCTTGCTTAGACCCCTTCCTCTGCCGGGAGGGGCTTTCAAGATGGCGGCGTCTCCACCTCGTGTTTTTAAACATTTCTTTGAATGACTTATCCTCTGCAGACTGCCGTCAACTCGGCACACCTACTTTCTATGAAATGAACAAATCTTTTGAGCCATCTTCCAGATTTTTCCGTGCCCTTTTGACTGAAAATTCAAGGCTCAAAGTTTTCTCCGCAATTTCAGCAGTTGTTTTTCATCCGAGGACCTCTAATCGATCTCAAGATATTCAGTAAAAACTAAAATTCGAGTGATATCGACTCCTCTCGTTTCTCCACTGAATCAAACACGCGCTATTCAATTTCATTTCCTTCAACATGGCTCACTAGAATTATTGAAAACCATTCCGCCTCTGGTTAGGAAAAAAATAGGAATTCAAAAACAAAGTGTAGCTGTATTTAGGTGAATAAACTGCTGAGTGAGTATTAGCTGTAAAAATAACGTACGAGTTTGTGTGCAATTATCAAAAAGTACTTTGTGATTAGTCGAAGATTTAGATTATTAAAATCAAGAGGATAATTAAATCATGAATATAAGGCTCCGGTCGGGGGCATCTCGTTATGCTCACAAAAATAATCAAGAGAATTATATCGATTTCTAAAGCAGATTAAATGAACTCTTTAGTGAAAAGGCGTGTATTGAAGAGTTGATGAAGAGACAGATACGATGTTATTGATTAGAGGAATTAAATTTCATTTCAGTAGTGAAGTGATAAAATAGAATAAGTCAACTTGAGAATGAGATTTCAATCAATGTCTTTAAATCTAAGGGAAGTTCGTGGGAAGAAACACCTAACGCATTCGTTAGCAAGTTCTTTGATTTCCAGCAGAAAATTCTCCGGCGTTTCTGCGCATTTTTTAAAATGGAAGTGCTCAATATAAAACATTTTACAGAAAAAAATCGATTGCCTCGCATAGAAATTCCAGAATCTATTGAATTTTCCAAAGCAATATTTTCCGTCAAAAATTTCTACAAAAAAAATGCACAGCGAAGTTGCGGAATTTTTCAGTAGAATTGGCGAAAACCTTGTCAATTTTTCTAGCGCATGTCTGTACAGCAATTGTCATTCTCCTTGGATCTCGAAATATTTTCTAAAAACTCATCTTCAAGTGGAACTTCACTACTGATTTGCGGAATGGCCTACTGGGCAAATTCCTCTATTCGTCATTTAATCTTCAAATTTGTATGTTATGAACAAAAACGTTATCTTTAGGTATAATTATTAAAGAGTGGAATCATGATGTTAAATAAATTGTTGCGTGCTCCTTCTTTTTAATAAAAGCTCATGTTTCCTAAATTATTTTCAACTATTAATTGAAGTGAGAATAGAAATTAATCCTTCCTACCTTCCTGCTCTGAACCTTGTCCGTTATGCTCCCAATGGAATTTTCAGGATGTTTGAGTAACCAAGGCCGTTTCCATGGCATCCACGTAAATTATTAATTCGAAGTGGGGATATTACCTACAATTGTTTATCGTGACGAAATTACTAGAACTGAAAAATTTTCATGTAAAAACCTAGCGAATTCGTTAGACAATTCTATTGGATTTCTATTGAACTTTCTATGAGTTTTTGGCGAATTCTATTGAAACTTTAAATAGAAAATTTTCTGTAGAAAAAGTCAATAGAATTTGATTTTTCTTTACAATTTATTCTATTGAGATATTTTCTATAGAATTTCCTCGGCTCAAGTTTTCCATTTTTTTAAATTCTATTTTTCGTTTCTCTTCATCAAGAAAATTAAACAAGACTTAGCAAATTTAGGCAGAGGAAATTCTAGAGAAAAAATCGAATAATTAATAATCGAAATATTTTCGTTCAATAGAAATCCAACAGAATTGTCTAGCGAATTCGTTATGTTTTTCTATGAAATTTTTTCGTACATGATGTGTCTGGGGGATGAAATAAGAAGACAAATAAAATTGGTAAGTTCACGAAACTAATTTGTTATGGCAATATTTATCGTTGTTTGTTACATTAATCAATGATATTTCGATGGCTACAATAAATACAAAATTAATTAAACAATCCAATCGATCAATTCAAAAATATATAATATTGGTCATAAACTAGGTGAATCTTTTAGTTTGAACAGAATCATCATGAAATATTCCTATTGCACTACCATTAAGCACCAACTTTGTTTGGAAGATCTAGGGATTCAGAAAATAAAAAAAATGTTTTTCACTCATATCAATTAAAAAATGAAAAATCGTCAACACACGGGGATTTCTTACAAAAATAGATGAAATTCGTCTAAGGCAGGATGTTGCAATCGTGTATCAGTGGAAAAATATCATCGAAAAATTCTACAATGTTGTAAATATTATGTTTCAATCTCGAATTATCTCAGGGTAATAATTCGTATTTCAAGGCCAGTCTAAATTTTCATAATTGCCGGTGTGCGATCGTGACGAGATTCGAGTAATGATGATCACTTAGGCCATAGGTTCACGCACGAAAAAAATTTCATAGTAAAACCTAGCGAGTTCACTAGACAATTCTATTGAAAGGTTCAATAGAAAATATTCTATAAAAGAAATCAATAGAATTCTATTTTTTTATACAACTTATTATATTGCGATATTCTCAAATCCTCGGCTCAAATTTTCAATTTTTTTTCCATTTTATTTTTTTTTCATCAAGAAAATCAAATGGAAAAGTCGTAGAAAATTAGAGCCGAAGAAATTTTATAGAAATCATCTCAATAGCATAAGTTGTATAGAAAAATCGAACTGTATTGAATTGTTCTGTAGAATATTTTCCATTGAACATTTCAATAGAATCGGCCAAAACTGATAGAACGTTCAATAGAAATCTAATAGAATTGCCTAGCGAATTCGCTAGGTTTTTCTATTATTTTTTCGTGCATGAATTCATGAACAAAAAAAATTTCATAGAAAAACTTGATGAATTCGATAGAAAATTCTATCAGTTTTTGAACAATTCTCTTGGAGAATTCCGGAGATCAAGTTTTATTCACTCTATTTTTCTTCTTTCTTCATTAATAAAATCAAACAAACACACTTGGAAAATTTGAAGGGAGAAATTGTATAGAAAAGAGTTGTATAGAAAAATCGAATACCATTGATTTTTTCTGTGGTATATTTCCTATTGAAAGTAAATGCGCAGATAAGCTAATGAATATTCAATAGAGTTGTCTCGTAAATTCGCTAGGTTTGTCTATGAAATTGTTCCGCACGTGCTTGTAAATACATTGTTAAAACACATACGATGGTTAATCATAGTTAACCCTGTCTGGCAGGAGTCGTAAAAATCGAGACTCCGATAATTAACGCAGTAATTAAAAAATTAGAATTTTGTTAATTGAGGAATCATTTTGGGAACAAGTGGAATGAGGAAAAATGTCAGACTTTTTTATCTTTTACCCTGGGACCACTTGTTACCAAAATACTTTGAGATTTAGGAATTCATAAAGACGAAGTTTTCTCTTCTGTTAAATTTTACCACTTCACTATTAAATTACAGACGAATGAACAATTCCGACGGAATTATTTCAGAAATATAGAGGTTAAGGGGCCTCGGGAGAGAAAAAATCTAAAAGGAATGGAAAAACCTGAAAAATGGCATAAGAAATTTATCCGTTTCATAGAAACCGAGTGAAGTGAGTTGAGGTCGATCTCATCAGGATAAATAATTTTAAAAAATGTTTGAAAGTACGAGGTGGAGGCGCCGCCATCTTGAACCGCCACGCCTGTTAATCACCTCGTATTTTTAAACATCTCTTGAATTTATTTATCCTCTTCAGACCAGCTTCAACTCGTTGCATCGAGTTCCTCAGAAATGAACAAATTTTTCAAGCTATCCTCCAGATTTCTTCATCCGTTTGTGATTGAGAATTTATGGCGCAATATTTTCCCCGCATTTCAGCAGTTCCAGCAACTTCCGGGGACCCCAGAAGATGGCTCTTCGTTGTTAAAAAACAAGTCAATAGGTTGATTAATCAGTACGTGGTTCAATTTTTTAAATTGAAAACAGAACATTTTCCGTAACTCCTCCCGATTTTCTTGATTATCTCTGTAACGAGTGGATTTGCAGTAAAATCTCACAAGATATGTTTTGTAGATCTTAAAAAATTCTCCAAAAAATGTTCCGAGACATTTTTTCCTAAAACCCCTCGTTATCGGGATAATTTGGGATTTCGAAACTTAAAGAAAAACTGAATTGTTCTGTTCTGTTCTGTTGTTTCCTCACGTAATTACTCGACGTTAAAATGAAAATTGAGTGGTTCAGTGACAGCAGAAATGAGAAATGGTACTTCATCGCTGAAAAAACCCCTCAGACTAATTGATTAATGAATTAATAATACAAGTAATAATTTCATTCCTCAAATGAAAACTTTCGTGTGAACTTTTGGGTGGATTCCATGAGGTACAATTAATATTTCGAATAGTCGTGAAACGCATTCATGGAAAATGACGGGTGTACTGTTCTGCATTGAGTAGAATAGTGTCGGCGAATGAAGGACGGATGATGCTAGATTTAGTACTGGTACCAGGGCTGTCGTCTTACCCAGCGTAATTTCATTCCCGATGCTGTGCGAATTTTAATACTGGCACATTCGGCGGCACGAACTGTTTCCTTCACACTTTGCATCAAATTCTGGGCATTGCCGACTAGCATATCGGTTGCCTCTTGATCCTCCTCGGTACCTAGGCGGAGTATATCCATTAGTTTGGCGGAATTAGGGGCGCCTACCCTGTCTAGAATCTAGAGTCTAGATGTACTTGGAATTTCTACGGGGATGCATCCACGCACGAAAAAAAAATCTCGTAGAAGAATCTATGAAAGAATCTGTAGAAAATTCTACTGGTTTTCCATTGGAAATTCTATTCGTTTTTAGAAAATTCTGATGATGAATTGCGCAGCTTTAACGTACGTTTTTTCACTGAAAATTTCCAACAGAAACTATTTTATAGAAAAAAATAAAAGTAGAATTTCAGTAAAAATATCAGTGGAATTTCTTGCTTCTATACAACTTCTTCTATTCAAAAATTTTCTATAGAAATTCCTCGACATGAATTTTCTATTCATTTTCTATTTTTCTTTTCTTTTCATTTAAAAAAATGAACAAAAAAGGTTGGAGAATTTGAGTTAACGAATTTCTATAGAAAATATCACAATAGAATAAGTTGTGTAGAAAAATCGAATTTTACTGGATTTCTGATAAACTTCTATTTAAAAATTCTCTTCGTTTTTAGAGAATTCTATTGAAGAATTCCGCAGCTTTACAGCGCATTTTTTATAGAAAATTTCGTAGAAATAGTTAAAAACTATTTTTACGAAAAAAATCAGTAGAATTTCTTATTTCTATAGAACTTTTTCTATTGGAACATTTTCTACAAAAATTCCTCGACATGAATTTTCTATTCATTTTCTATTTTTATTTTCTTTACATTTAAAAAATTGAACAAAAAAGCTTGGAGACTTTGAGCCGACAGATTTCTATAGAAAACATCACAACAGAATAAGTTGTATAGAAAAAATCGAATTCTCTTGACTTCGTTCTACAGAATATTTTCCAGAGAACATTTCTATTGAAAAAAACGCGCAGATAAGCAATATATACGAAAATTGAATTATTTTCCACTCGAAGATGAGTCTTTGGAGAAATTATCTTGTATTTCATTCTAAAGAAAGGAATACCCACAAAAGTATGGCTACTTCTCGTAAATTTCAAGATGATTTATCTCGGAATTGAGAAAAGATCGAATATTTTGTGAAGAGTTTTCTGTGCAGAAAAGGTCCAAAATCCAAAAATATTGGCTAAAAACTCATCTTGAGGTCAAGTTATGACTTCAAAAATGACTGAAAAATTTTTTCTACTAAAAAACATCGTCTCGTGATCGGACATTACAAACGTGCTATAATTGTGCTTTCATGCGAATCATAGAGACCATCAATTCTACTCTAACTTCTGCATATGAAAGTGCTCGTTTAAAAAAATAGACATTCATAAACGTGCGAAACTGTCACGTATGAACAAATTTCATAGAAAAATCTAGAGAATTCATTAGAAAAATCCATAGGATTTTCTATTAGTTTAAATTAAATTTAAAATTTTCTATTAGTTTTTTGCCGATTCTATTGAAATCTTCAATAGAATTCAATTTTTCTATAGAACTTATTCCACTGACTTTCCATAGAATTTCCTCGGCTCAAATTTTCCAAGTTTTTTCATGCAACTTTTTTCTTTTCATCAAGAACATCAATCGAAAAAACTTAGAAAATTTGAACCAAAAAAATTCTATAGAAAATATCTCAATAGAATAAGTTGTACAGAAAACATTTCAATAGAATCTAATAAAATTGTCTAGCGAATTCGCTAGGTTTTTCCATTAAATTTTTCGCGCGTGGTCTATTATAATCTAAGACTAACCACTAAATATTATTATAAGGGGAAACTTTCATCGTGACTTACTGCATCCAATAATTTCATCTGTAACCAGTGATATCGTTGGGGGATGTGTTTATTTATTTATTTTGGTTTTCATGAAGCCAACCGTGTCGGTTTTTTCATGCCGTAAAAAAGAAGTTGAAGAATAAATAAGACAAAATGTTATAAGTGAGTTAGTCCTAAGAATAAGTACTAGAATGCAGGCTGGGCGTTACTATAATTATCAAGCACTTGTTGAAAGCGACATCAAGGTATCGATAATTTGTACGAATGGTGAGAATATTGATGAAGAGAAAATCAAGGCTGCTTTTTGTGCAAAATAATGAGAAAAAACCCGTGGAAATTGAGTTTTCGGTGGAAATTTTTGTGAGAACATATTTTTCCGCTAAATTTTTTTGTTTCTGATCATAAAATCCATGACAAAAAATAGCGAAATCATGGCCCAAAATTTTTATAGAAATAATTCCAATAAAAACAATCCCAATAAATAAATTGTGAATTCCATAAATTTTGCTCTACTCTAGAGACACGAAAAAATTATGAAATTCAGCATTCATTTATTCATGATCTATTGCAAATAAAGTAAAACGGATGCTTAACTTTATTCTTTAGAGTTTAATGAACCTTAAAAAAAAGCTAAAATCACATGAGAAATACGGCGCGAGGAGCATTTTGAAGGTAAAAACAGGAAAAAATGAAGTTTTTTGTGATTATACGGGGCAAAATCGATTGGGTCCACGATTTTCCCCATTTATACCCATATTCCGTTATATATCACAAACTGTTCAATGGATTCTAAGGCCCAGTGAAGACTTAAATGTCACTGATCTATCCCCTCAAGACTTCAGAAATTTGCAAATAAAAACTCATTTTCAAATTAGATTGATCCACCGTCTGAATGGTGAAAATATTGACAAACAGAAAATCAAGGTTCCACTTTGTGCAAAATAATGAGAGAAAACCCGTGGACATTGAGTTTTCGGTGGAAATTGTTCTGAGAATATATTTGTCCCCTATATTATATATTTATAATTATAAAATCCCAGAAAAAAACATAGAAAAATCATGGCCCATGAATCCTTACGGAAAAAATCGCAGTAAAAATGTCGCGTAGAAAAATCTACATCGCTCAAGCCTTGAGAAATTTAGAATTCAGGTTTTTCCACGAAATTTTTTCGTACTCGGAGTTTACGGCGCTGTACGAAATAAAAAGCAGAAGCACTATACAATGTGCACTTATGTGTTGCGACCAGTCTCGAAATCCACAGCACTCAGAGCCTCCATTGTTTACTCTCATAATATGTGTCGTGAAACCACAGACAAATGCATGCAACATATCATCAACAACAATGAGTGAAAATGTGCAGCGCAAATGTACGAGGGGGCGGAGGGATATGTGAGGATGTCACAAAAAGCGCATGATTTATTTACAGCTCATTTTTACCATATAGCATCAGCTCTTCCCAGGTGGGGAGCATTTCTACGTACAAAAAATAAATTGACGTTGATTATTAACGGGTTAATCGATGAATTAGTCTGGGGAGAAAATGGCCTGAATTTGCAGTCGACTCTCCGTATAAGATACCTATCTAAAAGATACTTTTGGAACTCTTCTCTTGAGACTAAATAAGACTTGTTTCTCCCATTTGACCCTTAAGGTGTTTGAAAAATCAAATTAATGAAAAAGAATTGGAAAAAAATTGCAGGCGGCTGTATCTTTGATAGAGTTGTAATTGACCGTGAATATACGTGTGATTGATTGTACGTAAGAATTTCACGGAATAAGGGAGCAACGAAGGAAGTATCTTATATAAAGAGTCGCCTGTACTCAATGAACTTATGTGAATTACGAATGGCGATGAGGATTTTTAGTGCAGACTTTAACTCGATGATTCCTCAGAGGATTCTTTAGAAGCTGTTAAGCTTGAGACGTTTCTCTTTTCATTGCGAATGAATCTGCGATTCTCGCACACCAACTAATGCTGATATGCCTCGGTTCACGTTCAAGCTTCAATTGCCTAATTAGCGTTATATCATTGAATTGAGGTGAATGATAGTGAGCTTACCTTGAGCACCCAGCATCGTAGCTTTCACCGTTGACAGGATCTTCAATTGAGTTCCAATCGTAGGAATTCTCTCGCAGACTTGCAGTAAATTCTGTAAAGACAGGAAGAAAACATAATGAATTAATCATTCTCAAATGCTATTCTTCTTCTGTTTCAAATGGTCGTCTATTCTTTTTTCTTGTAATTTTGGGAGTTCATTTGATAATTATAATCAGAATTTAAATTATTCAAATGGAAATTCGTAAGAAGGAAGAAATTTAATTCAGTAGCAAAGTGGTAAAGCGGTTTAAGTCAATATCTCGGAATCTAAGGGAGATAGCTAAATTTTCGTTTAGACCTTTCTTGTAGCACTTTATTTGCTCTAGAGAAAAGGTTATTACGAAAATTTCATTATCTCCTTTAGATTCGGAGATATTCTTCAAAAACTCAACTAAGAGATAAGTCGACTTCAACCGTTTTACCACTTCGCTACTGAATTGTAATTATGATTAAAATCTTACTCAGCAAATCATTTATTATAAGATGAAAATTTAATAGCTGAATAAATTGGGACATAAATTGGGCATCAACACCCTGACCGGGTGCGGCCAGTTAGCATTAGAAAAATGCATAAATTACCGTTCTGATGCGCTTGTCAGTGCATTCACGGGCGAGCTCCTTAGCGAGACGAGTGACCTCCTGTGAAGCTTCAGCAATGGCCTTAGCACATGCGATCAAATCACGTTTATTGCCACCTTCACCTCTGACAAGGCCAGATAGTCTTGCCATGAGGACTGCCATTTTCTTCGCCGCTGCGATAATCTCATTGTCCTTGCTGGACCACTGACGCACCTCTTGGTGAAGTCCATGAGCTGCCATCTAAGTATTTCATGAGCATAATGAATACTCTGGATAATTAACCCTTTCTCATCACCCCTTCAATAAGGATATTTCCCGAAATTCTTTTCTCCTTTGATTTCATAATTCACGTCGCAATTTGAAGTTAAACTTTGCAAATTGTTTCTTTTTATAGTAAACAAGATCTATGCGCGCGCTCTCGCACGCGCTGATCTATTCATTTGTTGAAATGAAGAAATGGAATTCATTAAATTTCATTTTCTCATGAATACCTTATAAATATTGATAATGAATCAAAGAGAATTCAACTAATGATTGAAGTGAATAGCGAAGTAGAGTTTCAATTCAAGTTTCAATTAATTATCTTCAATTTTTTAAAATAATCGGTCTCCATAAAAGGACAGAATTTATTAATTTCACCGATGATATATATACATGTGAAATATATATATTATATATATATGACGTGAGTTTGACGCAGTTTATTGCAATTTTTCTTAACGTTGCAATTTATTAAACTCCATTTTATAAAATGACATCATTCTATTGTCCTACTTCACCCCCATTTTCATGTTTGTATTTACCATGATGGGTTGATTTGGCTGCGGTGCATGCATGAACATCTCGTCTTCGTCGTCAGTCTCTGGAGGTGGAGGACGTGGGGGTGCCACTTCACCACCGGGTAGTGGAGGCCTCGGTGGTGCCATTTCTACGAAAAAAAACCGTAAATATTGAAATCTATGGGATCAGATGAGTGTTCTTCCATGCACATTCACAAGTATCAGGATGCAGACGTTTTTATCCACTCAATTCCGGTGAAACTACTGTTCATTCATCGGCTAATTCTTACCATCGTCGTCCTCATTCCGGTAATTGTTATCGTAATGTCCTGAGCGATTTCATGCAGCGTTAGAGAGACAAAAATTGTTTCAATTAAATTTGGGGAACATTCGGGGACACGATGAGGCTGCGTTGTCATGCTTGATGAGATTCATGAAATGACATTGAACGGAAAAATTTGGTAGTCACCAGTTTGAGTAACACAATAATCGCGAGGATGTTCAGGGACTTTTTCAGTAATGAAATTGCGAAACGGGATGAGCTGAGGTAATTTCATTGTTTGTTTTTGGTGAATATATTTTTATCTGAGAGGGATTACAGGAAGAAAATACTTTAATGGAAAAATTTAGGGAATTCGCTAGACAATTCTATTGGATTTCTATTAAATTTTCGATTAGTCTTTCGCCGATTCTATTGAAATATAGATTATAATATATTCCTGTGCATTTTTTTAATAGAAAATGTCCGATAGTAACTATTTCATAGAAAAAATCACTAGAATTTCATCGGTCTCCACAACTTTTTCTATTGAGACATTTTCTATCGAAATTCCTCGAGATGAATTTTTCAAATTTTTTCAACTTCATTTTTTTCTGTTTTCATTGAAAAAAAAAAAGAAAATTCGAGCCTAGGAATTTCCACCAAAAATATCTCAATAGAATAATCTATTTAGAAAAATCTAATTCTATTAATTTTCGCAGTAGAATATTTTCCATTGAATACTTCTATTAAAAAACGCTTTGATAAGCTACAAAATCTTTCATTAGAATCGACCAAAAACTAGTAGAAAATTCAACATAAATCCATTAGATTTTTTTACGGAATTGTTTCGCGTATGAAGCCTCTGGAGGAAAACACAGAAATGCGGGGAAGACTGGGCTCCAAATGCTCAGCCAAAAAGGATGAAAAATATGAAAAAATGGCTCACAAAAATTGCTCATGTTATACAAAATGGAAGAAGCGAGTTCGGGGTAGCCTGAAGTGCATCAATTATTCGAATAAATGCTCAAAAATGCGACGTGGAGGCGCTGCCATTTTGAGAGCTCCTTGCGGCAGAGGGAGGAGCAATCGAAGAGTGCATTGGGCCGCCCGATATTCAGAACTAAAATGAAGGGTCTTTGTGAGAATTCCGCTATCTCTCGCAGACGCCGATATATTTTTCAAAAACAGATCTTGAAAAAGTGAACTTGAGGATGTCGAACTACTGTCAATTTTTTTTTGTTGAAATCCCGTCCAACATTTGTGGTTTTACATTAGGACTTCAGTTTAACACCTAATTAACCTTGGTTTCTAAACATTTTATAATTATTGTCTGAATTTTTAAGTTTTAAATTAGATTTTCCATTTTGTACCTTTAGAAACATTTTAAAAATCTTTAAAAAAAAATAGAGTTGCGAATTCTTGAGGGAGATTCATAAACTAATTGAAAAATTATTTATAAACAATTAATTTTTCGTTATAAAAGCAACCTCATCCAAAAAAATAAGTTTTAATTTTCATAAATTAGTTATGAAAAGGAATTGCTCAAGCAAAAAAATTACTCTTAAAAATTGGAATTGTGAATTCTTGAGGAAGATTCGTAAACTAATTGACAAATGATTTTTAAACAATTAATTTTCCGTTATAAAAACCTCATCCAAAAAAATGAATTTTAATTTTCAAGCTATAATCTAAGTGACACTGATTATCCATTAATTTTTCAAAATTACTCGGCTATTCTCAACTTTTCCAGTTTCACAACTTCACGACTCGAATTGTTGCTTTCAATTGAAATTACCTCCTGCGTGAGGGTATTTGTCAACATCGTCAGACGCTAGTTCCTCGTACAGAAGATCTGGATTATCTCCTGATAAGAAATTAGAAGCATTTAAACAAAGCGAGAGAAAATAAATGTCCCAATAGTAAAGTTGAAATACATTTTTCTCAACAAATGTTAAATTCTCGAGAAAATGTCAGAAGAAATATTGTCATTTTTCCTGGCAGTTTTCTCTTCAAGATAACTTGTTTTCAACATCAATGATTATTGAGAAAAAAATGAATTTTCACGTCTCTATGGAACTAATTTTGAATTCAGTAGCGAAGCGTGAAAACGGTTCAAGTCAATTTCGACCTTTGGTCAGTTTTCGATGAATATCTCGAAATCTAAGGCAGATATCAGAATTATTGTTATAACTTTTTTTGCAGCTCTCAATTTTCTCTACAAAAGAGGTCATCACAAAAATTTTGCTATCTCCGTTAGATTTGGAGATATTCCTCGAAAACTCAGCTAAAAGCTAAGTCGACTTCAATCGTTTTACGGCTTCGCCACTGAATTCTTTTCTCTGATGATTAAATATCGAATGAATTCACGTTGATTGATTTTATGAATTCTTTTGTACCTCCACGTGCCCATTTGGGTAGAGGACTAACAGAGCCGTGCTGTGGTTTTCCGACACCCAGGATAGGACTGATTGCTCCCAAATTGCTGGGAGACGGCTGATTTCTCAGCGGTTCACCCACTGGTCATTTGAAAATTTAATGATGATCATGAAGTGAGATAAATAAATGTATGAGATTCTTGATAAATTAAGTGATTGTGTAAAAACACTCGACTAAATTATCTAAAAGAAAAACTCCTTCCTTCCAGGAAATTAATAATCTAGATTAAGAGGAGGACGCATGACCAAATTTAATGAAAAAACCTAGCGAATCCGCTAGACAATTCTGTTGGATTTATATCGAACTTTCCATTAGTTTTTAGCCGATTCTATTTAAATATTCAGTAGAAAACATTCTATAGAATTTCCTCGGCCCAAATTTTCCAAGTTTTTTTCATTCTATTTTTCTCTTCTCCTCATCAAGAAAATCAAACAAAAAAATTATCAAAAATGAGCCACGGAAATTCTACAGAAAGTATCTCAATAAAATAAGTTGTATAGAAAAATATAAGTCTCTTGCCGTTTTCTATGTATTATTTTCTATTGAACTCAATAGAATCGACCAAAAACTAATAGAAAGTTCAGTAGAAATCCAATAGAATTGTCTAGCGAATGCGCTAGGTTATTCTATTAATGTTGTTCGTCTGTGATATTCCAAAGTCTAGCATATGCTTGGCGAAATAGATTGACCAAAATTGTTTTAAACTCAATGGCAGGAAAAATAAAGACTCCTGCGATTTGGAAATTTCAGTGCGATCTCCGCTTAAACTTGAAAATAATTTCTATAAATATGACTGTTCATGCAGAGATACTGTTCGTGCACACACAATGGTACCTTTGTCAGCGAAAAACGTGTGCCTAGGTGGTGGCACTTTTGCCTCTGTAATAAATATGTAAAATGTAAACTCTGAGCGTGAGGAATGATGAATTTACACAGGGGAACGATTAATTAGTCTCAAATCTTGATCACGTTGATGAAAATGACTAATAAAAAAAAACAAACAGAAAAATGTCACGTAATCTCCATGAAATTGTATTGAATTTCCATTGAATTGGATAAGTTTCATCAGGAATCAGCGCAAAAGGAACAATTTTGCATAGAACTGCAAAGGAATTTTTGTGGAGATCATTCGAATGAAATTAACCATTACTCTGTGCAAAAATAAATCCCAAAAATTAAATTGTCCTTGATTTAGAGATATCAAAAATCGTATAAAAAATCTTACCGTCATTAATTCGTAATTGCGACAAGTCGGGAGACGTCCTCTGATCGGTGTGAACAGCCCTTCGAACTTGTCCCACACTATTGAGCAACTGAAAGAAATTTCCCTTGTTGACGCACTCTGAGTATAAGTCAACATTTATTGACTGCATTCTATACAACAATATGTCGAATAGTTCAAGAGAAATCGTCGCAAAAAAAAAGGAATAGAACAGAATTTTTCTTTATTAAAAAAACTAGGTTTTCCTACTGACCTAGTGCTTTATGTGAGGAATTCTATTGAAACTACAAGAATTTTTGATCAAGGATTTTATCATTTTTTTCTTGGATTTTGTTAAGAGAAACAAATGAAAACTTGAAAATTTATGCGCAAAAATTTCTATAAAGGGATTTAAATTTAGTGGCTTTTTCTGTGAAATATATAAATAAATAATAAATTAACAGGGTAAAATTGCACAATCCCCAATAGAATTGGCGCAAAAAATAAATAGAATTCTTTAATTGAATTCCAATAGAAGAAAATGAGTAGAATTTTTTTTCTCAAAAAGACTAGGTTTTCCTCTTGACACGTTCGAAAAAATTTAGTAGAAAAACGTAGCAAATTCACTAGACAATTCTATTGGATTTCTATTGAACTATCTATACGTTTTTTTCCGACTCTATTGAAATGTTCAATAAAAAATATTCAATAGAAAAAGCCAAAAGAATTCGATGTTTCTATACAGTTTATTCTGTAGAAAAAATCTGAAAAGAATAAGTTATACAGAAAAATTGAATTCTATTCACTTCGTCTATCGAATATTTTCTATTAAAAATGTCAACAGAATCGGCCAAAAGCTAATAGAAAGCAACACAAATCCACTAGAATTTTCTAAAGAATTCGCTAAGTTTTTCAATTAAATTTTTCGTACATGTGAACATAAAAAAAATTCTCACCGCTCGATTGCTCTCCCTCCACCTCGAAATGGCGGGTCCATCCGTAATATTCATAGCCACGGCCTTGGCATCCTGCACCATCGGCGTGACAGAGTGCTGAAGTACATCAGTAGCCTGATTGACCCTCTGTATAAACGGCAGATCCTCGCTGTTATCGCTCTCCTGTTTAGCCACAAGAATAACCCGATTAGCCAATCTGGCAATGGCAGCAGTATTGTCCACCATCTTCTGTGGATGCTGCTTGGCAATGGCGTCTTCACAGAGAAAAGCGTGCTTCTGCATCTGCTCCTCCGACGTTCTGATGAAATCAGCACTGTCAGTGGCTTCGTCACAAAGTCCCCGAGTTCTCTGCATTGTCTCAGCAAATTGCTGGCGTAAATTTTCAAAGTGTTCGTGAGCTGCTTTGCTCTCTGGATAGCTCATCCTGATTCTTCCGGCATTCACCAGCTGTGGAGTGAGTGATTCCACCTGTGATGCACTCGTGAGAAGAGCCTCAGCGAGTTTTTTATTGCCTCCACTGCCCCCAGCTGCCACCATCCGCGCGGTTTTGGCGGCTCTGCTGGAGAAACTCTGGAGGGCGTGGGTTTTATCATTGAAATTTTGCTCACGTCCTGGGGTCCCTTCGGGGGTCAATACAGCATCGGTGAATTGTTTCAATGGAGTCGTTATGTCGATGAAGTCCTCGACTACTCGAGAGACAACGGCTTGTTGAATGCGATTTTTCAATTCGTAGAGCTTCTGCGACAGTTGACGGGCGATCTCCTGGGCTCGGGGGGTGTTCCCCTGGCCGTGGGCACAGAGGTCGGCCAGTTGGTGGGATAGAGTGTCAACTTCATCGCATAACTGGAGAATTTCCGCTTTGTGAATGCCTGGGAGACCCTCCGCAACCTTTAATCAAGTTTTTGGTGAAATTTATTCATTTTTCTTAATGTCAGTCGTTTGATTAGGGGAAGACACTTACGTAGGCTATACCCTGCTGATTGAGTATGTCCAGGGAAGCATTTGTTGTAATGATATCCTTGTGATTATTTTGATGATTTATTTTTTGTTGGGAAAGGGTGGTATTTGTCAAATTTTGATAAAGTCGAGTTTCTTGGGCATTGAGGGAAAGAAAATCTAGAGGTGGTTTAATTTCATTTCTAGCACTACAAGTCGTTCTCACCAATAATAAAAAATCTCGTGTTGAATATTTGAAGACACGCACGAAATAATTTAATAGAAAAACCTGGTGAATTCGCTAGACAATTCTATTGGATTTCAATGCTATTGAAATATTCTATAAAAGTTGACGATAAAAACAAGAAATAATGAAGTTTTTCGTAGTTATACGGGGCAAAATCGATCGGGTCCGCCATTTTCCCTAGTTATTCTTATATTCTGTCATCTATCACAAACGGTTTAAAGGGTCCCAAGGTCCAGTGAAGGCTTTTAAATTTCCCCGACGTATCCCTTTAAAAATAAAAAAAATCTCACCTTTTTACCCTCATGAATAATCATGGCGATGGCTCTCTGTCCGAGTCCCCTGTCATCCTGTTGCGGATTCAATAGCCACTTGTTCGCCTGTTCTAGACGTCCAGCCACTGTGTGAGCTGTCTGAGCAAGCCCAGACTTGTCAGCTGCCACCAGAGCAGATGCCACTGACGACCGAAGTTCATTCAATTTATCCTTTATTCCACGAGCGAGGGACTCTGCCTGCGGTGTAGTTCCTAGTGAATTTCAAAGTGTGTGAATGCATGTCTCGTTTAGATGCCGAGATATCCAGAAACTCGTCATCATGAAGAATCATTAAATTCTCATTAGAAATGGAAAAATAAATTGATAAGGCGCGATCAGTAGTATCAATAAGACACCTTCACTCATTTTATTTCATGGGATTGAAATATTTTCACTGAAATAAATATATGGTTTTGTTATTTCCAACGAAAATAGATTTGAAATTCAGGGGAGGGCTACTGCAATGAGATTACTCATACATTGAAGATCAATTATCTGTCTAAAAAGGAATAATTAGTGCAAAAATTTGTTGTTTATTGTTCGTTTGCTCCACACACGCTTAAAATGTTGAAAATAGTCCACGGCCGCCAATTTTTGAGCTAGAGGTTTTTTTTTCAAAATTTTTGAAAAAGTGTATACATTAACAATTACGAATTAGTTTTGTTTAATATAAAAATTTGCGCCATTCATGTAGAATAGGCAAAAAATTATCCTTAAAATATTTAAAATATGTTGTCAATTCTTTCAGAACCTTTTTTGGGCTATTTTACATGAATGGTACAATTTTTTATTAAAGAAAACGAAATTATCTGCGTGGAAGTCGAATTTCAAAAAACTAATTCGAAATTGCTATCGCAAACATTTTTTCAAAAATTTTGAAAAAAACCTCTGTGTAAACATATCATAAACAATTAATTTTTTTGCAATAATTATTCATTTTTAGACATATATAATCGATCCTCAAGGTATGAGTGATCTCATTCCAGTAGCTCGCGACTTTTAAAACTCATCGTAGTCTCCCTTAATGGAAAACTTCAAATGAAGAGTTATTTTATTTACATTGACATTTTTCTGGATCTACAAGATTCATCAATTGTTGAGTATCGAATATTAACTGTTTAAACATTGAAGATTAATTCAGTAGCGAAGCGGTAAAACGGTTCAAGTGGACTTATCTCCCAGTTGAGTTTTTTAAGAATATTTCCCAATCTAAGAGAAATAGCGAAATTTCCGTGATTACATTTGTTGTAGCTCTCAATCGGCTCTACAAAAAAGGTTATAACAAAAAATTTGCTATCTCCCTTAGATTTCGAGATAATCATTGAAAACTGGCCAATAGTCGAAGATGACTATATACCGTTTTACCACTTCGCTACTGAATTATAAATTGATAAGGGCTGCTTACCCTTTCCATCCTGACGAAGTTCACAGAGTGCATCTGTCATAGTTGAAATTTCACCGGCGAGTTTTTTCAAGGGATCTGCCTGTGCCGGGTGCAAATACCTCTCAGCCAGCCTCTCCGCCTGTTCAATAATTTGTCTGAGACTCTTTTCACCGACACCACCACGCATTGCCCTACCGTCGTCCAGCCAATCGTGCGCTGCTCGTACACGAGATTCAATAGCACTCTGTGCCTTCTTCAAGACCTATAGAATGTTCCAGTTTTCGTTACATAATGTCAATGAAAATTTCGAGAATATACTCACCCAAAATTTCTTGATTTACAACAATTTCCATCGGATTATTCACCTGATATTTACAACTTCCGTTGACTTTTTCATAAATTGAGAATTTTCGGAGACAAAATTCCGGAAAATTCGAGTGAAATTGTCTGTTCATTAAAATTTTCAGGAAGTGGATGAAATTTTAGCAAAAATATCATTTTGCTTGGTAAGTTACCAAAATATTACATCGGAAAATCGGCGAATTTGCAGAAGAATTCTATTGGATTTCAATTGAACTTTCCATGAGTTTTTGGCTAATTTATTAATTTATTAAATTTATTAAAATCTGGCTAATTAATTTATTAAAAAATTTCGCAGCTTATCTGCACGCTCTTTCCAGTAGAAATGTTCAATAGAACATATTCTATTTTTTTCATAAAATAGTTTCTATGGGACATTTCTATTTAAAAAACATGCAGTATAGCTGCGAAATTCTTCAATGAAATCAGAAAAACTAATAGAATTCTTAATAGAAGTTCAATAGAAATCCAATAAAATTTCTATTCACTTTTTTCTAAAGAAGTGTTCAACAGAAAATATTCTATAGATAAAATCAATATGATTTGATTTTCTACACAATTTATTCTACTGAGATGTTTTTTGTAAAAATTCCTCAGCTCAAATTTTCTACGTTCATTTGTTTAATTTTACAATAAAAAGAAGAGAAAAATTGAATGGAAAAAACTCAAAAAATTCATACTGAGGAAAATGTTATGGAAAATGTCTCAATAGAAAAAGTGCTCTTGAAATATAAAACTTTAATATTTTTTTCATAGAAAAGTTTTTACTGGACATTTTCGATTAAAAAACGCGCGGTAAAGCTGCGGAATTCTTCAATGAAATCAGAAAAACTAATAGAATTCCCAATAGAAATCCAAGAGAACTTTCTACTAAATGCGCCAGGCCTTTCAATGAATTTTTTTCGTTCACATTGATGAATTTTCGAGTGATAAAATATACTACCGTCAATTGATCAGCATCCCATTCTTCCTCATCATAAGTAGTGAGCTGAAGTACCCGAATAATCTCATTCAGCTCATCTGACATTCGTCCAGACAAGTAATTTCGATTTTCGGCAGCCTCCTCGGCTCCCCTACCCCCTTGCGATATAATATGAATGAATATTTTCATCGAGCATATGAGAATGGGGGCCAGTGTCTTGACTTGATCCAAACAACGAACTAGAATCTCCCTGTGCACCTGGTGCGTCAATTCCTTCTCCCTCGCGCTCACTTCACGCGAGACTTTGCTCAAGCAGGGGCTCAAATTCTTCAGAAAGTGAACAAGATCCTCCATTGTTTCGATTACTTCAGTCACAGCGAGATAATCCAACACTCGTTTACACTCACGGATGATTTTTCTCACTTCACTCTCGTCGAAGCAGAGGAGAAGGGAACTTGTGCCTTGGAGAATTCCACGAGAGCCTTCAATCAGTTTTTTTCTGTGGAAAATTCATAATGAGAAAAAAAATTATTCGACTCTAACGAAACGAGATTCAGCGGAATCGTTCATTGAGAGAAAGATAATGTTCAAACAAGTCTTGTTGGAACCGAAAAAATCACAAGTTGATAATGGTGCCTTCTCAGGATGAAAGTATGTCTCATCAAGTGAAGTTAATCAAGAAATATTTTGTTCCCAAATTACAGGATTGCTATCACATCATTATTATTCTATTTAAGAATTAATTTCTCATCTTCGAGTATTGGATAAACGAAACGAAAAACAACGCCATATCCATAAATTATAATTACCGTTAAATTATTAGCTAGACAATTAGTTAACATCACTCTTAAATTTTAATTACTGAAGTAATCATCAATTTAAATATTCAAATTCCGAATTATTTATTAGTCAGTAATTTAGTTAGGAAGATTGACGATTATTTGGACAATCGAGAATTCCTAATGAGAAATTCAGTATTATTTACTTGATAGAAAATTTACAGATCCATATTATTAAATATTTAATTCACCGTCAGTTGGAGATTCAGATTATCAATTATTTTAGTATTTTTTAGTTTCGATTAGTTTATTTACACCTTGATCAATGTAGGGGAGGGTGGGGTAAAATGGACACTAGACTTTTTTTAAAGTACTCATAACTCAGAAATAAATTTATCAATGGAGCTCAGTTTAGGCCCTTCACAAAGGGCAAGAATTGCTCTTAGCATTGAAAAATGTCCATTTTACCCCATTCATTCAAGAAATCACAGGAAATCATCCCATTCTGGAAATGACTGGGCCCTCCGATGGAGGCGTGACCAGCCCCCTCGTCTGGATATCATGAGTCAATACCTAGCTGGTCCGGAGTACGGATCATGTTTGAGTAATGCTGAAGCCTCTTCCAATAGCCTAGAAGCCCCCTCAACCCGTTGCAAGGCCGAAGGCATGTCCTGCTTGAGTAAGGCATCATCCGAGGAATTGATCGTTTCTTTTCCAACTTTGACGAGATTTGTCACAGCCATGCTGACCGCCTGCACAGGGCGGCCAAGGTCAGGCATAGCGTTGCCATCTTCAGCCTCTTCATGGAGAATCACGAGCCGCGAGACCTGCAGTCATTTTAAAATGTTTATTACAATAGTCTGATAGTCACATTTTTCTGATTTTTCTGAATTAATTAATTAAATCAATTTAAATGAAAATAATTATTTATTAATTGAAATAATTTATTACAATAGTTTGATAGTCACATTTTTCTCACAATTGAACTAATTAATTGAATCAATTTGAATGGAAACAATTATTAATTAATTGAAATAATTCATTTTTTCGCTCATTAAAATTTCGGGGTCGAGTGAGTGGATAAATATGTCCATTTGGCACCCACTACTGGTGCCGCCGGTTTATTTTCATCTTCTTATTACGAAAAAGGATTTCATAATTTCAACTATGGCGTGCAACAACGCGAACGTCGGCAATTGCGTAAATATTTCCAGTGTTTTGAGGATTTTTAATGCCTCAGGTATTCGATAATGTGTTCGAAACAAATTTTCTTTTCGGTGATTCATTTTCTTATGGCATGAAGCCAATCGAGCTACTTCTATTTTTCAATGAAAAATTAATTACCGAATTTTCTATTCATTTACAACAAATGTCGCTGTCTTTCGTCTTAAGGGTTTTATAATTAAATTTCGGTGGAAATTTAATGGAATTCGCTTTGAATTGGAAATTGAAAATTCAGAGATATATTTATTGACATTTTTCTGAATTTTTATAATTTTTATGGAATAGTAGAACTAAAATTCACAATTTTTGTTGATTTTTCCGTCAAATTGTGAATTTGACGAAAACAGTTCTAAGAAATGCATCAGACATTTCAGCGAACAATTTTTGCAAGTGTAGAACCGCCAGAAACAATACCAACAAATTTTCCTAAACATTCGAACCCAGACAATCCCTGCGAGCGAATGAATTTCCCTAAAATATCATGGCCATGTTTTTTTGCAACAAAAAACAACAAATTCCATTCCCCTAAAATTCGTAATATTGTTATTTCATATTTGATGATGCCGATAAAAATACGATAACCCGAATAATTGAAAGAAAGAGACAAGCATTTTCTTCTACAGCTCGAGATCGGTAAATAGGTTTATTTTCAACGTTGAGCTCAATATTAGAAAAAAAAACTGAAATTGTTAATTTCACTGAAAAGTAAACGGAAATCACTTTAAATTGAAAATTCAAGAGTATATTTACTTAAATTTTCCTAATTTTTATTCATTTTCATGGAATAGTTGAACTAAAATTCACAATTTCCGTTGATTTTTTTCGTCAAATAGTGGATTTCCAATGACGCGATTCCTTGAAATTTCAGTAAAAATGTCGTTTGATAAAAATTTCCAAGATGAGCAACAAAAATTTTCCCGCGAGCCAATGAATTTCCGTAAAATAACATTGCCATCTTTTTTTGCAACAAAAAACAAATTCCATTCAAATAAAATTCGTAATATTGTTATTTAAAATTTAATGTTGCCGATCAAAACACGAAAAGCCGAATAATTGAAGGAAAGAGACGAGCATTTCCTTCTATGGCTCGAGGTTGGTGAATAGTTTTATAATAAATCTCAGCACTCTTGAAGGCCCCTCTCCTTACTTTCATCGTTTTGCCTTCTCTTTTCACATGAGTAGGGGATTTAAAGCCGCTGTAGTAGTGGAAAAGTGGCGAACTAAGTTAAATGAGTGAAAGAAGGAAAATTAAACACTCAATTATGAAAATAAAATTAACAGCTACCTCGGGGTTGCTCCGAGTTTTCTCCCGATATTACTGAAGTTGTTCTTCTCTATTGTGCAATATTTTTGGCCTCAATGGGTTTTCACCGGCCCTCGGGCGGCTTCAAGCCTCTGCCGGATGGGCTTTTATTTTCATCTTCATGTATTTTTAGAATTTCTTCATAAACCTTAGATGTGGCATTGGCCAACCGGACAGGCGTGGTCGACAAAGCGCTCGGGAAAGAATTTATTTTTGCATGATACACTCGTTATCAAGACCTTCAGTCTTGAATTAATTTCTGTGAATCGTTACTCAATTATTCGGAACAATTTAACCTACTTCTATTGCGTAATTATGAAATGGGGATTTATTCGAAGGTCATTTTTTAAATAAATATTTTGGGATTTATGGAAGATGAATTTATGAGGGGAATATTTTTTCCTAGATTGGAATGAGACATGAAAAAAGACTCTACTGGACATTTTGCTTTCTTGCCTTTTGAATATTCAGTAAAAAATGATCTTCAGATGAAGAAGCAGAAGTCGATTTATAATCCTCACTGAATTCAGTAGCGAAGTGGTAAAACGGTTTAAGTCGACTCATCTCCCAGTTGAGTTTTTGAGGAATATTTCGGACTCTAAGGGAGATAGCGAAATTTTCGTAATTATATTTGTTGTAGCCCTTAATCGGCTCTACAAAAAAGGTTATAACAAAAAATTTGCTATCTCCCTTAGATTCCGAGATATTCATTGAAAACTGGTCAATAGTCAAAATTGACTTGTACCGTTTTACCACTTCGCTACTGAATTCATATTTAGGGAGAAGTGGAGTAAATCACCAACATCTCCTGACCTAATGCTACGATTTTGATGAATAAGAACTCATTGTAAAATTTACAAAACTCCCGTTGAAATAGACGAAAAATTGAAAAATCTCACGCTATTTTTTCATTTGTTCAATGGCTCTTTCCAATAAATATCTTGAAATGCAAGATGATGAAAAATCATCTCCGATTTTGATGACTCAGAAGTGATTTTAAAATTTGCAAAACTCCCGTTGCAATACGAAAAAAATTGAAAAATTTCACTCCTCTTCAAATTACGAAATGGTAATTTAATGCGGGGATGAATTTTGGGTGAATATCTTAGAATCAATAGAAAATAACGAAATTATTGTGGGAATATTTTTTTCTAGATTGGAATGAGAAATATAAAAAAAGTCCTAATGGCAATTTTGCTCTCCAGCATTTCGGAATATTCAACAAAAATGATCTTCAGATGAAGAAGCAGGAGAACTAAATTTTTGCCTTCTAATCTTCGCTGAATTAATATTTAGGAAGAAGTGGAGGAAATCATCAGCAACTCCTGACTTAAAGCTATGATTTTGCTGAATCACAACTCATTTTCAAGTGTCTAAAACTCCCTTTAAAATGAAAAAAAAAAATCTTCCGTTCTCCAGTTATTGACCATTACAAACGGTCCGTTCTGCCCCAATCTCTCTTATTGTCGCTAATTAACCGCTTAATGATTTTTTTTCAATATTTTTCCTGACACATATCGGCGACTCTGAGGGCCACCTCACTGCCTCACTGAGTGATGTCATACCTAAATATACACGTGTGAGCTCGTATAAGTCCATTTATTGTTATAGCAATACAAAAATGGTGATACTGAGAGTCACTGGAAATTGCAACTCCGGTTTGATTCTTCAGGCTGAACTGTCCCTAATTGATCTACTCAGATTTTTTGATAAATATATGTAACTCTCTCTTCACTTTTGCTGACAAAGGTTCATCATATGAACGTAACACTGAGGTGACAGCAGATAATTTGAAATTCATTCAGCAGTTTTTTTAGGCCAATTCATTTTTATGATGAGTTCTTGATCAGTAATTTGGATTTGGCCAAATTTTTCAAGGATTTCGCTATTTTTTTGCATTTCTGCTTCGAAAGAAGAATTTATTCAACAAAATTCAGCAAAATTTTTATGAGAATTTTTTTGTATAATTTTGTCTTCTTAAGAAAATTCTTTATCTCCCTTAGATTCCGAAATAATCCCAGGAAATGGATCTGCTCCGAAATGAAATTGGTTCGTCCACTCCACTCTTTAATGAATATTTTACGAATGAAGGGAGACAGGTCAATTTTTGTAAAGACTTTTGTCTAGATTTCGTTCTATTCTCATTGAGAAATATCGATATCTCGCTTTTATCCCGAGATATTCCTCAAAAATTGAGCTGCTCCGAAATGAAGTTGATCCATTCACTTCACATCAGAGTTTTAGATGAATATTTCTAGAATGAATGCAAAATTTTTCTAATAATTTTTTGTGCAATTTTTCTTTAACAGAAAAATCCTCATGCACTTAGTTTCTAAAATAATCACCGGAAATGGATCTGCTCCGAAATGAAATTGGTTCGTCCATTCCACTCTTTAATAAATATCTCCAGAATGACTGCAAATTTTTTCTAATTTTTTTGTGCAATTTTTCTTTAACAGAAAAATCCTCATCTCACTTAAATTTCGAAATAATCACCGGAAATGGATCTGCTCCGAAATGAAGTGGATCCATCCGCTTCACATCACAGTTTTAGATCAATATCTCTGAACTGATATTTCTACTCATTCTATTGAGATATTTTCCATAGAATTTCCTTATCTCAAATTTTATAATTTTTTGTTTCATTTTCTTAAGTAAAAAAAAAATAGAACGAAAAACAGAAAATTTAAGCCAAGAAAATTCTATAGAAAATACCTTAATAGAATAAGTTATATCGAAAAATTGAATTATATTGACATTTTCTATAGAATAATTTTTTTTAAATAGAAAGTTTAATAGAAATTCATTAGAATTGTCTAGCAAATTCGCCAGATTTTTGCAATTAATTTTTTTTCGTGTGAAACCACTTCACAACTGAGTTCTGAAGGTTATCCACGAATTTATCGACTAGATCGAGTCGCAATAGGCTACTTTCTTCGCATATCCAACGCAAATGAGAAGAACCAGTCTGAGACAAATTGCTGAACGAGGAAAAACCGTGGGAGTGGCTGAATTATCGTTCCAATTACGCTGATTGAAGAACAAATGATCTATTGTTGTCCAAATGCATTACCTGCTGTGCCACTGGCTCGAGGATGCTCTCGATGGTCTTCGTATGAAATACCGGCATTTTAGTAAACCTCGAAAAAACACTTTCCCCACGATAATTCAAATGCTCACTTCGATCAACTGATTTAAATATTTTGGTGCATGCACATTAGTCCGTAAGTGCCTGTATTGGAGTCATACGAGGAATTGAGCCACTGGGTTGAATAGCACTGGGGACTTCAGTCGCGTCGAGGAAAAAAAAATAACACGTCAAGGCTCAATACGACTCGTCGAGTCTCTCCTACTCTCTCCCACGTAGTCGTGAAGTACTGGCGCAGCCGGAATTACTCGTGGGTGATCGTGGGCTTCGGCTACACTCGGCCAATGTTCAAAGTGTCTTTCCCCTTCTCTTTCATGTTTGCCGGTGGGAAAAAATGTTTGAATAATTTTTTCTTCACGTAAGGGGATTCTTCATTTCTTCATTCTTCATTAAATACATTAATAAGTGTTTTTACGTGAATTATACGGTGACGACTATTTAACACGTTGTCAATTCACCATAACATATCAATTCAACACAGTCAATTCAACAGATATCTAATTCATCATATATCTAATTCATCGTAGATACATATTGTACACAGATACAATTTTTCCCATACACACAACGTTTTGTGTTGAATTGTTCTATGTTAAACTGACTTGTTGAAATTGTTTTGTGTTAAATAGTCATGGAAGCGTTGGCATTGTCCGTTTTTTCTCCGGAAATTTGTTTAGCTGGAAAAAGAAGAAATGTCGAATGGACAGAAAAACGGCGCCGCGCCGCCCACTGCGAGCGAGTCCCTCGCGACCCTCCAGCGGCAGTCTTGCCACATTCACTCACAACTCTTGAAATGCGCGCATAGCAGTGAGCGCCAAGATGGCAACAGCGCGCCGCGCTAAGCGTGCGACGGATGAAGACTAGCGGCCGAGCGCGAGTGATCGAGGGTTAATATCCAATTACATCACGGAGGCATTGATTGTTTGGAGGAAAAAACACGCGAAATGCATCATATACTATCACAAAATAATTATGCACTCCATTCAAAAATGGGAATATGTGTAAAATGTAATAAAAAAGGAATATTCTCTAAACATTTTCCGGGAAAAAAAAATTCACTGCAACACTCACTCAAACACTTCATGACTACAAAGTAGAGTTAGCAAATGACCAAACAATAATCTACATAACATATGCAGCAATATTTTCAGTTTGCCAGAGAAGTGAGTTCAGTGGAGAGTTCCAAGAATTTTAAATAGTTATGAATTATTCATTGCCTTCGACCCATGCCCCAGTTTTAAGTTCCATCCACTCCGGGACTGATTTTTCGATTCAGTTCATGTTGCGAAGTGTCACGTGTCAAATGTCCTCTGCCAAGATGAAACATTAAAAAATGTCTCGATCTCCTCTCGTGTCGCTGAAAATCTTCCACGCAATCTTCTCCGCATTGGGTATGGCCCCCTGCGAACTCCAGATTTCAACTGCAAGATCATCTCAACCAACCCTCAAATTCATCAACTCCCGGACAGGTTGCATTTACAATTTTGTACTATTAATCTACATCGCCTTCACAGTCTGCTACTTAATACCGAATTACGTGACGGAAGGATTGGGTTCTCTGGAGGAAAAAATCGCCAAGAGTGCGTTAGCAACGATGGGAAACACCTCAGCATTCATAATCATCATTTATAACGCCATATACCAACGAGAATTCGTTAAAATCGGCAATCAATTGTGCAAATTCGATGCAAAAATCGATCTACCTTGGACTAACGAAACATTCCAGCAACTGATTAATGTCTCCTGGATTACACTTCTCTGGTTAGGGGTACTGATAACAGAAGGATTCAATGATTTCAATGTGTGGCATTTTCTGATTCACGTTCCAAACTCAATAGTCTGCTGTTGGCTCGTCCTGCAATACAGTCTAGCCGGAAAAGCTCTCCAAATGAGATTCCAAATCCTGAACAGATTATTCTCGGAGGTTGATGCTGCTGCAGGTCCGTTGGAGAGTCTCCGGAATCTAAGAGCGACAAGAAATTTTCTCTGGAAGACAACTCGGGGACTTTCAAAATTTTATTCACTGACCATTTTATTTGCCATTGGTAATCTCTGCTTTGATACCGTCATTGGTGTGTATTACTCCATCGCACAGGTACTCAATTCTTCCGGTACGAAAATTTCTATGGACGCGATCAACGGCTTCTTCTGGACCTGCGTCCAGATATGCCCGATCATCTACTTGAGCATTGCGATTAAGAGGCTTATGAAAGAAGTTTGTATCCTTTGTCAATCAGTAGGGATATTTCCTAGAATTTTTCTTTACGATGAGGTTATTAATAGTATATTTCGCGTCGAGTGCCACTGGGGTCGACGAGTGTGAGGTTGGCGCTCACACGAGTCACACGAGTGCCAATCAGACGAGTGGAAAACCCCTGTGGCACTAGGCGCGAACGATATTTTTCCGTAGTGACTTTCACTTCTGCCAGTTCGGGGAAGGGTCAGTACCAATCGCCGGACTGGAAAAAGTGAAGGTCAGCACGGAATGAATTCCGTACGCGCACGAAAAAATTTAATAGAAAAATCTAGCGAATTCGTTGCAGATTAATGAAACTCCATACATTATCTATCGTCTTTTTGCGACATTCGGGGACAATGAGGATGTTATCTCTTGGGTGAGTCTATCCAATGCTGTAAGGCAGCGGTTCGTGCATGAGAAAATTTGATAGAAACACCTAGCGAATTCTTTTGATAATTTTATTGGATTTCTATTGAATTCAGTAGCGAAGTGGTAAACCGGTTTAAGTCGATTATGGCTATTGACCAGTTTTTAGTGAATATCACGGAATCGAAGGGAGATAGCTAAATTTTTGTTAAAACCTTTTTTGTAGCACTCAATTTGTTCTTGGAAAAAGGTTATTACGAAAATTTCATTATCTTCTTTAAATTTGGAGATATTGTTCAAAAGTTACAATTACCGTTAAATTATTAAGTGGTCAATTCGTTAATATCAATTTTTAATTTTAATTATTGAAGTAATCATCAATTTAAGTATTCAGATTCCGAATTATATATTAATCAGTAATTTAATTGGGAAGATTGACGATTATTTGGATAATCGAAAATCCCTTATAAAAAATTTAGCATTATTTACTTGATCGAAAATTTACAGTTACATATTATTAAATATTTAATTCATCATCAATGCAGTAGCGAAGCGCCAAACCGGGTTGAGTAGAGTGTGACTATTGTCAACTTGTTACAGATCAACGAATTTTCCCTAGAATTGTTCCACAAACAAATACCCTTCACTGCCTATGGTTTTTTCTCGTTGGACTGCAGCTTACTCTTCTCGGTAAGGTTTATCGTGTAATTATGATGGATTATCGGAGGGATGGGTGTATACAATTGTTCTCACCCGAGATTCTTTCATTATTTTGACAGATAGTAAGTACATTAGTGACGTACGAAATCATCGCAGTTAAGTTCGATCCACCTGACACTGAAGACATCACTCCAACCTTCTCCGGTCATTAAGGCATGCACAAAAACATTGTAGAAGAAACGCTGGAAGCTCTATCGGTTAAATATTTTATAGAAAGAAAAGTGATGTCTAAAATTCTAAAATTCTAAAATTCTAAAATTCTAAAACTCTAAAATTCTAACGAGCAATCCAACAGCAGCAATCTCCAATAAGTCGCTGAAAATTTATATACGGAAATTTTTCGTAAGTGTCGATTTAAAAAATATACAAAAATCAAATGTCTAATTGATATACTCTCGTGTCTCTATGAAATAAACTAGTGTGTACATATTTTATCTTCTTATTTCATTCATTCAATCTGCAAAAAAACACTTCGCATCAAGCAAAAATTCACTAGAAATTCACTAATTTGCGTTTCCTCAGAGAAACATTTCTTCAATCGAAACTGCGAAGATGGCTCTCTTCGAATGTACGACCCTAGTAATGATTTCCCCGGAACTATCACCTCCATCAAGAACATTTCCCGAAACGCGAGGGTTCTTCCAATCGACAGAACTTGGCCCAATCCACCGACAATCAAAATTATGAAAATCCCCCAAAATTCTGATTTACACCGATGTTTAAACGCACCTCCGACTGCATCGATCGACATCACTGGTGCCAGTTCAATCAAATTATTCCGCTTTTCCCAAAGTCCAATAAAAATTTCCACTGCTGTTGAGCGAAGCAATACGATATTCTCCACTAATATCAAACGAAAACCCGTGACAAATCCCGTCAAAAGTATCAGGAACAACAGATAAATGTCAAGAATTAAATACGATAGAAACCACTGCCACATAAATTTACAGCGTCGGCTCCTCTGCGCCTGTCTCCATGGTCCGTGCTGGCATGTTGGGGTGAGGGTCGCGACGCCCCGCGTCCGCCAGTACGAGTTAATCGCTCTACAATATTCGAGAGTTATTCACGCCCAGAGAAACAAAAATGATGATAAAAACCGAGGAAGTGGATGCGACTCCTGAGGAATCAGTGTCCGAAGAGATCGAGAAGACCGAGCAAAACGACACAATCGAAAAACCGAGCAAAGCGACACAACCGAGACCGAAGCCAAATTACCCCAGAGTTTCTGAGATGGTGAATCTCGCGATCAAGGCACTCTGCGAGAAAAACGGCTCCTCACTTCAGGCTATAAAGAAGTACATGGTGGAGACATACAAAATTGACGTTGAGAAGCAGAATCCCTTCATCAAGAAGTACTTGAAGTCGGCGGTTGAGGCTGGATTTCTCATTCGAACGAAGGGAAGAGGAGCTGCCGGCTCATTCAAGATACCGCGCCACGAAATCGATCCACTGAAGGCGGTGGTTAAGCCGAAAGCTAAAGCGAGAAGAGCAACGGCTGCGAAGACTGCTACGAAGGGGAAGAAGACGAAAGCCTCTGCGGGGAAAGGTACTTCTCCGAGAAAAGTTGGAGGAAAGTCTGGTGGAAAGGAAAAAGCTGGAGAAGGATCTGCTCAGCCGAAGGGCGCGGCCAAGGGGGAGAAAACTGCTGGCGAAGCTAAGCCGCCAAGAGGGAAGAGAGGATCCGCTCCGAGAGCTCAGAATAAATGAGCAATGGACCATTAATTAATGGTGGCGATTGATAATCGTAATGCAACAAAACGGCCCTTTTCAGGGCCACCAATTTTTGCAGACGTAGTAATTTCCATGATTCGTGTACAGTCTGGTAAATTTTTGGAGGTTTCTAGGAAAAATCACGAGTGATTTTTTAACCTAAAAAACTTGATTCCTATACTTTTTTCGATGAAGCTATCGAGAAGTACTTGATAATTTTGAAGCTCGAGTGGTGTTCGGAAGAAATTTTTCCGTCCAAATTTCGGTCAAGAGAATTAGCACTATCAGGCAAAATTCAACTGTTAATTCCAACGAGAGCCTCAGTCAACCGGGAATCTTGTTTTTCATATAGGTATCAACATGCAAAACTACCAATGGAATTATCAAAAATTAGTTGAATATCCTGTTGACTTTATGAAATAACAGTTGAACTGTACAATTCTATTGGCTGAAATTTGAATGGAGAAAATTCTTACTGGAATTATATTGTAAAATTTATATTTAGCACGACTTTTTAGAAGTTCTTTGATAGCAACAGTTTGTTTTTCATGATTTTCTTGAGATCTCATTTGATTTTTGGAATTTCTCAAATTGTATTATGCCCTTTCGAATTGAAAATGAGAAAACAAAAAATTCTCAAATCAATGTTCAGGAATTGTTGCAGAAATTATTTGTGCAATTATAGAAGAAATAATTTCAGCAACAATAAGAGAAATTTCTCATTATAGAAGTTGTATAAAAAAATCAATATCGAATTATTGAATATATATAGATGTGCGAGTAGTAACTAGTTATTACTTTTAATCCGTTATTTCTCAAACCAGAAAGTAACGAGTATCGAAATGGCAAAGTATTTGTTATTTGTTAAAAATTTCTAACTCACCGGCCATCGGCATTAGGGGTGGCTGTCCACGTTCCTAGTCCATTCGGCATTTTGACGATTACACGGTGATACTCCAAAAGAACAGCATCACGTCACTTTCTTTTCCATATTGATTACCAGGGAATCACTCGTTTTTAAATAAATATTATATCGTTCAACCTAGTGGTACATTTCACTGAAAACTAATAATCAAAATGTAGATTCACAAAAATATGTTCAACCCTGCCAGTTCACCTCGTTTGATTCTTCTCGTTATTCAATTCTTTTTCAATTTCAATTATTAATAAAAAAAGTAGCGAGTATCGAGCAAAGAATACTTTCTCATATTATAACGACTACTTCCGGGACCAAAGTAACGAGATTGCACATCTCTATTGAGTAACATTATGCATTGCAACATAAAATTAATTACTAATTAGACAGCATGCGATTTGTTATAAACCAACGTTTAAATTTTTGGTGGCCCCGAAAAGGGCCGTTTGATGTTCAAGTAGTTCAATGAATAAACTGAGTTTAACCTCCAAATCCGTAGAGAGTACGTCCTTGACGTTTCAGTGCGTAGACCACATCCATAGCCGTAACAGTCTTCCTCTTGGCGTGTTCGGTGTAGGTAACTGCATCACGGATGACGTTCTCAAGGAATACCTTGAGTACACCGCGAGTCTCTTCGTAGATAAGACCGGAGATACGTTTGACACCACCTCGACGAGCGAGACGACGGATAGCTGGCTTGGTGATTCCCTGGATGTTATCACGAAGTACCTTGCGATGGCGTTTGGCTCCTCCTTTTCCCAATCCCTTTCCTCCTTTGCCGCGACCAGTCATTTTAACTTCAGTTCAAAGAACACGTCAAGACTTGATGAGCCAGCAAAAGCTTGTGATGCATTTTCGCCAAACGGTCGTGGTTTTATAGATATCGCGTCGCGCGTTCCCCCACCACTCGGAAGTACACCAATGGCGTTGCGTCAATAAGGTATCCCCACTTCACTCTACCAACCAATCACAACTAGGTGCAGTGTTATATATACCGGGTTCATAACTCCAAACTTCACTGTTTTGCTGCCACTTTTGAAGCAATTCTCTGACGCAATGGCTCGTACCAAGCAGACTGCTCGGAAATCCACCGGAGGAAAGGCTCCCAGGAAGCAATTGGCCACCAAGGCCGCTCGCAAGAGTGCGCCAGCAACTGGAGGAGTCAAGAAACCCCATCGCTACAGGCCAGGAACCGTAGCTCTTCGTGAGATCCGTCGTTACCAGAAGAGCACTGAGCTCCTCATCCGTAAACTCCCATTCCAACGACTTGTTCGTGAGATCGCCCAGGACTTCAAGACTGACTTGAGGTTCCAGAGTTCTGCTGTGATGGCTCTTCAAGAAGCCAGCGAGGCTTACCTCGTGGGTCTCNTGCTGTAATGGCTCTTCAAGAAGCCAGCGAGGCTTACCTCGTGGGTCTCTTCGAAGACACCAACCTCTGCGCCATCCACGCCAAGAGGGTGACCATCATGCCCAAGGACATCCAGCTGGCTCGTCGTATTCGTGGAGAGAGAGCTTAAGTTGTTTCAATTTAAACTAAAAATAATCGGCCCTTTTCAGGGCCACAATATTTGTCGAACATAGAAAATTCCAATTAGCATTATCTTGCGAAGTGCGATGCACAGTAAAACATTAATAATTTTGAATTATATTTGACGAATATGAATATGAATACGAATATTTGACGAATATATTTAGCGAATTGTGTTCTATTGCAATCATCTTATAAAATTGTTATAATAATTTCTACAATTACTTCAACAAACATTGCAGTGTATTGCAGCCAAACACTTTCTCCATCTGACGGTAACCACTCGAAATCAGCTGTTGTTGCTCCAAGAGAGGGGGAATTCAGTCAATCGCAGGTCAAGTTCTAACCTCTACGTTATTATCCCGAACAAAAAGCGTTAGTGTCTTAACAGTGTCCAACAATGTCAGTGTGGAAAACATGAGCCTTCGTTGTATCGACCATAATCCCACAAATATTTCATAACGACTCGTTATAAATCATGTGTTCATTTCACGAAACGAGATGTCAGTGACTCATGCAGTGCAGTGTTCAATAAATTCCTTTAAATTTAATTATCTTTGACACAAATTGTCCACTCCTGCATAAACTGTTTATTTCGCAGTTCAATCCTTGAGAAGGTCGTGCGCTAAATCGTAATAATGTAATTTAGCTAATCGTCATTTCGGGCTGTGCGTCGTACACCTGTTACTTATTCACTCAGATGAAGTTTTAAGATAACAATAGCAATATGGAGAAGACCAAGTCACGTCAGGTAGTATGATTTATCATTGTCAATCATCGATTAAATATTTTGCTCAATTTTTTCGAAAAATTGTCTCCACGTTTAAGACTGTCACATTTTTTTTTTCATTTCTTGGGACCGTATCTGTTGTAGCCTCGCGCAGGAATTTTTTTATCACAAATATTATTCACGAAGAAAGTGTTATTTTGTCAGTTTCAAATATCTTTAAAGCAGCAATTTGTCAGGAAATTTTTAAAGGGAATTTTATGAGCAACAGGATTTTTTTTCTCTGAATCCAATGTAAATTTTTCAGTCTAATAGCTTCATGAAAATTCAATTGAATATAGGGGAGAGTGAGGCAAAATAAAACAGCCGAGAAACAACGACTGTTTGACGCAATTCTAGCAAAAAAAAATTTTTTTTAAATATTTCTTTGTTATTAACTTTTTTTATTCTTAGAATACTAATGTGAATAATCATTTTTAAAATTTATTTGTAGAATTGAAGGGAAGACAAGCAACGTCTTTATTACGAGAAAGAGATTGAAAATTTTCAAAATGTGACATGCTAAAACCGATACATTACCGCTTATTACAGTTGGTCAAATTGTTTGGAAAGATAACGTAGGATATCATTTCACAGATCTCATTCAGATGTTCAAATTGATAAATGACATGTTCTCACTAGTCAAGTCCAAAGCCTCGATAATTGAGAAACTCATTTTGTCATTTTTAAGATGTAACATAACGTTAAAAATTAAAACAATCTACAATAACTTTAATTAGTCGAATCGAAAAATTTATCATACACAATTTTGGCGAACAGGAAATGCCATATTCCTGTCTCCTCCCCTTAAGAATATCCAAGTATTTTTTACAGTTTGGTACAGACCACCCTACAGATTATCATCCATTTTCAATACATTTTCAATCATCAAATTTATCAATTAAAATGCGAGAGAAAAATATGAAAAAAATCATGAATATTCAACGTCATTCAAATTACATTTTGCACAGAATTATCATTATTTAAACATTCATTGTTTATAAATAAATAATTGAAACTATTTAAACTTTTAGAAATCTTTTTTGTAGGCATTAAATCTATTTCTGTTAAAATACTCACTCTGAATAAATTTATTACGATTCCGAACAAATTATTTTATGGTTAAAATTGATAGTTTATAAATTATTTATAGAAAATACTCGCAATTTCCAAAAATTCAAGTTTTTAAATTATTTCATCAATCTTCCTCCAAAAGTAAACTCTCTAATTTTTTGTTCAGACGTTTAAAATGTTTTCTAACGGTTCAGTATTGAAATTCAGATTAAGACCTGCAAAGTATAAATAATAAAATCATTGCAAAATGTCCAGAAACTTGGGGTCAAATGGGGCTTAAATGATAGCTCTGATGTTCGATTACAAAAGTAGAAAAGTATTTCACTGGAGAAAAAACAGCCAAAGTACTTCGATATTCTTAAGAATATTAAAAAATGCCACCAAAATTGAAACTTGAAGTAAACCATAACATAGAATATTTTGATACGAGTGCGTAAATAGTACATTCTATCATCAGGCCGAAAAAACCTTTTCTTATGAATATAAGTTTTCAGCAATCACATAAGCTAGAAATTTTCTTTTTCGGCCGTGTGGCAAACAATATTTTTTGTCAACAATTGAATTATTACCCAAACCCTCAGAGTCACCTAAATGTGATCGGAATTGAACGAATCAAGTGTCATTTTGAAGCTTATACAATGAGCTTTCGAATGAGTCCTCAATATACGCTTTATCAAAGATGAAGCAGAAGCTTATCATAGAAACCAAAGAACGAAGCTCGGTAACACTCACAGATGTTTCCCCTCGGATTCCCCAGAAACGAAAGAAGAACGGTAGATCGTTCTACCTAGACCACCAGATACCCGATGCCCCGACAATGGAAGAGTTCGAGTGTCTCCTCGGTGAGTCCCCAACGAACTACCCCAGAGTCGAAGGCATCGAGAACATGGAGAGTGAGCTCCACTCAGCCGCCATCGACACAGAGTCCCTCGAGAAACTCGATATCCCCTCAAAACTGGAATTCCCAAGTCCCCCAGAAGCTCAAGAAGTCGACCAGGTGGACTCAGTGCCCTCAGCATCCGTTACCGTGGAAGATAACCCGGAATCTGTCGAGGAGATCCAGGACCTGGTGTCCTCCGTGAAACTCTCAGACTCCCCAACAGCCCCGAACATCGAGGAAACCCCGATGATCACCTCCGCCACCTCCAAGGTCGTTCCACCCTCTCCCAAGACCACGTCATCACCATCTGACCAGGTTCACTCATCTCCAAAGACTTCGGAGACCTCAAGAATCAAGACGATCACCCCCTTCACAGACAGCCAGCTAGCCTCCCTCTACACGAACCCCGAGCTCTCCCTCGTGGACTCCTTCATAACCGAATTCGTCGAGACCCAGCTGCGTTCCAGCGCCGTTAGACAACAGCATCGCCTCCACGAGCTGCTGATGTCCTACCTCCGAGTCCGCAACCACCTGATCCTGAACTCCCACGAGCTAGAGCTCCTCAAGAAGAACTGCAAGGAAATTCAGAAGCAGCTCTGGCACCTGGACAAAGCCTCGGTAACAGAATCCGGTGAATGCCAGGACGGCAATCCAGTTTCAGCTTCTCACGAATACTCAATAGCCCACTTCAACCAGCACGCACTCACCTCATTGACCAAGAACCTCTCCGCCATCAAGGAACTCCTCCACAACGCTCAAGCCCTCTACTCTTACGAAGCCGAGATGCTCAAACTTCAGATCGAACATTACGTCCAACGAGTCTGCATATCCTGCAAGGAGCTGGCGACATTACCTCAAAACGCACCGGTCAACCTAACTGCCATCCAAATGCCTTCTCAAACGATGCCACAGCTCCTGGAGCTCCGGATGTGCATCACCATCCTCTTCAACTTTCAGAGGCGAGTCCTGAAGGACGGAAAGTTCGTTCTGGACTCGAGGGAGTGGCTGTCGAGACTGATAGCTGTTCTACTGAGAGTCGCCAGTTGGCAGGACCACTTGTTCATCCTCAATCATATCTTGAGGTGCCCTGGGGGCGTCACAAACTGGGCAGCTGGGTTCGTCCAGGCCCCGGCGGCCCCTAGGAACAGGGGCGTCAGCACTTCTGTTCTTAACGATCCTTATTTGGATCACATGATTGCGACGCTCGCTGTTATCCTGTTACCCATCAAGGAAAGGGAGAAGTTCCTGGAGCAGGTGCAGATATCTCTTCAGGACACTGGGACTAACCCTGGTGACACTGTCTGGGTGATGCTGGATGAGGAAGGAGAAGAAGACGAAGACATTGCTAATACAGGAGCTAACTTGTGGGAGAGCGATCTCATCACTCTTCTTAATCAAATACCAATGGACAAGCTGTTTGAGCAAGTCTTGTTGATCGAAAAGGTGGAGGAGGGCTACCGTCAGGACACCAGGGGCATCACCGAGCACCACATGCTGAAGATATTTGCCTTCTTCACAGTCGTCGTGAGACTGTTCAAGCAGGGACTGAGGACTTATGATTCTCCGAGGTACAGACAACTTGCCAAGAGACTCTCTGCGCTTATCAGGGACGTTGTGCAATACACCAGTGACCAGTGGGAGGCCTTCGACAAGACTCAAGTGTCCGATCGATCGATGCTAGCTAGGTTACAAACCGAGTATGATTGTTTCTTCCTGAGAGCAACCATGTGCATCTTCTCGTCGAGAAGACTCGGCGCCTGGCAGTACCTCGCTGCCATTCCTTATCAGAACGTTTTCATTCACACTCTGTGGTACATATTCTACGCACTTCATAAAGACACCATTTCCATGGATCCCGTCCCCGATGACGTGAGTCCTCTGGAATGGGAGACTGAGCTGAGTTCGACAGCGATTAGGAAGCTGTTCGAGGAGAAGCTCAGTGACATGCCTGGGGATGAATCTTACTTCCTTCTGACTACTTTCGCCAATATGGCGATGGCCAGGGAAGTCAACGATTACGATTTCATTCGAGCCACAACGATAGACCTCTTCGAGATCGGATTCTTGAGTGAGAAGACTCAGGAGTCTTGCTCCAAAGACGCAAGATCCTTGTTATCTAACTTGACCAGCAAACATCCTTCTTTACTTTCCGACATTCTCTTCAAATTGAAGGACAACTTCGGATCTGTCGGGAAACTCAGTCTGTACTTGTTCACGGAGTTAAGCATCAGCAAGTGGATCCCGAGAGAGGAAGACGTCAAGATCCTTAGAAATTGGCTGCACAATTTTGGCCTGTCGTGTACGGAGAGTCATCTAGCGCGTCTCATCCTCAATCATCTGAACTGGGGGCTCGATAAGAACGGGGATCTGTACCTTCCACTGCATCTTCATTACACGATAGCTCTTCTAGTCGTGGAGTTGACGATAAAGTTTGTCCCAGATTCTACCCAGAACGCTTCGATAATTTCGGAGGGAGTGAAGCAGGTCTCCTCCATGGTCAGACCTCAAAACAATGAACAAGCGTTCGCTCTTTGGGCGTGGGACATGGTGGCAAGGTTGAGGCTCCATCAGCTAGATCAGTCGAACATTGTCTGTAGAAATGTTATGGTCAATCCTGCTGGGGCGTTCGCCCATGTCCCGGACATGGAGTCAAATCCTGCGTTGGAGGTCCTCAGAAATGGCGTGAGGGACATGCAGCCCATGGCCCATTATGTTGCCGTTGTCATGACCATGCTCGGGCATTCTGTCCCTCTCATCTGTGAGGAGGGCTTCACTAGTCTTGCTGTGTTGACCTGCTATCACAAGTATGAACACATACTGATGGCTCTTCAGCATATTATTCCACTTTTTCTTGACTGCTCTGAGTCCCTCATGAAGACTGTCATGTTTGCGAGTGTTATCAAGTCGCTGATTGCTGCCGACAGGACTTATGTGAAGATGGCCAAGAATCTGATTGCTCCGGAATTTCCTGGACCCATGATCAAGCATTTCGGAAACATGGTGGAGAGTCATATGGTTAATTACAAAAGGTGAGTTTTTTTAGGCTGTGAGTCTTATGTCTTTTTAAGCATTTTTTAGATCGTTAGGACTTGGTTTGTGTGTACAGCGAAATTTGATCAAGACTTTAATTTTTTTTTATTTTTGAGTTTCTGAGTCATATTCTTTGTCACGCATTATTTTATATCGTAATGATTTACACCTGAGCAATTCAGCAGCGAAGCGATAAAAAGGTTTAACTCGCCTTAGCTATCATTTGAATTTTTGAGGAATATCTCCGAATCAAAGGGAGATAACGAAATTTTTGTAATGACCTTTTTTGTAGAGCGCATTGAGTGCTATAGAAAAGGTGGTGTCAAAAATTGTGTTATTTTTCTTAGATTCTGAAATATCCATGAAAATTGGCAAATGGTCAAAATCCACTTGAACCGTTTTACCGTTTCGCTACTAAATTGTTCCTTTTATCGAACATTACAAGAGCTGTAAAATACGTAAGAGAATAATTTCGTTGAAATGGGTTTTGTTAAGGTACTGTCTGCAGACTCCCGAGCCCTTTGTCAGACTCTGGCTGGAGATTCTCGTGGGATTGCCTGATTGGAATAGGGATCAAAATGTCATGTATCTCATGGATATTGTCGTTCGAGCTGCGTTTTTTCACATTGACGCACGCGCAACTGCTGAAATTATTTTCCAAAGTTTATACTCGGTAAGATCTCGATATTTAACCACGAAAACTAGCTTTCCTCTTCGTTTGTTTCATTTAATTTAATTTAATTTAATTTTATAAAGACCCAAAAGCACACGGTCATTTACAGGATCAAATTAAATACACATTGTTTAATAATGAACTTGATAATATGCACAGTTTAGCAGAATACTCATAGAGGAAACCATTTTTATATCACATATTTTATGAGTTATTAGACTATCCATTCGGTTTTTTTCTATTTCATTTCGTTTTAGTTGTTTTTGGTCGGTCTTCCATTGCTTTGTTAATTTTGTAATTTATTTATTCATTTTCTCAATTATATTATTTGTCATTAGTCCTCATTTAACAAAGGCGGGCAAAATTATGTTATTCAAAGATTTCGAGGGCTTCATTAATTTTATAGTTAATAAGATTTCCTAATACTGACACTACTTCTATATCTCAATCCATTTGAAGTTATTTTCTCATTGCATTCTCTTTCCTAGCTTTCCTCTGAAGGAAATACCGAGGTAAATCCCCTGACTCGACCGCGAAATCCCTCAAAACTCAGGAATCCAACTAATTATCTTCTCCAATTCCCTAGAATCTGAAAACAGGCAAGTCATCAGGCTCCATCAGTTCGTTTCTGAGCTGGGCGACAGGTGCAGGCAACTCCCCAAGCCTCCTAGGTGGCTCCACCCAATCAATCTGGCTGGCCTACCTTGTCCTGACCATCGAGCAACAAGAGAAGGAGCTCAAACCGGGCCTCTGGTTTGAATTCCGTCGAGAGCTCTCCCAGCAATCGAAACCCTCCCTGGACACAGCTTTAAAACGCGCCTGTGTCATTCGAAAAATTGCCCCCTTCAGCTCCAACTGCCTCGCGATCTACCGGTGGTCCCAACAAGCTTTGGACACTCCAATGAGCCATCCACTGCTGCCCCTCCTCTGGCAGAACTTCTTCTCACTATTTCTGTCGAGAGTGCCAACATCCCCAGGGATGCCAGACCGAGGTGGATTCGGTGATAAATTCTTCGAGGGAATGATCAACCTGAGTTACCTCAAGAGAGTGAAGAAACGACTGCACGACACAACTGAATACTTCCAGAGCAAGGGGGAGCATGATGTTGATGATGGAAGACCCATGAGCGATGACAGGAGAGTCTTCTACTTTAGTGCGGCCAAATACTACAAGACTCTGAGTCTCTGGCTGGAGGAGCCCAGGCTCCAAGAGTCCGGACTCTACCTTCCAGCACTGCCACCCCAGTACATGTCCCAAAAACTTATGCTGCTGATGCAGGATGATCACACTCCCTGGCTGGAGTATGTTGACTACTGGCAGGTCCACCAGGAGCAATTGAAATCCGCCTCTGAATGGGAGAGGACGTGCTCAAGAGACATTGACGAGGCTCAAACGAAAATAGTGCAGACTCCGACGTCACCTTTGGAGCCCGCCGATCCCATGATGAGGATCTTCAGGAGACTCAGGAGTTATGAAGCTGCTGAGCCACCTCCGGGACTCTGCAAACACACGAATGTTGTGGAACACGTGTTCAGGGAGACTCTTTATGGACCTGATGACGTCATCAAAGCTGCTAAACCTCATCTCAAGGTCATCACGGATTATGCACAGACTTATAATCTGATGGTGTCGGAGCACACGGCTGTGGACTGCAATTTTCTCGAGTTGATTCCTACTTTGTACAGGGAGGTAGAGAGCAGGGTCACTCTTCATGCACTTTGTGATCCAGCACCTGCTGGACAACGACGCTCGAGATCAGGTAATGGTATACAGCTGACGATTCTTTATTCAATGATGCCTTGAATTGGTTCACAGTCCCATTCTTGGGAAATTCTCACGATGATACTATAGTTCCAGACATTAACAATTCACGTAATTCGCAGGGTGTATACGAAGGGTATGCACGAAAGAATTTCTTAGAAAAAACGTAACGAATTTGCTAGAGAATTCTATGGAACTTTCTATTAGTATCAGAACGATTCTATTGAGAATTCTGCAACTCTCTCTCAATTCTGGAAATTGAGCAATTTTCTATAGAAATTTCTCGGCTTTCTTTGGCTCCGGGTGAAAAAAAATTTTTTATTTTTGCCTTTCTGCGGCAAGTGAGGGTCTCAGGGGTATCAGGCGGGCCAGAAAATATAGAATCAGCGTTTACCCGGCGGATAAATTCGAATTTGGCGAAAGTCGACTTTCCCCCCCGAAAAAAGCCTAAATACGACACCTATGGCTCGGGGTGGAAAAAAAAATTTTTTTATTTCTGCCTTTCTGGGGCAAGTGAGGGTCTCAGGGGTATCAGGCGGGCCAGAAAATATAGAATCAGCGTTTACCCGGCGGATAAATTCGAATTTGGCGAAAGTCGACTTTCCCCCCCGAAAAAAGCCTAAATACGACACCTATGGCTCGGGGTGGAAAAAAAAATTTTTTTATTTCTGCCTTTCTGGGGCAAGTGAGGGTCTCAGGGGTATCAGGCGGGCCAGAAAATATAGAATCAGCGTTTACCCGGCGGATAAATTCGAATTTGGCGAAAGTCGACTTTCCCCCCCGAAAAAAGCCTAAATACGACACCTATGGCTCGGGGTGGAAAAAAAAATTTTTTTATTTCTGCCTTTCTGGGGCAAGTGAGGGTCTCAGGGGTATCAGGCGGGCCAGAAAATATAGAATCAGCGTTTACCCGGCGGATAAATTCGAATTTGGCGAAAGTCGACTTTCCCCCCCGAAAAAAGCCTAAATACGACACCTATGGCTCGGGGTGGAAAAAAAAATTTTTTTATTTCTGCCTTTCTGGGGCAAGTGAGGGTCTCAGGGGTATCAGGCGGGCCAGAAAATATAGAATCAGCGTTTACCCGGCGGATAAATTCGAATTTGGCGAAAGTCGACTTTCCCCCCCGAAAAAAGCCTAAATACGACACCTATGGCTCGGGGTGGAAAAAAAAATTTTTTTATTTCTGCCTTTCTGGGGCAAGTGAGGGTCTCAGGGGTATCAGGCGGGCCAGAAAATATAGAATCAGCGTTTACCCGGCGGATAAATTCGAATTTGGCGAAAGTCGACTTTCCCCCCCGAAAAAAGCCTAAATACGACACCTATGGCTCGGGGTGGAAAAAAAAATTTTTTTATTTCTGCCTTTCTGGGGCAAGTGAGGGTCTCAGGGGTATCAGGCGGGCCAGAAAATATAGAATCAGCGTTTACCCGGCGGATAAATTCGAATTTGGCGAAAGTCGACTTTCCCCCCCGAAAAAAGCCTAAATACGACACCTATGGCTCGGGGTGGAAAAAAAAATTTTTTTATTTCTGCCTTTCTGGGGCAAGTGAGGGTCTCAGGGGTATCAGGCGGGCCAGAAAATATAGAATCAGCGTTTACCCGGCGGATAAATTCGAATTTGGCGAAAGTCGACTTTCCCCCCCGAAAAAAGCCTAAATACGACACCTATGGCTCGGGGTGGAAAAAAAAATTTTTTTATTTCTGCCTTTCTGGGGCAAGTGAGGGTCTCAGGGGTATCAGGCGGGCCAGAAAATATAGAATCAGCGTTTACCCGGCGGATAAATTCGAATTTGGCGAAAGTCGACTTTCCCCCCCGAAAAAAGCCTAAATACGACACCTATGGCTCGGGGTGGAAAAAAAAATTTTTTTATTTCTGCCTTTCTGGGGCAAGTGAGGGTCTCAGGGGTATCAGGCGGGCCAGAAAATATAGAATCAGCGTTTACCCGGCGGATAAATTCGAATTTGGCGAAAGTCGACTTTCCCCCCCGAAAAAAGCCTAAATACGACACCTATGGCTCGGGGTGGAAAAAAAAATTTTTTTATTTCTGCCTTTCTGGGGCAAGTGAGGGTCTCAGGGGTATCAGGCGGGCCAGAAAATATAGAATCAGCGTTTACCCGGCGGATAAATTCGAATTTGGCGAAAGTCGACTTTCCCCCCCGAAAAAAGCCTAAATACGACACCTATGGCTCGGGGTGGAAAAAAAAATTTTTTTATTTCTGCCTTTCTGGGGCAAGTGAGGGTCTCAGGGGTATCAGGCGGGCCAGAAAATATAGAATCAGCGTTTACCCGGCGGATAAATTCGAATTTGGCGAAAGTCGACTTTCCCCCCCGAAAAAAGCCTAAATACGACACCTATGGCTCGGGGTGGAAAAAAAAATTTTTTTATTTCTGCCTTTCTGGGGCAAGTGAGGGTCTCAGGGGTATCAGGCGGGCCAGAAAATATAGAATCAGCGTTTACCCGGCGGATAAATTCGAATTTGGCGAAAGTCGACTTTCCCCCCCGAAAAAAGCCTAAATACGACACCTATGGCTCGGGGTGGAAAAAAAAATTTTTTTATTTCTGCCTTTCTGGGGCAAGTGAGGGTCTCAGGGGTATCAGGCGGGCCAGAAAATATAGAATCAGCGTTTACCCGGCGGATAAATTCGAATTTGGCGAAAGTCGACTTTCCCCCCCGAAAAAAGCCTAAATACGACACCTATGGCTCGGGGTGGAAAAAAAAATTTTTTTATTTCTGCCTTTCTGGGGCAAGTGAGGGTCTCAGGGGTATCAGGCGGGCCAGAAAATATAGAATCAGCGTTTACCCGGCGGATAAATTCGAATTTGGCGAAAGTCGACTTTCCCCCCCGAAAAAAGCCTAAATACGACACCTATGGCTCGGGGTGGAAAAAAAAATTTTTTTATTTCTGCCTTTCTGGGGCAAGTGAGGGTCTCAGGGGTATCAGGCGGGCCAGAAAATATAGAATCAGCGTTTACCCGGCGGATAAATTCGAATTTGGCGAAAGTCGACTTTCCCCCCCGAAAAAAGCCTAAATACGACACCTATGGCTCGGGGTGGAAAAAAAAATTTTTTTATTTCTGCCTTTCTGGGGCAAGTGAGGGTCTCAGGGGTATCAGGCGGGCCAGAAAATATAGAATCAGCGTTTACCCGGCGGATAAATTCGAATTTGGCGAAAGTCGACTTTCCCCCCCGAAAAAAGCCTAAATACGACACCTATGGCTCGGGGTGGAAAAAAAAATTTTTTTATTTCTGCCTTTCTGGGGCAAGTGAGGGTCTCAGGGGTATCAGGCGGGCCAGAAAATATAGAATCAGCGTTTACCCGGCGGATAAATTCGAATTTGGCGAAAGTCGACTTTCCCCCCCGAAAAAAGCCTAAATACGACACCTATGGCTCGGGGTGGAAAAAAAAATTTTTTTATTTCTGCCTTTCTGGGGCAAGTGAGGGTCTCAGGGGTATCAGGCGGGCCAGAAAATATAGAATCAGCGTTTACCCGGCGGATAAATTCGAATTTGGCGAAAGTCGACTTTCCCCCCCGAAAAAAGCCTAAATACGACACCTATGGCTCGGGGTGGAAAAAAAAATTTTTTTATTTCTGCCTTTCTGGGGCAAGTGAGGGTCTCAGGGGTATCAGGCGGGCCAGAAAATATAGAATCAGCGTTTACCCGGCGGATAAATTCGAATTTGGCGAAAGTCGACTTTCCCCCCCGAAAAAAGCCTAAATACGACACCTATGGCTCGGGGTGGAAAAAAAAATTTTTTTATTTCTGCCTTTCTGGGGCAAGTGAGGGTCTCAGGGGTATCAGGCGGGCCAGAAAATATAGAATCAGCGTTTACCCGGCGGATAAATTCGAATTTGGCGAAAGTCGACTTTCCCCCCCGAAAAAAGCCTAAATACGACACCTATGGCTCGGGGTGGAAAAAAAAATTTTTTTATTTCTGCCTTTCTGGGGCAAGTGAGGGTCTCAGGGGTATCAGGCGGGCCAGAAAATATAGAATCAGCGTTTACCCGGCGGATAAATTCGAATTTGGCGAAAGTCGACTTTCCCCCCCGAAAAAAGCCTAAATACGACACCTATGGCTCGGGGTGGAAAAAAAAATTTTTTTATTTCTGCCTTTCTGGGGCAAGTGAGGGTCTCAGGGGTATCAGGCGGGCCAGAAAATATAGAATCAGCGTTTACCCGGCGGATAAATTCGAATTTGGCGAAAGTCGACTTTCCCCCCCGAAAAAAGCCTAAATACGACACCTATGGCTCGGGGTGGAAAAAAAAATTTTTTTATTTCTGCCTTTCTGGGGCAAGTGAGGGTCTCAGGGGTATCAGGCGGGCCAGAAAATATAGAATCAGCGTTTACCCGGCGGATAAATTCGAATTTGGCGAAAGTCGACTTTCCCCCCCGAAAAAAGCCTAAATACGACACCTATGGCTCGGGGTGGAAAAAAAAATTTTTTTATTTCTGCCTTTCTGGGGCAAGTGAGGGTCTCAGGGGTATCAGGCGGGCCAGAAAATATAGAATCAGCGTTTACCCGGCGGATAAATTCGAATTTGGCGAAAGTCGACTTTCCCCCCCGAAAAAAGCCTAAATACGACACCTATGGCTCGGGGTGGAAAAAAAAATTTTTTTATTTCTGCCTTTCTGGGGCAAGTGAGGGTCTCAGGGGTATCAGGCGGGCCAGAAAATATAGAATCAGCGTTTACCCGGCGGATAAATTCGAATTTGGCGAAAGTCGACTTTCCCCCCCGAAAAAAGCCTAAATACGACACCTATGGCTCGGGGTGGAAAAAAAAATTTTTTTATTTCTGCCTTTCTGGGGCAAGTGAGGGTCTCAGGGGTATCAGGCGGGCCAGAAAATATAGAATCAGCGTTTACCCGGCGGATAAATTCGAATTTGGCGAAAGTCGACTTTCCCCCCCGAAAAAAGCCTAAATACGACACCTATGGCTCGGGGTGGAAAAAAAAATTTTTTTATTTCTGCCTTTCTGGGGCAAGTGAGGGTCTCAGGGGTATCAGGCGGGCCAGAAAATATAGAATCAGCGTTTACCCGGCGGATAAATTCGAATTTGGCGAAAGTCGACTTTCCCCCCCGAAAAAAGCCTAAATACGACACCTATGGCTCGGGGTGGAAAAAAAAATTTTTTTATTTCTGCCTTTCTGGGGCAAGTGAGGGTCTCAGGGGTATCAGGCGGGCCAGAAAATATAGAATCAGCGTTTACCCGGCGGATAAATTCGAATTTGGCGAAAGTCGACTTTCCCCCCCGAAAAAAGCCTAAATACGACACCTATGGCTCGGGGTGGAAAAAAAAATTTTTTTATTTCTGCCTTTCTGGGGCAAGTGAGGGTCTCAGGGGTATCAGGCGGGCCAGAAAATATAGAATCAGCGTTTACCCGGCGGATAAATTCGAATTTGGCGAAAGTCGACTTTCCCCCCCGAAAAAAGCCTAAATACGACACCTATGGCTCGGGGTGGAAAAAAAAATTTTTTTATTTCTGCCTTTCTGGGGCAAGTGAGGGTCTCAGGGGTATCAGGCGGGCCAGAAAATATAGAATCAGCGTTTACCCGGCGGATAAATTCGAATTTGGCGAAAGTCGACTTTCCCCCCCGAAAAAAGCCTAAATACGACACCTATGGCTCGGGGTGGAAAAAAAAATTTTTTTATTTCTGCCTTTCTGGGGCAAGTGAGGGTCTCAGGGGTATCAGGCGGGCCAGAAAATATAGAATCAGCGTTTACCCGGCGGATAAATTCGAATTTGGCGAAAGTCGACTTTCCCCCCCGAAAAAAGCCTAAATACGACACCTATGGCTCGGGGTGGAAAAAAAAATTTTTTTATTTCTGCCTTTCTGGGGCAAGTGAGGGTCTCAGGGGTATCAGGCGGGCCAGAAAATATAGAATCAGCGTTTACCCGGCGGATAAATTCGAATTTGGCGAAAGTCGACTTTCCCCCCCGAAAAAAGCCTAAATACGACACCTATGGCTCGGGGTGGAAAAAAAAATTTTTTTATTTCTGCCTTTCTGGGGCAAGTGAGGGTCTCAGGGGTATCAGGCGGGCCAGAAAATATAGAATCAGCGTTTACCCGGCGGATAAATTCGAATTTGGCGAAAGTCGACTTTCCCCCCCGAAAAAAGCCTAAATACGACACCTATGGCTCGGGGTGGAAAAAAAAATTTTTTTATTTCTGCCTTTCTGGGGCAAGTGAGGGTCTCAGGGGTATCAGGCGGGCCAGAAAATATAGAATCAGCGTTTACCCGGCGGATAAATTCGAATTTGGCGAAAGTCGACTTTCCCCCCCGAAAAAAGCCTAAATACGACACCTATGGCTCGGGGTGGAAAAAAAAATTTTTTTATTTCTGCCTTTCTGGGGCAAGTGAGGGTCTCAGGGGTATCAGGCGGGCCAGAAAATATAGAATCAGCGTTTACCCGGCGGATAAATTCGAATTTGGCGAAAGTCGACTTTCCCCCCCGAAAAAAGCCTAAATACGACACCTATGGCTCGGGGTGGAAAAAAAAATTTTTTTATTTCTGCCTTTCTGGGGCAAGTGAGGGTCTCAGGGGTATCAGGCGGGCCAGAAAATATAGAATCAGCGTTTACCCGGCGGATAAATTCGAATTTGGCGAAAGTCGACTTTCCCCCCCGAAAAAAGCCTAAATACGACACCTATGGCTCGGGGTGGAAAAAAAAATTTTTTTATTTCTGCCTTTCTGGGGCAAGTGAGGGTCTCAGGGGTATCAGGCGGGCCAGAAAATATAGAATCAGCGTTTACCCGGCGGATAAATTCGAATTTGGCGAAAGTCGACTTTCCCCCCCGAAAAAAGCCTAAATACGACACCTATGGCTCGGGGTGGAAAAAAAAATTTTTTTATTTCTGCCTTTCTGGGGCAAGTGAGGGTCTCAGGGGTATCAGGCGGGCCAGAAAATATAGAATCAGCGTTTACCCGGCGGATAAATTCGAATTTGGCGAAAGTCGACTTTCCCCCCCGAAAAAAGCCTAAATACGACACCTATGGCTCGGGGTGGAAAAAAAAATTTTTTTATTTCTGCCTTTCTGGGGCAAGTGAGGGTCTCAGGGGTATCAGGCGGGCCAGAAAATATAGAATCAGCGTTTACCCGGCGGATAAATTCGAATTTGGCGAAAGTCGACTTTCCCCCCCGAAAAAAGCCTAAATACGACACCTATGGCTCGGGGTGGAAAAAAAAATTTTTTTATTTCTGCCTTTCTGGGGCAAGTGAGGGTCTCAGGGGTATCAGGCGGGCCAGAAAATATAGAATCAGCGTTTACCCGGCGGATAAATTCGAATTTGGCGAAAGTCGACTTTCCCCCCCGAAAAAAGCCTAAATACGACACCTATGGCTCGGGGTGGAAAAAAAAAATTTTTTATTTCTGCCTTTCTGGGGCAAGTGAGGGTCTCAGGGGTATCAGGCGGGCCAGAAAATATAGAATCAGCGTTTACCCGGCGGATAAATTCGAATTTGGCGAAAGTCGACTTTCCCCCCGAAAAAAGCCTAAATACGACACCTATGGCTCGGGGTGGAAAAAAAAAATTTTTTATTTCTGCCTTTCCCGGGCAAGTGAGGGTCTCAGGGGTATCAGGCGGGCCAGAAAATATAGAATCAGCGTTTACCCGGCGGATAAATTCGAATTTGGCGAAAGTCGACTTTCCCCCCGAAAAAAGCCTAAATACGACACCTATGGCTCGGGGTGGAAAAAAAAAATTTTTTATTTCTGCCTTTCCCGGGCAAGTGAGGGTCTCAGGGGTATCAGGCGGGCCAGGAAATATAGAATCAGCGTTTACCCGGCGGATAAATTCGAATTTGGCGAAAGTCGACTTTCCCCCCGAAAAAAGCCTAAATACGACACTATGGCTCGGGGTGGAAAAAAAAATTTTTTTATTTCTGCCTTTCTGGGGCAAGTGAGGGTCTCAGGGGTATTAGGCTGGCCAAAAAAGGCCGATTCTATCGAAACTTCTACAGCTCATCTGCGAGTTTTTTTCAACGGCAATGGACATTGAGATATTTTCTGTAGAAAATTCCTCGGCTCATATTTACTGGGTGTTCATTTTATTCTTTTACAATGGAAAATCTATAACAAGCCATTCCTATGGAAACAGTTCAATTCTATGAAAATAATTTTTATTCGACATTTTCTATAAAAAAAAAACGCCCTGTAAAATTGCGGAATTCTTCAGTAGAATATTCCATGGAATTCGCCTGTTTTTCCAACGATTTTTGTTCACTCATCTACAAAAGGGAAAAAATAAAACACCAGATACCATTGCAGGGACCCCTCCAACAGTTCACTGCGCTGGTCCCGCGGTGATAAGAATCAAGATATCCGAGGCCAAAGTGAGCGACGGCGTCGACCAAATGATCTCCCAAAATCGCGCTGAATACGAGAACCTCCTGGTGAAAGCCTCTCAGCCCCCGCCCACCAAAGTCACCCAGGGCTGCGTGTTCGCCGACCACTTGATAAATCTCCTCGAGCACGAGTTGAACGTCCATCGCACATGTGAAAACACTGCCACACTACGTAAAGTCCAGGAGAGTGGAGTAACCCTGTTCTACCACCTCGTTGAGTTTTACAACGAGGAAGCCGCGTTGTGTCCACCCACCAAGCAACTGATCACGACGTGCATCGAGAAGCTGGGACAGCTGTTCATATCCGGCGAGGAGGGAGAGGGGCCAAGGCTGCTGAACACCATCATGGATAGACCAAGCCTGGGAGGTCTCCTGGGGCCTCACTTCACGCCAGTCGCTGGTGGAGCATCGACCTTCCTCCAGATGTACCAGACAGTTGTGGACCTGTCTACAGGCTCAAACGCCGATCTATGTTTCGTTCTTCTCTCTAAATTCGACGTGGGCAGTTGGCTCAACTACCGCAGACCGAGGCTGAGTGAGAGATCGATGTTCATCGATCTAGTCTGCAAGGCCCTCTGCAACATTGGACTCAACCCAGAGGACGACAAGCTGATACTCCACGAATTATTCAGGAATCACCTGAGACTAGTTCTTCTTCACGACTTCCCTGAGCACTATGGCGAGGTGTTGAGCGCTGTCTTGAGAGGCAGCGAGGGCCAGAATCTGTCCCTCGACGTTTGGCGGGATCTCCTGGGGGCGTTGAGTGGAAGACCGAAGGGTGCGGGGGTCATACATCCCAGCAAAGTCAGGGAGGAGATCAGGAGGTATGCCACCGAGCAGAGGCTCCTCTCCAGACAGGAGATCCATGACACTGCGGTGCTGTTGAGCAAGCACTTCATGAAGGAACGACTCCAGTATGGACTTTATGGATTGTACCCCAAGTACAGGGTGTACAATGAGCCACTCATCATGTTCCTGGGGATGATTGGACATGCCCTTGTCGTTTTGACTCTGCAGTTTGACAGGGGCTCCCTCGCTGATCAGCTCTGCGAGAGGATATGGCCGGTGTTGAGCGACATGTTTGCCCCCTGGATGACCCCCTATTGGACGAGAAACTTGAGGGAGCCCACTGCTGCCTGGATTCAACAGCTCACTGACGACAGGTCTGTACTTCTGCCCTGGATCATCACTGATGGACCTCATGCCAACAGAACTGTCGCCATGTTTGTCGAGTGTGTCAGATTCATCATCGATACCATGCCTGCATCCAGCAAAATTCTGGGATTCCTGTGGCAGTTTTATGTGAATAACTTTGCTCATGCCTCGGTCAAGGATCACATACTCAATGTTGTTCATGGGAATTTCTTGTCACTCCCTTGGGACAGGTTTTCACCTGGGGTCAGTGATGTCGAGTTTATGGTGAGGGTCGTTGATCAGTATCTACCCGACAGCCATCTCTTTCTGGGGAGTGTTTTTAGCGCCGTTAATTGGACGGTTTGGATCAATGAAGTGGTCAATTGCCAGACTTTGACTGTCGCTGCTAGGATGCATGTCTGCTTGCTCAACTTGATGGTCAAGCTGTCGAATGAACCCAATGTGCGACAGAACGAGAGGGCAGTTCAACTCGCAACAGAGGCTGAAAAATTCGCTTGGCACTTGGTTGACGCAATGGCCTATGATCAAGTGATAAACTGGCACGTAATGAGCTGCGATCCACGTGTTATTCTGTCTTATCCCGGTGATCAAGCTCATCCGATTGACGTTGCTATTAATAATCTCTTGAAAGTTGTTGCGGCCTATGACCCATCGGTGACCCACTTCCACCCGACGACCCTGAAAAAACGTCAGATGTACGTGCGTTCGTCCGTGAAACTCCTCGTGAACTGCACAACAAGGCACAAATCCCTCGTATCAACGAACATGAAGGCTTTCACATCGGCGTTATCGAGAATGCTGAGTGAGATGGAGATTGTGATAACGAGCACAGTATCAGAGCCCCAGCAGGCAGCAGAGGCTGGCCTCCTCGTCACCGAGCTGCTGCACTCGGTGAATCAGAGTGGAGTTCTGGTGGAGCAGTTGAGAACGAGTTGGGCGAATTGGTTGTCCGAGAAGACAGCCTCGTCGCCGATCCTCCTGGGTATCCTGAGGGTCATCGGAATCGCTGTGCCGTCTCCCTCGACCTTGGGGGAGCTCATGGAGGCCGCTCTTGGGGCGTACTTCAAGCACAGTGTCACTGACGACCTGGAACCGACCTGGGGGGGTGTCTTGGCCATTCTGCAGCCTGTTGTTCCCAGGCAACCACCTGTCGAGGGGGTGCTTGTCAGCGAGGGCAGGCTTCTCTCCCTCTATGCTATTCTCATGAAGAGGTTGCCCTCCTGCAGGGACATCAGGGAGGAGGGCATGATGCTGGTTAATTTGATTGATTGGATTTCAGCTATTAAACCGATGTGAGTTGATTAATTCAGTAGCGAAGTGGTAAAACGGTACAAGTCAATTTTAATCATCGACCAGTTTTCAATGAATATCTCGGAATCTAAGGGAGGTAGCAAAATTTTTGCTATGACCTTTTTTGTAGAGTCGATTGAGAGCTACAACAAAGGTAATTACTAAAATTTCGCTGTCTCCCTTAGATTCGGAAATATTCCTCAAAAACTCAACTGAGAGATAAGAATTAAATTTAATAACGTTCGCGATTATAAATAGAAGATTTGTAATCGTTGAAATTTAAGTTTCGGATTTTTTGGGGTATACGATCCATAATCCAAAAAGTCCGAAAGTGGAATTTTTCAATATTGTTCGTGCTCAAGAATTTTTATAGAAAAAATCCCAACGGAACAAGTTGGATGGAAAAATCAACAGCAATATCTATAGACATTTTTCTATAAACAAATATCTAGGGGAGAATACTCTATAAAAATTTTTGTACATGTAATTCCTTGAATAAGGTCAAGATGTAAAAAATCCTTTTTATCTCCAGGGAAAATATCGAAGCTAAATTACCCCTATTATGGGCGAAAGCATTTGAATTATCGTATCGTCAGTGTCAATACAGTGAGAATACAATAATAGCAGCACGTTCCCTGAAAAAACTTGCTCGTGCCTTATTAACAATGGCCGACGACGTGGGTCAAGGCTGGGGCATACTCGGTGCAATTGGGATTAGAAAAGGATCGCAACTTTCAATCAGGTAATTCCAACGTTTTCACTCATTCATTTTTTCATTCATAAGAACAGACAAATGTGATGAATTCACTTTCTTCTTGCACTTTGTCTATCCTATTTTATGTTATTATTTCTACACGAGAAAGGAAACCAAAGGAAAAAAGTTATTATAGTAGAACCGATGTTATGGCAGTTACAAAGTTTTTTGTACAAATAGAATTGAAATTGTGTAAATAAATTTGCCCCTTCAAATTTATTCAGGGAAAATTGCAAATAATAATGATGATAAATGAGTTGCTTGAATAAAAAAATGCCAGAAGACATCTTAAAAGCGTTTTCACTCATTCATTTCTTCATTCTTCCGAAAAATAATAAACATGAATGCACTTTCTTCTCGCACTTTGTCTATCCTATTTTATGTTATTATTCCTACACGAGAAAGGAAACCAAAGGAGAAAAGTCATTGTAGTAGAATAGATGTTATGGCAGTTGCAAAGTTTTTGGTACAAATAGAATTGAAATTATGTAAATAAATTTCAAATTTATTCACGGAATATTACAAAAAATAATGATGATAAATGAGTTGCTTGAATAAAAAAATGCCAGAAGACATCTTGAAATCGTTTTCACTCATTCATTTCTTCATTCTTCATAAAAATAATAGACATGAATTCACTTTCTTCCCGCAGATGCAAGTTTCTAGCACGTGCACTCGGTGTTTACTGTCTAGCACAGTTGCCGGATTCCAAGTCGGAGCAGCAGATTGTACGTTTCACTCCTCATTCACCTGGTATTGCACCGTTGAGAAGCAATGAGGTGGACACACTCGAGATCAGGCCTAATGCTGATGCTGTCAAGGGAATTCAGTGCCTTGAAGCACTTATTTGTAATAAACAGTATGCGGAATTGAAGGGGGATGTCGAGGGGGCACTCAGGATAATCAGGGATTCAGCTAATTCACTTCATAATGCTGTTAGTGTCACTGGAACACTCACTAATGAACTCTACGATGACAGGTTTCTTCATGTTTTGACGGATTAGAATTTTTTTAACGCAAATTAAACCTCTTTTTTGAATTTTGCAAGCGTTATAGTTGAAATTTAGTCAGATTTTTCAACGAAATATTAAATTCTGGGGCGAAATGGTGGAATTAGATGAGTTAATTCTATTTTGAGAATAAATCTAGAGTAAATATTTTCCAAAAATTCATCCCAATGAAAACGAAAAATTGAAATTTTCCTTTTTTTTCTGTAGATTAAGGCTTGTTCTTTGTTATCTAGTCAGTAAAATACAATTTTTTTGGTATTTTGAGAGGTCATGAAAAATATTTCCATTTAATTTAATTAAATTTTGTTTGTTTATCACAGGGTTTAATTTCAGCTTGAACAAAACGAAAAGTACTGGAAAGATTTAATGTATTGCTTGGCCTTAATCGAGGCTGTGATGTTATTTAGAGTTAAATCGATGTTGTAAAATCGAGTTTAAGCTGTAAACAGTTGTTTTATTTTTATTGCGAAAAACGTACTGTACGTGAGAGTTTATGGAATATTTATTGAAGAATTATCTGAGCTGCTGAAACAATGTTCTTTATATTTTTGCGTATAATTGAGAGAGATATATGATTAACATAAATGAAGTGAATTTTCCATTTTCTTTTTTATTTATTATCACTGCTTTAAAAAGACACTATTGAGAATATATTGAAATTTACAGATCAATTAGTCGTTGAATAATTTCTTACAATCCCAAAAAATCAATTGGTCAATTAGTGAAGAAGTGACAAAACTGTTTGATTCAGTATTGATATGATCGAATGTAAAATTAAAATAATTTTGTCACTTCTCTACTGAATATAAATTCTCATCATTCTCATCATTTTCACAACTTCATGCACAAAATACGAAATTATATCGATAAACCTTCTGTAGGAAATTTCATGAACTACAAAAAAGTTTTAAAAACATTTTTCCTAAATCCATTGGTCTCTGAGATATTCTCAAAAAAATGAATTCCCTTAAACTAAAGTCCTCTCACTCCACAAAACCATCAAAGTCAGATCTTTTTAACCGCCTGCACAGCAGTCCTCAAGTACCCCGAAGCCTCCCCCGGTTCAAAATCCACAATTTCACAATGAAATTCCTCTCTAAACGCATTCTTCATAACCGGAATAACGTCATCAATCCCAACATGAGCATTGAGCTCCCTAGACAGACTCGTGACCCCTTTCCCCTCAATTCCACAAGGCACAATATTCTCGAACCACTTCAACTCAGTATTGCAATTAAACCCGAGTCCATGAGTCGTGACATATCGACTCCCATGAATTCCAATGGCACAAATTTTCTTATCACCAACCCAAACCCCAGTGTCCGGTGATGTCTCCCCTTTAATTCCAAATTCAGCGCAAAGTCTTATGATCATTCTCTCGATCTGGCAGACGTACCATCTCACACTGGGCACGAAATCCCTCAGATTAATTATCGGGTAGACGACTAGTTGACCTGGCCCATGAAATGTGATCAATCCCCCACGATTTGTCTTGTGAAATTCAGCTCCAGTCGCTTTTAATTTCGCTATCTCCTCGTCAGTGTAGCCCTTGTTGCGAATTCCCACTGTGTAGACTGGATTGTGCTCTATCAGGATCAATGAGTGCCTCGGGTAGTCGGGGGGAAGGCCGGGGTCATGATGATGCTTCGACAATTGATTCTGCAGGTGAAGTCCTGATTGATAACACATTCGTCCTGCCCACAAAACTTTCACTAATTTCTTCGTCATTTTTCAATTAAAAAATCAAGTTCTAGGAAAATTTGTTATCTCCAGGCATCAATTTTCCTGGAGATCGGAGGATTTCATCAAGTTTTTTTCCTTCTCCAGGGTCAATTCCTTTGCCTTCTTCTGGATCGTCAGATACAGAAGCAGTGAGACCTGCAATAAATTCATGGATTCAGTCTGCGTGGAGTTTTGAATTGAGATGAAGGGATTTGAGACACTTACGTAAGCGTCAGTGGCTGCATAAGTTTTCTGCTCCTCGCTGAGTGGGAGAATGTGCCATTTACTTTTTCTAACTTTGTCATCCTTACTTATTTTCTTTTTTAAAATGTAAGCGGTGAGACGCTCCAAACTCCAACGACAGGATCTCTTGTAGATTTCGTTGGCTAGGGGGCCACAGTCAATGCAGTTGTTCTCTACTACTTTTTTCGCGGGGAATTCCTTGAAGTCTCGACCCAGTTTCCAAATGTCACTGATTACAATAAATATTTTTTGAGAATTCTAATGATTTAATTGTTGTGAGAGGAATTTAGTTTCATTATTTTGCGAATATCTCGGAAGCTGATGGGTTTAGAGAGAAATGTTCGAGGACATCTTTTGTAGCTTATGAAATTTTCTATAAAAAAGGTTTTGTGATATTTTGTGCTCAGGGCAATCGCTAATGAGATAATTTTAGGTTCAGATTGAGAATAAATCAGTTTTTGTGAGAGATTTTTTAATAACTGGACAATCAATTTTTCCAACCAACGAACAAATAAAAACCACAAACAACTCACTTCTTGATGTTGACCCCAACTAATTTAACCCTCGGGTGACTCAACAGGATAACCAACCCCGCTGGCAATTTATCGAGCCCATGGATATGCAGCAAATGGCAGGTGTTCTCCGAAACAGACAATTGTGCCAGTGCAGTCTTGCCAGGGCCAGTTTGAAAGCTGAAAGGCCACTCCAGATCGAATCCAATGGGTACGATCACTCCAGGATGCTTCTCAATCCTCTCTCTATCGAAAAAAATCCCATCATCCGAGCACAACCTCAAAACTATTCCAAACACGTAAATTCTCTTACATAATTTGATCGCAGATCATTGCACAACCCTCGAAATCCGTGACATAGTACAATTTTCCTTTGAACAGAATCTCTGGCAATTCCTCTATTATGGGGTCTCTATCCACAACTTCCTCCTTAAGGAATTCCTTCCAACAAAATTTGACGATTAAATTCATTTCATTGGCTCCAACAAAATTCATTTCTCTACAAATTTGCGAAGAAAAAAATTGAAATCAAGTCTTTTGCAAATTTATTCACCTTCTTGAGGTGCTCTGGAAGATGTTGGATCGATCTTCTCGTCACTCTGCCCTCGATAACTCTGTCTTTAGCCTGGGAAATTAACGGAGTTGATTAAACAATTACGTGGAGAGGACTGAGATAATTTGTTTACGTGAGTGGACTAACCTCATCTTTCGTTTCAGTCGGTGGACTCATAACTCTCGCCTCTTTCTCGGTTAATTACCGTTATTTATCAGGTGGCAATGGTTTTCGAGGGAAATATTATTATTTTAATAATGTTTAAATGACGAATGGGGCAATCTTTGGGGGGTCACGTGTCTGAAAATTGTTCGGAATTTTTTTTCGATGGATTTGTTAGCTTTTTGCCGCCAATTTTCCCGCCATAAGTGGCGATGGTGCTGCTAGCTATTTCTGCGCATGTTTCAACCCTGTACTCAAAAGGGGAACTTGTACATTCATTTTATTTATTTAACTAGGGGGGTACGCCCCCTGCTCGCTCCGCTCGTCAACCCCCATATGACCCCCATGATCTTTATTCTGACCCTCGTGACGCTTAATCTGGCCCTCGTGACCCTTATTTTGACCCTTAATTTTGGAATCTCAATTTCGAGTACCAAATTTTTATCACCAGAAGTCGATTTGGATTTTTATAATATAGAGAGATATAGAGAGACCCTTATTTTGACCCTCGTGACGCTTAATCTGACCCTCGTGACCCTCATTCTAAAGGGAAAAAGTGGGTCGCAACGAGAATTGGTCCACAGATTTTGGATAGATAATTCTTTTTCCCATACGGGTTTAACTTTCCCGTTGAATGGATCTGGAGTGAAAGAAAATTGCGGGAAAGTTCTTTGTGTTTTTTCATAAAACGGAGTATTATCGAGATAAAATGAATTATTTTTTATTATTTGTTGCATAATACTAGAACAAAACACTTGGAACTAAAATTATCAACTGTATTTTCAGACAATACAGTCCGGAAAAATACAGGTGTTAATAAACGGGTGAAAGAGAAACCGTAATAAGACTGTTTAAACCCTTTTTTCTCGAAATAAAAATGAAATTGAAAAATTGCCAATAACAATAAAATCATTTTCATTTATTTAATTATCATTTAAATTAAAACAATGATTGATAGCATTAATCACTCAGCATCACATAAAACGAAAGTTTCTCATCAACGAAATAAAACGACGCTCTGTTTTTCTTAATTATGCATTAGTTTATCAATGATTACTCCTTTATTCAGTAATGCTAATAGCCACTGATAATGTAGATGCGCGATTTCAACCGAAGCGTATCGAAACGAAAGTAAATGATTGAACCGGGAATAAAACTAAAAAATGTTGAGTTCCAAATTGACGAACTCGTTTATCTAGTTTTTCCAATTTCAGCGGACGCTTTTAATGGTCTCAGAATAGTTTCATTTCAATGAGAAAACGCAAGTCCCGTGCGCAGGCTGACCGTTAAACGCCGATGGCTCTTCCTTTCCTCCACGGCTAGATCAGGGGTTTCACTTTCTCAACGCGAGGATTTTTAAAGAACCATTTAGACGGCGTATTCATCAAGTTAAATTCAGTAATAGCGCAGTTGGTCACTGATTATCAACGCTTTCTTTTGGTCTCATTGGGAGGAGTTTTTGTCCCGTGATTTGAGGTGACTTGGTCAATGAATCAACTATCGGGGAAGGGGGGGGGGGGAGAATGAGGTGGTAAATTGGAGCGAATCCTTTTGGGCGAAGTAGGCTGTATGGTTCAATTGTAATTGAATACTTTGGGTTCAGTCTAAGCGTGACCTCTTCTTATTCATTAAATTATTTTTTTTATTGGAAGGGTTCATGTTTTGTTACCAGAACGTGAAAGGCATCAGAAATTATCAATTTATTTACTTATTCCTCTCATTTTTTTTCTCGGATTTTTTAAAACTCAATCATTGATTCATTGTTAATTATTAGTGAATCAGTAATTGATTGATTTAATTAATTCGCGATTAATAAAAATTCAAATTGAATGAATTGTTTATTAGTGACTTATTTTATTGTTGTTTAATAGTTTTATTAGTTTATTAGGATTATTAAGTCTGGATTAATTAATGATTATGTGTTATGGAATTATCAATTTATTTGCTTCTTCTTCTCGTTGAAGTTTTTAAAATTAATTATTAATTAAATCAAAATTGTAAATAGAGCAATATTTGATTAGTTCAATTAAGTCATGATCAGGGCTCGGAACTTCATGTGATTACACACGAAATTCTGGACCCTGGTCATGATTAATCGCGATTTTAATTGATCCAATTGTTCAACAAGAAATGATGATCTTGAGATGGAAATCCCATGGATTTTGACTAGAAAATAGGTTCTATTGGACATTTTTCGTTGAAATATTAACCAAAACCTAAAAAATATTCAATAGAAATTCAACATAATTTTTCATCGAATCTACGTTTTTCCGTGAATTTGTTTCATACCATCACTCAATTTAACGAATGTAACTATCCGAAAGACATGTAAATGTCTGACGAGAATAATTACTGTTTCAAAAATTATCATGTTTTGGTGCAAACTTTTTTTTTATCGACAAGTAAATTAATTCAACACGACAAAACATCTCTTCAGGGGAACAAATAATTTTTCGGCAGAACCAATTGTTTTCTCAGTGTCCATGACCCAAAAAATGACCCCTCGATCCAGAGAAATGCCCAATTACTACCCCACGAACTTGACACAATCAAACCGCCCATTTAATCGCCCCCAGCATAGTTCAGTTACCGTACACTGAGAGAAAATTCGACAAAGTTCTCAAACAAGTCTTACTTGTGTCAAGAAAATAGTTTTTTGAAAATGATCAAAAAAGGATTTTTTTGTGCCAAACATGCAGAAAGTGCGCTGGAATGAAAAATTTTTGTCGCTAAAATAGATTTAGTAGTTCAAAAAAATTGCATTCTCTGTAAACGCAAGAAATGTCATTTCTAGCACTACTCCTTCGTTACTCAATACTCCCATACGTATTTTGCTCCCGAAAAATCTTTGTTTTATGCGAAACAAGGGCTAGTAGTTTTTCGTTTCGGCTGTCTAATAATCACAGACAACAAATGAACCCTTAAATGAAACAATAATAATGATATGATAGCAATGTTGTAACTTAGGGATAAAATATTTGTTGATAAATTTTCCTCTATATGAGATATTTTCATCCTGATAAGGCACCCTTTGGTGTAAATTCATCCTCGTGAATGACGACTGGAAGCCCTGACCCCCCCTCCCACTATCACCACGTCTGACCGTACGAGAGTACAAACACAGAAAAAAGGACGAAATGAAAACAACTAAGCGGAAACCTCGTATAACTTTCCAAGTAAGGATAGTAAGAAACCGTCGATTCGGCCCAGTCCAATCGCCACTCGTTGCCCGGGCTACCAAGATCGGCGAAGTCAACTCTCGATCACTTTCTTCAGGTGCACCAGGGCAGCGAGTTGGTTTTATCAGTCATTGAGACGTTTTCATTCATCATTTTTAAGGCGAGATTTTAATGAAAGAGATAAATGCGAATGAAAGACCGGAAAATCCGCAGTTCTCCAGAAATGGATTTATTTGATTAATTTTTTTCTTCAGTTAATGTTGAAGGTTTAGTTGAATAGTGAAGTGATAAGACAGGATCAGTAGTTGATTCCAGAACAGGTGAGTTTTTGTCTCCAGAACAGGTGATTTTTGTGTAGAGAATTTTCAACTTATTTTACAAGTGTTTTCACTAATTTTTCTTCTCTCATTGAAATTATTCAAATTTATACAATAAAATACAATTTTAATAGAATAAGTTGTGTAGAAAGATCAAAGTTTATTAATTTTCTTAATCTATTAGATTTTTTTAAAATTTAAGTGACAGCTAATTTTGAATTCTCAATGTTGTGAATGTGAATTCAATTTGAGATCAAATCCTTCACGAAATTTATTACTGATTTTGGGGAGTGAGCATGATAGTCAATTGCATTTTCACAATTCTCTATAATTTTCATTGTCATTGTCATCTAAGAGTTACAATTCCATTGAATATTTTGAGAAATTAATTGATTTGTGAAAATTACATATGTAAACCTAGTGAATGTGCTAGAAAATTTTATTAGATTTCTACTAGTTTTTGGCTGAAATTCGGAAAATTCACAGCTTTTCCGCGCCTTTCTAGAATAAAAATGTTCAATGCGAAATATTCAATAGAAAAAATCAATAGAATTATATTTTTCTATAGAGTTTATGCTCTTGAAACATTTTTTATAGAAATTTCGTTTTATTTTTTCAACGAAAAGAGAAGAAATAATAGAAGTAACTATGGAGAAAGTTGCAAAAAAAGTTGAAATTCTAATGACTTTTTCTATAAAATTGTTTCTATGGTACTTTTTTACTAAAAAAACACTGGAAATTTGCGAATTTTCCATGAAATTCCATAGGTGTTTCTATAAAACTCTTTCGTTCGTCTTTCACTCGCAATTTCAACGAGTGACTCTCTAACACTGAATTCTAAACAGATGGAGGAAAATCTATGGAAATAAAATTAACAAAAAAAATCAAAATTGATAAAAAGTCCTGCCTCAACACTCTTCAAAAATTCATCGTGCAGAATCCATCGAGGAATGACAATGGACCTCTGCGTCGGGCTATTCTTGATATGTTTTATCCTCAGTGGCATGGAAATATCGAGCGCTATGATGAGGAACGATCGTGCTGATCAGCCGGGTAAGTTTCAAGGCCCATTATTTTACAAAGTTGAAACGAATTTATCCGTCGTAACGATCTCGCGACCGAGTATCCTCATTCTCCTCGAGGACCCTGTGACTCCGGGTGTCTCGATGTTATCATTTCGGTGAAAAAATAATTGGCAAAACTGACTAGAGATGCAAAATGACCGTCATTTTTGAGACCACGTCATATGACCAATAAATGAAGGTCATGTGCCGCACAATTTTTTTAAGTACAAATGATGGTCACAAATAATTACTAGGGGAGAGTGGGGTAAAACGGCCCCTTTTGATTTTTTCAAAAATGTTAACAGCTCATTCAATTTAGTTCATTGAGTGATGGCACGTGCGAACAAAATTTATATTGAATTTCTATTGAATATTTTTTAATTTTTGGCTGATGCTATTGTATTCTGCAGCTTCACAGCACGTTATTTTATTAGAAAATGTTCAATAAACCCTATTTTATAGGAGAAATAGGGCGACAGGGGGAGCTATTGAGCGAAATTATTTCTATTAAAAATTGTGGAGTTGTAATGGCTCCCGCGTGATCGCGGCGCGAGCCGTACAGATTGAATTTTTGAATGGTAGAGTGCGGTCGTCCCGCAGCTTCGCAGAGGCAACCGAGGGAGGTCCAGCCGAGGCGGCTGTCCTTGACGAAGACAACCGGGAGAATTTTCAATGGGAAGCCGAGCAAGAGGGGGTCGTGGCCCTGGCAAATTTCACTGCAACTACTTCATCCAAAACTTGGGTTCATTGGACACTGGTGTGGAGGAGTGCTCGTCGAGCAGTCGTGGGTGCTCACTGCTGCCCATTGTGTTCATAAGTATGATATTCTTTCATTTTTTTCACGAATGAAGGTATTTAAGAGGCCTCGAGAGTGGAAGACAACTACTGAGATATGAGGAAGACTTTGCGCCGCGAATTCTCAGCCAAAAGGGGATGAAAAAATTTGAAAGATGACTTTAAAAAAATGTTCATTTTACAGAAACCGAATGAAGCGAGTTGAGAGTGATTTGATGAAGATAAATAATTTTAAGAAGTGTTTAAACATACGAGGTGGGAGTGTCGCCATCTTTAAAGCCCCTTGCGATGGCGGGAGGGGATATTTTTTAGATCAACTCATTAAAATTAAGAAAATGAGGAAGATAATTTAAATCGTTTTAACGACAATCTTTCTCTAAACTCATTAATTTGCGAGATTTTTACTCAATCAATGTCGTAAAGTTGAGACTTGTATTCAGACGATTTAATTTCATTTTCCAAGTGATCTCTTCAATCTTCCGATTGGCGCCCTCTGGACAGCAGTAGCCGGGGAATGGGAACTCGACTCTGGAAATCGGGGATCAACTAGAATTCCCATCGATCGAATATTCATTCACGAACAGTTCAACAACTACATCCACGACATTGGTAACCAGCATCCGTAAACCCCTACATCACCATAATTTCACCACAGAAATATTAATTTTTATGAACCAATAGCCCTCATGAAACTGAGCAGACCGGCTCCCCTCTCAAAGGTCATTCGAACGATCTGTCTGCCTGAAGCTGAGGAAAAAATATCGGGGGTCAACTGCGTTGCCTCCGGTTGGGGCAGATCTGGACCCTCACCTTCACTCTCTAGCGCTCTCTTAGAAGCAAAAATTCCGTTGTTGAATATTGAGGAGTGCAAGAAGGCCTATGGGAGCACTGTGCTTCTTAGGAAGGGCCATTTGTGTGCTGGACATACTGATGGATCTTCTGGAAGTTGCGTTGTACGTCACATTTTTTTCATTCATTCATCCTTTTATTTATTCATGTATTTATTGATTTATTTATTTATTTACTCATTCATTTGTTTAGTTATTTAATTATTCATTTATTCATTTGATCATTTATTCATTTATTTATTTATTTATTCACTTATTTATTTATTTCATAAGTCCACGCACGAAAAAATTTCATGAAAAAATCTAGCGAATTCGATCAAAACTCTATGGATTTTTTTTCTGTCAAATATCTGTTAAAAAATTATACGGTAAAGTGACATAATCCTATATAAATGAAAAAAAAATAATGTCAATGACTGCTTGCTGATCCCAGGGGGATTCCGGGGGACCCCTTCAGTGCCGCAGATCCGACGGAGTCTGGCAGCTCGCGGGCATAACATCGTTCGGCTCTGGCTGCGCTCGTCCCGGCTTTCCCGATGTCTACACCAAGGTCCAGCACTACGTCGAGTGGATTAAAAAAACGATAAAAAATAACGAGAACGACTTGAGATGAACTCGCTTGTTATGTAGTTGTAGTTAATTGAAAATAAATTATTACGAAATACTCTTGCTTAGAGTAATTACATCCCCGATAATCTAAATTTGCAATAGAAGTTGAGAAGAAACGTCACTCTGGCATGAAATCATTCCGAAATCACTGAAATCAAGTGATTTCAGCTCTCCGAAATCACCCGAAATCGACTGAATTTATTCGAAATCATAGTGTCACCCAATTATGGAGTAAGTAACCACTCGAGAAATCCAATAAATCTTTCTAATATTTTTTTTCGTGCGTGTTACATGAAATTAAAATACTTTCATTCAATGAAGATGATAAGAAATTAATGGACAAATATTTTTAAACAATCTGGACGGAATTCATGACCCGCAATTCTTTGGATTGTTTATCATTCACCAGGGCTTCACATCTGTTCTCATTTATCCGTGAAATTGAATCGATTTCAAAAACATTGTTAAGGATACTTACGCAAATGCAATCTCAACATAAACAGTTTTCACAAGAAAACAACAACTATCTATAGCCTTTTGTATTCATTATTCAAGCACGATATTCCGATCCATTGGTTACAAGCCATGAGAATGGACTCTTCTCAGATACAATTTGTAAATGAATTTATGAGTGTGAATTCACCATTGAATACCAAAGGCGGCAATTTATATTCGGATCTCGGGTTGAGTTTACATTTTCCTGAGAAAGTCACTAGGAGTTGCATCACTTGGGCTGGAAATTATTGGAGGCATTATTAGATGTATCGGTGCTGAAACACGTGAGTGAAGCTACGGAGTATTATGCTCGATTGCAGTCTCAGTTAACTAGCTTAGGGGCTTTTAGTGCTCCCAGTGAAACTTGATATTTCATCGAGGAATTCAGTAGCGAAGTGGTAAAACGGTTTAAGTCGACTTAACTCTTAGCTGAGTTTTCGAACAATATCTCCGAATCTAAGGGAGATATCGAAATTTTCATAAGAACCTTTTGTGTAGCTCGTAATTCGCTCTACAAAAAAGGTTCTAACAAAATTTTCGCCATTTGCCTTAGATTCCGTGATATTTTTTGAAAACTGACCAATAGTCAAAATCGACTTAAACCTTCGCTACTGAATTAATCTCTGAAGTTTTAACTGTTAAAGCGGTTGTAAATAAAAAACTATATGAATTCTCTCAAATTTTTTCCCCCAATTTCATCATCATCCTACATAAATTGAATTTGAAAACCAAAAATTAAAATCGATAAATTCATCAATTTCATGAAAACTCGAAATGCAAAAATTATTAGACGAAAAAAATCGTTGAATAATTGATGACACATTAACAACTTGATAATCGTCGTAAAATGCATGAGAACATGTTCCCCCCAGCTGTTGCTAACAATACACTCAACAATTCACGAGACAATTCAGTCACGAAATAAAGGAGAAAATGCGGGACATTTTCCCCTAATTGAGAATAAAAAATTGTTAATTGAAAAATGTCACACCTAGAGGCCCCCATTCCTCTCAAACAATTACACGTTCTGCCTATCTCTATCTGATGAACTCGTCAACTACCTGATAAACACGTACTTAAACCACTGATCGTGAAATGGATAATGGTCACGGGTGAATATAAGGGGTATTAAAAAACCCTGAGGGTATAAGCGGTAGTTAATCCGCAGCATTAGTTGATTAAAGACCCGGAGAAGAAGGACTCCTGGGACATAAGTGGGAGCGTCATTCGTATTAAACATGTTAAGGATATCCAAGTATCTTTCACTGTTTGATACAGACCACACTACAGATTCAACCATTTTCAATCATCAAATTTTTCAATTAAATTGAAAAAGTGAAAAAAAATCGAAAAAGTAATGAATATTCAGGGCCATTAAAACTACATTTTGCACAGAATTATTATTTTTTTAAATTCGTTGTTGATAAATGAATAATTGAAATTATTTGCAGCTGTTTATGCGCGTTTCGAAAAATATGAATATTGAATATTAAATATTCATTGTTCAATGTATTATAGAAAAAATGAAGAGCAGTGGGGCGAGTGGGGCAAAATGAAACAGTCGAAAAGCAACTGTTTGACGCAATTCAAGGAAAAAAACCTTTTATCAACGTTTATTATTGGCAGTACTGATGAGAATAATAATTTTCTATTCAGTAGGAAAAGAAAAAAAGTCAATAAACAAAAGGTAAAAAAAAAATTCTGCTTAAATTGCATCAGTCATTTTTCGGCTGTTTCATTTAGCCCCGCTCTCCCCTAGAGTTTTAAATAAAATTCAGTTTTTCATTGAAAATTCTACTTTTTGAACTTTAAACTTCAATCCAAGTGTCAAAAAAAATTATAACTAAATAGAACGTAAATACACAAATCATGCGCGTGACGAATTTGCGCAGGGGTATGTCAGTATCGTCTCCAATAAATCCAAACGCATCCCTCAATTCCAAGACCTCACAATTACACTAAATTAACTAATTTTCTCTTGACTTCCCATTTTGAGCGATCAAATTGCGATTGAGAAAAAAACAATTCAGGCTTTAATTTTTTTTTCCTCACATTTTCATATTCATATGTGCAATGGAAAAAATTTGATAGAAAAATCTATAGAATTAGGATTTTAAATGGAATCTAGATTTCTATTGTGAACTATAATTTTTTTAATTCACGAAAATAGATTTTTTTATAATTTGTTTTTTATTCTAGAGAATTAGGATTTTAAATGAAATCTAGATTTCTATTGCGAACTACGATTTTTTCAATTCAAGCTTCAATTTTAGGAGCTCTTCCCAATTAATAAACCTCATAATTACACTAAATTAACTCCATTTTCTTTGAAATTCCGATTTCAATATGGATTGTTTTTCACGATTGAGAAAAAAAAATTCAGGCGTTAATTTTTTTTCCTCAGTTTCGTGTTTCGTATGTTCAATAGAAACAATTTTCTATAAAAATCTATAGAATTAGGATTTTAAATGGAATCTAAATTTCTATAGCAAACTATTTAAAAAAAATTCAAGCTCTAACTTTAGTAGCTCATCCCAATTAAAAGACCTCACAATTACACTAAATTAACTTCATTTTCTTCAAAATTTCAGTTTTAAATGATCGAATTCCAATTGAAAAAAAATCAGAATTTGCTTTTTGTCTTCTCCAAGTTTCCCCTCAAAAAATATTGGCCGAAGGTGCAGGGCATTATCCACCTACCTACGTCCCTATTTTCGAACCAAACAGTGGGTGGAGGTTGCACATACCCCGATGAGGGAGAGTCCGCTGTATTGTGAGGCGTTACACTGACATCAGTAGCACACTTTCATCTCACCGAGGAAAGTGAAGAACTTCCATACTATTCCATCACATCCGAATAAAGAAAAAGTATCGGGATACTCGTCGTGATTGAGTGCATGCTGACTGAGATTTCTTCATTTTTTTTTATCGATCTCGTGGAGTTCCTCTTCGGAAAAGTGTTGAGACGGAAATAGAAGAGTGAGGAAGCCACTTTAAATTCGGTTCAGCGTAAAAAAATATCCAAATATATTTTTTTCGAGAGTTGCCTTCGAAATTTCGTCACAAAATGTAAGACACATATTTCCACAATTTTACGCATAATCATCCCCTAAAATTTCTTTTTTTTAAATAATTTTCCATTTTTCATTTTTCCTAATGCGAAATATTTATTGTTTATCTGTTGTTGACATAAAAATTTTCCCTCTGGTAATTGAAAATTGATTTTTTAATGAATGTTTAATTTATTTAACGTCACAAGTGCATGCTGGCTATTCGTGCCGCCCAATCGCCGTCAGTTTACCATCGATCGTTGCCTTCTTCGGGGTGCAACTCAGACTTTTATAAATATCAGAATTATTCTTGCGTTTGGGGCTTTAGACGTCGGTGTGTTACGGTTAATTCTATTCCCCCGTATTTTTGTTGGTTGAGTCGATGGGAGAAAGATAATAAATAATTTTGTTTGATACTGGGGAATCAGAGTGCTAATTTATGTGAGGGAAATGCTGGGTGGAGGATTGGACAAAGGAGACCGCCCACGTGGCGGTTTAGCGGAATATTAATTCAGGACGTTGGGGTGCGAGTGTAGTTGCGGATTGAATAGTCTTTCACGTATGAAAAAATTCAATTCTCTAGGAAATTATATTGGGATTCTCTAGGAAGTCTGTGGGGATTCTATTAAATTCTGGGGAATTCCCGTTAAAATTCTATTTGTTTCTTGCGCAAATTCTATTAGATATTTCATAGGAAAAAATTGATAACAAGAGAAAAAATAGATTTCGATAAATTAAATCGACTAATAAATGTTAAATAGTCGATTAAATTTGAATTTAATCTCTTAAATTAAATTTTACTCTTCAGATTTTTTCTATTGAAATTCTTGGGGACGAATTTTCCAATTGTTTCCGCTATATTTTGTTTCGTTTTGCATTACAGGATCATTTTTATCATGTTTAGTTTCTACTGAAATTTCAGGAAATCTTGTCATTGAAGAAATGAAATATTCCATTGATTTTCTGTTCAAATGATTTGAAAATGAATAACACACATGATTTTTCAGTTCAATTATTCCTTGAAAATTCAGAAAAATCAGGAAAAGTCAGGGAAAAATTGAAAATTTCTATCATGCTGAGGAATTCCTATAGAAAATATTTCATTAGAATAAATTGTATATAAAAATCGAATTCCACCAATTTTTCTACATATTTCTACTACGTTTTCCATTGAACATTTCTATTGAAAAAAATGCGCAGATAAATTTTTCAATGGAATCGGCCAAAAACTAACAGAAAGTCCAGTAGAATTTTCCAGCGAATTCGCTACATCATTATTTATGAAAAATCTAATGATACAATACGGCGAATAGATTGGCTTCAAAAAACGTTACACTGGAATTTTATTAAAGGATTGCACGTCTCATTTACCCCCCCCCCCCCCGAATCGATCAAAAAATGATTATCCAAGCAAATCCACCAATTATCTCACTGTTTCTTCCCAGAATGGAGACAGAGTCAATAACCCTGGCTCCCCCAACGATCCACGTGGGTCCAATTGTGCACCCCATCTCCAACGAGACAATATCCATCGTAATTCCATTGTCAGCGCAGTTGACAACAGTAGCACGTGTCCAGGCAATGGACTCCCCCAAAGTGGCTGGCGAAAAATCTGAGACTTCAGATCACCAGCCGGTGGTGCCAGTGGAGATAAGCCTGTCTCCCACAACCTCAGGAATCACTGAATCCAAACCAGACCTGGCAGCTGCCCTCCAGAAGGCAGACAAGACCAAGGGCTGCCCCTTTCCCACGTGTTCGCGGTATGGACGAGCCTTTTCGAGGGCTCACGACCTCAAGCGTCACATCGCGAGGCATGAGACCAGGAAGGAGAGACTCTGCGAGTCCGCGCAGACGGATGTCCGCACCTGCGGCCAGTGCGGTGAGAGCTTCATCAACGATCTCGTTCTTCAACGGCACATGAGGACCCATGGGAAGGCTGGGGAGGAGGGAGGCTGCAACGGCAAGGGCTATCCCTGCCATTTGTGCAAGAAGAGGTATGCGCAGTTTAGTAAACTGCAGGTACACGTGGCGACTCATGATAAGGTAATTGAGAAATTATTTGTTTTTGACGAATTAAGGAATTTATGTGTATGAAATAATGCTGTGAGATTTTCTATAGGATTTTCTATAGGGTGAATTCCAACATTTTCTGTAGAATCATTTATAAGGATTCCTAGGGAGAATTTTTATATTGTCCATAGGATTTGTTATAGAAGGACTATAGGGAAGCCCTATAGTATTTTCTATAGAAAGCCTAAAGGGAAATCCAATGTGATTTTCTATTAAAAGAACTATAGGGGAATTCTATACAATTTTCTATTCAATTCCTATAGAGAAATCATGTATGGTGATCTATAGAAACCCTATAAGAATCGTCTAAAGGATATTCTATCGAAGTTCTATAGGAAAGTCCTATAGTATTTTCTATAGAAAACCTATAGGGAAATCCAATGTGATTTTCTATTGAAAGAACTATAGGGGAATTCTATACTATTTTCTATTCAATTCTATATAGAGAAATCATGTATGGTGATCTATAGAAACCCTATAAGATCGTCTATAGGATTTTCTAGCGAAGTTCTATAGCAAAGTTCTATAGCATTTTCTATAGAAACCCTACATGGAAATATTATATAAGATTTTTATAGTTCAATATTATTTTCTATAAAAATCTTATAGGGAAATCCTATATGAAATCCATATATGGCTTTCTATAGAAATCATATATTAAACCCCTATAGAATATTTTATAGCTTTCTTGTAGTTTTCCTATAAGATTCGCTAAAAAATTTTCTATAGGATTTTCTACAGGATATCCTTTCTAGGAGTCATGTAAAGGTTCGCGTCAAAAAATATCGTTCGACACACGGTCTAAAAAACTATTCGAGCTCACGCGATTGCAAACTCATATTTCCCAGAAAAATTTGTTTCGGCCTAATAACGAAATATACTATTTAACAATGACGCAACGTTTCACTCGCATTTCAGTGATTTTTCTTTACATTATTGTCAAATCGATTTATTTCACTGACATAAACTGTTTCTCCAGATTACTGTGGAAAAGTTTCTTGATAACAAAACAATCCTCTAGACATTTTATCGTGAAAAAATGACGGAGAAACGAAAATCAGCGCAAAAATCTTGATTATCTTGAGAGAAAAAGTATAATTGCTATTTCAGAAATCCTCCGACAACGTCTGCGCCCTGTGCGGTATCCAATGTGAAACCGAGGAGAAACTTGAGACCCACATGAAGGACCACACAACGAGCATTCTCGAGGCGCAAGAAGCCCTGGAGGCCGCAGTGGAGCCGACCCCCGAGAAGATGGAAGAGGACGACGACGACGATTTCCTCCTGGAGGAGATGCTCCTCATTAACAAGGGCCCCCGCCTCCCCCCGAAAACAGAGTCGACAACCACCTCGGACGGAAAGATCCGCTGCGACTACTGCGCGAAGACCTTCAAGACAAAGTGGACGCTGAGCTCTCACGTAGCCGCCCACGAGGGCCGTTTCCAGTTTGGCTGTTCCAGGTGTGGAAAAAAATTTGTCAGGAAGAGTCACTACGACGGGCATGTGCGCTCCCACGAGGCCGCCAGGCCCTACGTCTGCGAGCAATGCGGCAAGACATTCAAAGAACTAAAACATCGACGTGAACACACGAAACGAAAACACTCGAACAATCGAAATGACGTGCAAAACCTCTTGGACAGCATCAGTGCTTATGTGGCGGAGGAAGCCTCAATGGAGCAGCCTAAATTCGCACTTCTCATGCCTGTGAACTTTCCCGCATAAATATTCCCTCTTTAAATCATCGGATCGATCGATATCGACGGGATTTTGTCCACAAATTATAGTGATTAATAAATGAGGACTTTTTATTCAAAAACTTGAGGGGGAAAGTTGTCTTGTTCAATGGGAGAATATAGTTTAAGAGAAAAACCACTGCGAGGGCCACTCGAGGACGCCAGGGAAGACATTAAAAAAAAGAAATATCGATGTGAACATCCGAAACGAAAACACTCGAGCAATCGAAATGACGTGCAAAACCTCTTAGATAACATGAGTACTTGTGAGGCGGAGGAATTCTCAATGGAGCAGCCTAAATTCGCACTTCTCATGCCTGTGAACTTTCCCGCATAAATATTCCCTCTTTAAATCATCGGATCGATCGATATCGACTGGATTTTGTCAACAAATTATAGTGATTAATAAATGAGGACTTTTTATTCAAAAACTTGAGGGGGAAAGTTGTCTTGTTCAATGGGAGAATATAGTTTAAGAGAAGAACCACTGCGAGGGCCACTCGAGGACGCCAGGGAAGACATTAAAAAAAAGAAATATCGATGTGAACATCCGAAACGAAAACACTCGAGCAATCGAAATGACGTGCAAAAGCTCTTAGATAACATGAGTGCTTGTGAGGCGGAGGAATTCTCAATGGAACAGCCTAAATTCACACTTCTCATGCCTGTGAACTTTCCCGCATAAATATCCCCTCCCTAAATCATCGGAACGATCGATATCGACTGGATTTTGTCAACAAATTATAGTGATAAATAAATGGGAACTTTTTATTTAAGAACTTGAGGGAGAAAATTGTCTAGTTTGATGTGAGAATTTTGGGAGTCACTGTGAGGTAATTCATGTCTAAATTGTTGGTTGACAGCAGTGAATATTGCTGGTAATGTTCATTTTGGAAAAAATTATCGAAAAATTAATGAAACGTCATTTGTTTTGTCTAATTTGTGAACTGAAAGGAGAAGGATTTTAACTTTTACGACGTGTTTTACATGATGCTTGGGGATTTTAAACTTTGTGAGGTCTGAGACTGTGAGAACTAAAGATTTGTTTTATTGGGAGGGAATTCGGAGTGACTCGTGGGTTTCGGATTATTTTTGGAATTGTCAACTTTTTTTTTGGGGGGGGGGGGCTGTGAGGGATTTAAATGAGTACGAGCAAGAGGAGGAAACTGTCAACGTCATGCTGGGAGGCTACGGAGAACGTCAGGATCAAGTTGGTTTTTACTCTCGAGACACTTCCGCCGGAAGTGCTGGAGACCATTCTGACTTTTTTGCCGATGCAGGTGGTTGCTGGAACTTTTCGTCTTGTTTCAAGGTGAATATGAGTATAAAATATCCAGGGAAAGATGATTAATTACGGAAATAAAATGATGAAGAGTAGATTTAATTGTTAAAGTAAAAAATCGATAGGTTTGATATTTTCATACTGACTTTTTGTGAATATCTTGGAAACTACTGAGTTTAGAGAAAAGTGTCAAATCAACTTTTTATAGCCGATGAAATTTGCTACCAAAAATGTTATTTCAATTTTTTTCTTAAATCTATTCCTTATTGAGATAATTCGACTTGAAGATTCTAACACTTCTGTGATGATTTTGAGTAAAACAGAAAGGGAAGCTCAGTTTTTTGAGAATATCTCGAAATCTGAGAGAGATACCAAAATTTTGATAAGGACCTTTTTTATAGTTGAAGAAATTTCCCGCAAAAAATCCTTTATGACTTTTTTCCATAAAACTACTCCTTATTTACAAAATTCACCTCAAACTTCTTCCCAAATGAATTCTTTGATTTACTTTACTTCTGACGATAAAATTGAATTTGTTTTCATGTTTTTCGTTATTTTTACTTTCAGACATTGTCAATTAGTCGCCAATATCCTCCTAAACGGTGCATTTTTCTCAGCTGGCCATAGACTCGAGTCGGCCCTAAACTACGCCAAAGAGCGAATCTACACAGTTAAAAATAACACAGATCTCCTAGTCTTCACGAAAGCCTTCAACATCCTCGAACTAGTTCGCATGCAGTACCGCCTCCTCCGCGCTGTTACCTGGCGTTACACCCACCCTCCACGTCCCGAGAGATTCCCCAGACTGTGCTTTTATCCTGGCGGCCTCCTAGACCGGCTCAATCGCATTCTCTATCTCACAAAAACCCAGCCAGCCTCTCTGATTGGACCCAATGGACCGGAGACTATCGTCTCGGATTTCTCCAATCTTTGCAAACGTTTCATGAATTATTTCGAAAAAGTGTCGGAGAGAAAATTTAACAGGTTCGATAATACCCGAAATCAAATTGCAAAGTCAATTTCAGAGGGAAATTTGGGTTTTCATCAAAATTTTGATATCTTTATTAAATTCAAAAGGATTCAAACCTCAAAAATAGAAAAGTTTTATTAGAATTCTATTCAAATTAGGATTTATCAACCGTTATTAACACACTCCTCCATTTGGGGAAAACATTTTTTTTTCATTTCCTATACGACTTTTCGATCTTTAAAAAGAATTAGAATTCTAAAAAAAAAATTAATTGATTTGTCCACCTTCAATAGTTTTCAAGAGTTCTCGGTAGTGAGAAAAAATAACTACTGAATTCTCTGCGGAAAGAGGATAAAAAACCTGAAAGATATGTCGAAAAATTTATTCTTTCTCCAAAAACTCGATGAATCGAGATGAAGATATTTTTGAAGAGGACAGATACTTCCAAAAAAAGTTCGAAAATCCGAGGTGAACCGGTGTAGGCGCCGCCATCTTGTTTGAATATCCCATCCCTCTTCCGCAAGAGGCTTCCAAGATGGCGGCGCCCCACCTCGCAATTTCGAAGATTCATTAAAATCCTTTCCCCTCTTCAAATGACCCTCAACTCGCTCCATAACATTTCAATAAAATGAACAAATTTTTTAAGCCACCTTTCAGATTTTTCCATCCCTTTCTGGCTGAAAATTCCCGGCGTAAAATTTCCCTTAAATTTCACTAGTTTTTTTTTCCATTCCCACGTCGTGTTATCCCCCTCTCACCCCCTAAAAATCCCTCCTCCCCCCCAGATCCCCCCTCGTCTCCGGCTGCAAGGCAGTGGACATTCTGGACTGTCTGACCGAGGGTCGCAAGCTCCTCTCCTTCCGAGTGACCCCAGGTCGTGGTAATCGCGGTAGCATCGTCTGCATGCGCCTCCAATACACAATGCGTCGTGCCTGGTTCACCTGTCTGCAGGTGCCTTGCACCCTGGAGGAGGGCTCCTGGCGCGACGAGCAGAGGTTCATGTACCTGCGTCTACGTCGTCTAGTGGCAAGTGTAAACGAGCATTACTACGAGGGAATACATTTTGAGCGAGAAATTTCCATTCAGACTAGAACAGCTATTGCCCCCAAGGTCACCCTTCCCTCGACCTACTCAGGCTATGGAGAATATGGCGGACAATTCTTCTACTACGGTAACATGAACAGACAGGCCTACACCACCAAGTGGCACAGACCAGCCGAGTCTGAGGAGTACCAAGAGTATCCGGAACTACAGCCCAAGGATATGAAACTATTTCCAACGTACGATCTCGTCATTGGAATTGAGCTTCGCTGCTCACCCGAACTTGCACCCCTCGTCATCAGACCCATTCTCAAGAGTGACGATGTCGACAACAGTCGACCACTCTCCCACAATCCCGAGATGTACCTCAAGATGACTGTCAACTGTCCAGCATCCAGCGCTAATCGATTGCCTGGGCATTTTGTCTGGGAGCAACGTGCACGCAAGGAGAAACCACCCTCTTGATATGTTTTTTTAGCGGATGGTAAAAGGCAGCATTTGCTTGTTGTTGAATTATACATTCTTGTATGTCGTATTTTTAATTTTTAATTCTATGAAAATGATGTTGTATGGGATAATAAATTGATGGACGTATAGAATGAATTAATAAAAAAAATCATGTGAAATTTTTGGGTATAATTTGGAGAATTTCTTTGGGATCAAAAACGAGTACTTCTCCTCTTGAAAAACATAGAAGAACTAGACGCGGTAGAACGATTTTCAAAAAAAAAGTAAAATCAGTATCAAAATATCTATAAGCCAGAGGCACTTTCGTTTTCGCGATCGAATCCGTCCGAACTTTGTCAAACATGTTAAGGAATGCTTTAAAAAAAGGCCGTGACTATTCGCACCAGTGCGTGAATCACTCCATACACTCCACGCATGCGTGAAGTTCGTGTGTTTCACGCAGCCGAATTTTCATACTGCTGTGTATTTCACGCAGTTGAAGTTTCATACTACTGTGTGTTTCATGCAGTTGAAGTTTTATACACCTGTGTGTTTATACACACAGGAGTGTGAAATACACATTTCTCGACCCGCTCTTTCATTTGAGCCCAAAAAAACATTCATATCTTGTCTGACATCGCAGCTACAAACTCGGGTCTACAACTCGGGCCTTCAATTGAAAGCCCGAGTTGTAGACCCGAGTTTGTAGCAGAGATGTCAGACAAGATATGAATGTTTTTTTGGGCTCAAATGAAAGAGCGGCTCGAGAAATGGCGTGCT